AGCGAGCGTGAAATCGGAAAAAGAAAACACCTGAGTTCGCGGGGAGGTCCAACGGACGCGCTGGATAAATTGGACGACAAGCTCAAGTGCAATATCCTCTCTGTCAGCGCTTTTTCACTCGTCGCTACACTTGATTCTCATTTCGATCGGAAGAAAAGAATAAGAAGCAAAGGGAACTTTTGACAATCAAATTCTTTCTCTCAACTTTCCCATCCGAAACGCGACACGGTTGAACTAACACACGACTAATCACGATAAGTAACTGTTTAATTATGAACATGGAGTTTTGATTTCAAAAGGAATCAAAAATTGAAAGACATATTCAAGCATAAAAACAACAGGATGTATGCACAGAAATTGCATTTATTTATAAATTGCACTGTGCTATGTTTTTATTTTTTATTTGTATTTTTAGTAAAATTATGATGGCAAAAATAGAGAAATTATTAGAACTACGCTGGATCAGAGCCAGATTAAAAATTTTCCAAGTAATTCAAATATATTTTCCACTAATCAATTACGTAGTAAAATTTAAAAACGGATTTTTTAATTTTAAATTATAATTAGACAATTATTAAATGGAGATCAAGTGCGGATTGCAAATTATTTATTTTGAGTTCATGGAGATAAGGACTTCAATAATTCTTTAAGGCATCTTAGAAAAATCTTCAGTAATTGTTTCCCTTATCACATATTTTTGCTTCTTCTTCTCTGAAATGCTAAGTCTCGAGTCTCAATCAAGAATTCTGCTTACGAATTAAACGTGAGAGACAATAATATAAGCTTTAAATAGCCTTTTGGTATAGAAGTGCCATTGAGATTTGCATTTGCTTTGGCCGCGGCCCAAACGACGCGCGGCGTTTTTAGCCCGACAATGACTTTTATGAGAGAGTCGATGCAGGTGTATTTGCTCAACAGGCAACACCACTTGAATGAAGATCAAAGACAGCTCGGATCATTCTCTTTTTAAGAACAAATTTCAAAGTCTTGACAGACGGAGCAGCGTTTTTATTTTTACGTGAGGTCGAACAACCAAGTCGGGGAAGAAAAATAAAGGTCACCAGCCAGACAGACGCGGCGTTCGGAGTTCGAAGCATGCAAGTGAAGAGCTAACTGCATCACGATCAATTAAAAAGTGCAGGCCTTTCACAGATCGCGTGAGGAGCCACGAGATCGAGCAGCCGGCCTTGTCATGACCACCTTTTTCTTTTACATTACATGCTGGGCGCGTTTGGGCCCCCTCGGGCTCAAAAACACGGTTCTCGCGCACGCCGAAAAAGGACCAGTTTTGCTGCTAACAGTGAAATTTCGAACAAATTTGGAGCACCGACGCTTATTGTGCGCAGAAAAGGTGGCGAAATTTAATGCAAATCGCATATTATTGAGGATAATTTTCTGTAAAATCTCTAATTTTAATTCATTCCTGAAATTTTGTGATTTCAAAAGGATTGCTATAAAAATTTGTAATTCTCTTGATCTTTGAAGAAAGTTTGAGAAAATTGATTCAAATTTGCAAATTGGACAACCTTGATTTTAAATCCAAGAAGAAAGTAATGGTATACTATTTTTCATTTGTTTATAGATTTCATTAACTTTTGAATTTTTGTTTTTAAATTTTCATATATATCTGATAGGCTTTGCTGACAACATGAATTTTATGTTTCTGATCGCGTCCCGTGTGCTCTTTAGCACTTTTTTGTGGAGGACGTATCGGATCAGGCGCCGAGAAACAATGAAGCGTCGCACGAAGCGTGTCAAAGCTCAAGTTGTGTGGCCCTCGCCACTCTTGTCCGCGCGTAATTCGTTTTACAGAAAACGGCAGGCATGGCGAATTCGTCGCCACAGCAACAACTGCATGACTCTGCGAAACCAACCCAGGCATCTGCTTCATTTATTTTTTAATCCTGCCGAGACCTTCCTTCCAGCCGTCCTCGCTCACTCAAAAATTTTCCACTTCCCCTTTCAAAAATTCACATTTTCTGTTTTTATTATTATTGATAATTAAATTAACAACATCGGTTTAATCTTTTGAGTGTGTATAAATGTGCGAGGAAAAAAATGCAAAGTGATTCGGAGGAAAAAAAATTTGAATTTCAATAGGCGCTTTGCAAATAAAATTAAGCCTGGATCCATTCAATATACGCTTGAATGAAGTTGCTGCTCGTTATTTATTTCACTGCATTAAATCACATTTCAGTTGCACGGGCATGAACACGCCGAAACGAATTTCCATAATTATCATTGTGCTTGCTCTTCCGAGAGGAAACGTTTGCAAAAACTGCTCGAAAAAACCAGTTGCACCGATGGAGAAATAATTATGCTCTGTTTTCATGCGATGAAACTATTTGAAGCGTTTGAAATCTAATTAGCATTGGAAGCGGCGAACACAAATTCTGCAGCCGAGTTCACTTGAAGAATATACGTGCAATACTTAAGGCTAAGTTTTCCAGGTATGAATAGTGTTAATTAAAATTATATTAAAAGTTTACAGAGAGCATTCATGCAGGCTGAGTGGGGGATGGAAAACAAAAAAAGTAACATCAAAAACGTAATTGCAATTTCGAGCAAGATTTCTGATCAATAACTTTGTTAATTAAATTTAAATTAAGATTTTCAGAAACACTATAATCCATATAATTGCTTGTTGCATGTTATTAAAAACTAAAATATAATATTGCAATAAAAATCTTACAAAATTTCACAAGAAAAAAATAACACGAATAAAAACGTCAAATTTGCATTATTTGAGACTTGATGGAAAATACAAATTGAATTGAAAAAACCATAAATTTGAATGAAATTCTTAATATTTGCATATTGAAAGAAACAGTCACAAGTTTTTGACAAAATTAGCTAATATTTGACGTAATATTTGCCTTCATTCGTAATATTATTTGGAACAGTTTTTATAAAATTTCTCCAACTGGGAAAACATTTTGATCCAAATAAACGTACTTTTCCACATCAAAACATATCAAACTTGTGGGAAAATTCATGCTATTTTGCAAGTCTTTTCAATAAAATGACAAAAAGCCAAAATAAGTTTTTTGCTCTCCTGCACAACTTGAGATTGGTGTGGCTGACCAATATTTAGTTTTGGGCAAAGCTCAAAAGCGCTCGGTGGCGATCGTCGAGACCTGTTGAATTTCCAGCCACTGTCTTTGCACACATAAAAGTGGGTTTAGGGCTGGGCTGAGTGAGCAAACAAAAAGGGCGTCGGTGGCATCAAAGTGTTTTGACGCGCGGAGAAAATCGATTGCGCGCGGCCCTCACGCTGCGCGCCGAGACGGCTATTTGAATAATAATCTAAGATGGTTTGAATTAATTGAATGCAGATTCCGCGGAAAGGCTTTTCGCTGGCTCATCAAATGCTGTTTGTATATCTGTGCGCTGCAGTAATTGCTTCTTGATTGAGTTGTCTGCCGCGAGAGAGCAAGCAAGAGTAGCAAGTGCAGTGCAGCGTGTGCGCCGAGAGACCGACCGACCGACGGAGCCACGGCCACCGAGAGGGACCACCAGGAGAGGAGCACCGTGACTCGACTCAATCAGACGCTGTAACCCTTTGCTTCTCTGAATCGACCCAATCATTCCGCGCCCTGAAAGCCAAAACACAGCGGCAAACAAATTGCTGTCGTCACTGTATGTAAATTAAAATATCACACAGTTCAAAGCTTAGGGACGAAAAGATAATTTATTTGTTCGAATAATTTAATTAAACAAATGAAGTCATCAGACTGAAAGATTTCACCTATGCGGGGAAAAATATGATATCTGAATTGATTTAATTTATTCAGAGTTAAAAGACAAATCAAATCCAGGTGAATTTTAGAAGATCATATTTCTTTTGATTAAAACTTCTCATATTTTTATTCGTTTAAAGTTTTAATTTAAAACGAAAGAAATCAACATAAGCAATATTAATTTTGAAGCCAATAAAATCGATTAATAAGATTTTTGAAGGTCTCTAAACATAGCACCTGAAAGCCAAACGCTGCTTCTAATCACTCAGAGGCTTGGCATGAAATCGACAGCCGGGTGCTTTCCTCGCGTACACGCTTTTTTTAATTATTTTACAGCTCGGTCGGTCGCGGGGGTGAGGCGTGGGCAGGTTGGCACCAGGCACGGTGCGATCAATGAGTGCGTTCTCGTCGCAGCGGTCAGCACAAAAAGGGTTGCAATTTCATTGCGAAATGCTGCGGTGCACACAAATTAATTGCATTTCAGCTGTGGAAGCAATTATTGTTTTGAGTTCGCTCGGTCATTCTTGCTATGATCTAATTTTGCTTCATAATGTTTCCTGGTTTGTGGTAAATGAAGTTCATCCAGCATTTGCAAATGAATTATGCATAATTATTATTTGCAATTCGTTGCAACAAATGATGAAAATTTCATCAATTAAGATTCAGAGGAAAGATTCTTTGTTGTGCAATTAAAACTTAAATTGTAATATAATTTAATCTAAAATGCACAAGTATAAAATCAGTAAAAATAAAAATAATTTTAAACAGAAGCCGATGTTCATGATATGAATTATAAATAATAAATTATTATTTAAAAATTAGCTTTCAAGAAATTTTTATTGTTTTTGCTCTTGTTAATTTAGAAAATAATAAAATCTTCATTTTAAATATATCGTTTCTTCATTATAAAAGTTCTCCAATTATTAATTTTTCACCAATTTTCAAAAAAAATTCTCATTTTAATTTTAGTCTCGAAACGCCCTACATTACTACAATTCATCACTCTTTATTAAATTTAGCCGTCCAGATAAAAACAAAGCGTCTCCGCGCTCTCGCCTAACGGGACACAAACGGGCCAGAGCGAAAGAAAAAGCTGGCGAATCAAAAGGAAATAGAGAGTCGCGGGGCCGAGCGCTGGCGCCACTCGATCGCCGAGAAAAACTCGCAGCTTCTCGGAAAGCGGCGGCGCTGGACCAAAAAGATCGTTCTGCTAATTATCGCGTTTGCGCCAAAAATTATCGTCATCAAACGAGTACTCACCACAAAAAGCAGAGTCGGGATGGCTCGAGGCCGCGTGGCTCAGCAACTCGCATCACCTGCAAAAACCAATTAATTAACTTTATTAGCTGCTCCTGCAATTAGCATTCAAGCGAAATGGAACCGAACGTCAGAGAACGAGAATAGGCTTCTCTGTGATCTGCTTTTGTATCAAGTGTAAGGAAATTAAATTGCGAAATTTCATTAAAAAGACAAAACCTTTTGCCCTTATAGGTATGCCACAACCAAATTTGGTAGCATGCGCGGCGATCACTTCGCTGGGAAAAATTTTGAAGTTTAATCAGAGTTTATAAAATTAGTTAAATAAAATAAAAATATGGTTTTGGAGGCTTTTGAGAAAATAAAAATAAAATTCGGTTATTCTGAAAATTCAATGATTTATTTTTGACCCCTTTAAGCATAGAAATAATTCAGTGTTTAGGTAAAAATTCAAAACCAAACCGAAAAGATTAATCATTTAGGTCGTTGATTTATAATGATTTTAGTTAAATTTGAATTTATTTACATATGACAGAGGTCATTGGTCACCAAACTGACACGGTTTTATCAATGATCAGATTATTAAATAATAAAAATTGAAAATTTGAAATTTACGGCTAATTATGATCCACATGTTAATGTGGCTATTTGATTTCATAGAATTTCAGCCGAAGATAGTAAAAATTTCATTATCCGCAGTTGAAGAAATTTCAAGAAGATTATATAAATGCTCCTGTGTTGCGCTCTGAATGTGACCAAACGAGTTTTGTTCAATTTAAAATATCGAGACTAACTAGAATTTAAAAGTTGCTGCAGCTTGGGCTCCGGGTTTAAATTAACGTCAAGCTGCGCCGACAAGCGCGCTTTATCCGAGAAGGAGCTTCTCTTCTCTCTCTCTGCTGGAATGAAATAATCAGATGCATACTATCCACACACACACAATTCCGTTTACAGCAGCAAGCGTTATCGCACGCTGAGGATTTCTAGCTCTTTCTCCAGCAGCGCTCATATATTTATAAATGCAGCGTCCCAGGAATCGGATTCTTCCTGGAAGCGCTCTTGCTCGTCCGCCCCGCGATCGCAAGAGCTTAAAACGAGCTCTCCGTTGGCACCAGGTGTGACAATGACTAATGGCTCATTAGTTCTGCCAAATCGCGATCGCCAGGCCCATTCATCTGGGGGGCCTAACCGCCCAGGGATCCATTATCAGCACCCAATATGAACTCGCAACGTCAAGATTGCGCCGCAAGTGATTGATTTAGGTCCATTTCAAGAAAGAAACTTGGTTAAAAAATGTGAAGTTAATTTATAACGCGTTCTAGCAATTAACAATATCAATGAAGATGATTGATCATTTCTTAAGAAAATTATTTTCCTTCCAAATTTTCACAAGCGAAATTTATCTTTGGAATGGAATTTTGAAACAACATGAAATTTTGAGCAAATGAAAGATGTTTAAAATTATATCAACTTGGGACCATGGATTTGAAGAGGAGTAAATTAAAAATACTGACAAAACTTAACACGATTGCATCAACTATAGCATTTGTAAGACTATTTTATGACAAAATTGCTCAAATTTCTGTTTCAACATTTGATTGATGCTTTAAATAAAAAAAAAATTTGTCTCAAATACGGAAGTTGAAATTTACAGAGGACTAAAATAACTAAAAGTAAAATTTTTTAATTTTAAATTTCCCATTTTTTTTAATTTATCTTGAAAAATGCATGCTTTTTTTTTTACCAAATTTACCCTTTTTCTGCCCATTTAAATATAAATACTAGCATCAAATGAACATCAATAATCATCAAATCTAGACCAATTTGCAATGTATTATAAACAGACAATGAAATCGAAGCTAGATTTTCCTGGAATTTTTTTGCACAAAAGCAACCATAATCCTATCAATGAGCTTAAAAGTGCTCAAAGACTTTCATTCAATACGGTTTTACTTTAAAAAAATATCAATGAAATCACTGCCTTAATTATCTTAAATTGCTCTTAACGATGCCAAATTGAGCCTTTTATTGAAGAAGAAAAAACTAAAAATTGCATAGAATTTATCTCTCACAAAGACTGCTGAGAAACATTGATTGTTTCCCCTAATGGTCTTTGTTTTGTTATCAAGAAATTATAATAATGGAGTTGGAAGAAATGCGTGGACGGAACAAAGCAGGAATTGATAAAGATTGGCAGCACAAAAAGACGGCATTGTTTTAATTTTCGGGAGCCAAACGAAAATCAGCCCCGTGCGTGTCCGTTTGTGCGTTAATCCAGCAGCATCTCACGGATTTTCGAATCGGCCGCGTCGCGAACAATGCAAGCGCGAGAAACAAAGGCTCGTTGAATGTTAAGTAGCGAAAAAAGCAGCGGGCAGAGCGAAAGACAAAAGTGGTTTCCGACGCAAAACTCTGCCCGAGCTGCTGGCCGCGCTGCCGCATTTCCAAACTGGTTTCTAGGAATGCTCTTTATTTGGCCGCGACCAACCGGTCGCCGCGCGTTTTTGCTCGGCCAATTTGAATCCGAGCCGCGATAAAAAGCCCCTAATCTAATTAGCAAAACGAGCCGCAGCTAAACGGCGCGCTTGAATATCGGCACAAAATTTCAAAAAAATAATCAATCGCAAAATTAAAAAAGCCATGCAAATTGTCAAGATTAAACAAAATTTTAAATTGGCATGAAAACTTGAAGATAAAAATAGGCATTTCATTATTTGTCAAATTGTTACAGCATCACATCGTTTATAATTTTATAATTTTGCAATTTCAAACGGTCAGAGATTCCCAATGAACTTTTACTATGCAGATTAGATATTGGATAATAAAGTTTTTCTTTTTTTATCCACCCATGGCCGTGGTGCCCGGGGTGCGGTTGATGCAATCCGCATAATACAAATTATATTATTATTATTTTCATAGCAAACTGGGTTGCAGAAGTACTTTTGCACCCTCCGTCGGGAAATCGATTCCAGGGAAGTTTGCGAATGACGGTGGTGGTGGCCAAGGAAATTGCGTCGAGCCGCCCACGTGCCACTGGCGACGCCACCGGAGAAGTTTTTGAGCGGAAAAGTATCGCGACCAGTTGGTTATTTATGTTGCGGCTCGCTTGGAATTCACTCCAAACCATTTGCATACCAACCACCCTGAAGAGATAATTATAATTAAAATTGTTTGATTTCAGTAAATTCAAGAACATTTTTGCTGCAATTTTATTCATTTTCAATTGAAATTTTTGATGGAACTTAAATAAATTTTCTTATCGAAAAAAAATGCAAAATTCATAAAAAAATCCTCTTTATAGATTCTAATGTTAAACAATAAAAAATAGATTTAAAGTTGTTTTACTTTATATGATTTTTTTTTAAATTTATACGATTTTTTTAATATCTAAAATGATCGCAGGTATTTTAGATGAATTTTTTTAATAACAGTTTTACGAGTTTTACTAAAAAATACAAAAGGGTTGAACCTTTAATTGTAAAAAATATGCTTGCAAAATTCATAAACTTTCTTCAGTAAAAAGTGCGCTTATAATTTATCATCAAAAAACATGATCTTTTTGTTAATATCTCAACTTTTTGGCCTAAATTGCATTCAAATTTACAAACTTGATGCGATCAATTATTTAATATACAAATAAACAAGTTAATGTTCTAAAAGATATATTATCAGATAACGAATTTGATACTATTTTTTATTCCTGCTTTTTTTTAACAGCCAAAATGCAATTGAAACTTAGGCATATAAAATGGGTAAAGTTTTTTAAAATTAATAACTCATATAAATAGTAAAAAATTGTAGGCGAAATGAGATTCCTTTTGCAATTTAATATCACAGCAAGCCGATCTTCCGAGCACTTGTTACACATGCATTTAATGCGTACGTACATCCGAGCTGGTCAAACGCGGCTTGAAATTCGAATAATCTGCATAAAAGAGAACATTAGCCTGCTCTGGAAATGGAATGCCGCGGCGTCGGCCCAGCTTCAAAGGAAAACTCGCGCCGACCATTATTGTTTCAGGCTAGGCACTGATTTGAATAAACGCGCGACGTCGCCACCGATGGGACGACTTTCCACTGATATTCCAGCGCACAAAGAAAAAGAGGCCTTTGATGGCTCGGAAAAAAATTGTTTGATCGTGAGCTGAATTCACCGCGGGATGATCATTTCCTTGATAGTTTTCGGGAAAATTCAGATCAATAAAAAGCGATATAAAAAAATATAATTTTTGTTCATATATGGCTCATTTAACTATTAAAATTGAGATATTTTTTTTTAGAAAGTGTATATTTTATTATTTATTATAATTCATATATTACACCTTTTTATCTATTTTAACTGGAGTTTTTAATTTGAATATTTAATTAAATTATTTAACTAACAAAAGTCAGCAATATAATTATTTTATGTTGTAACTTTCTGCATTGACTCACAAATTTTTAATTTAGAAATGCTAATAAATTTCTCAGTTTGATATTCGGGCTGAATTTTCGTAAATTGATAACATCCTTAATAACAATTTGTTTTTCCAATCTGATAGCAATGCAATTTTTTCTACAACATATTTTTTCCAAACCTTAAATCCAGACAATCAGGACAGAAGAATGTTTAAAGAAAGAGATGAATAATCTTCATACACTTTTCTCCCAACGTCTTTTTTGGTTAAAATTTAAAATAATAAAAATTAAAAAAAAAAATCGCCTAAAAATTGTTGAATTTTGAAAAAAGTTGGTGAAATTACAACATAAAAATTATATAATTAGTCATTCTCTGGTTTGAACTGAGAATGACTTCTCAAGTAATCATTTGATAAAGTAGCAGGATGTATTTTGCAATATTGAAACGCGCCCTTTTGTGTCAACAAGCATCAGCTTCTTATTACAATTTCCTATGATTTCGTTTGATGGCTCGTAATATTTTCGAGAAATTGCAATTAAAGAAAGATAAAAATGAAATGGAAACAAGTCGTCAACGGTTTGATAAATCGATTCTGCGAACGCGACCCAATGTCAACGGCAGTTTCGAGCGAAGGACAAAGGGCAAAAAAGGCAAATTCAAATCATGTGTGGCGATTTTTTGCACCACAGATAGAGAGACTTTGGCGGATGATGTAATTAAGCTGGTTGTCTGTCGCCACTGCACTCGACGCATGTGCGATCAATTACAAATTATTGGCACTTTCTCACGCGAAACAACTGCCGCCGTTTTTAGAGTGAAAAAATGCAGCTATTGATTTTCGTCCGGGGCTTGTTTGAGGAAATTGAGAAGGAGATGGAACAGTTTGCGATTCTGCGAAACGCCTTTGACACCGAAATTGACCTTTCAATAAAGGACTGTTATAGAAATTGATCAACCGTCTCACATTCCTCCATTCATGAAAAACTATATAGTTTTCTTTTCTTGCAATTGCAAGTTTAGAACAATCTTCAATTTAGTTTCAATTTACCCAAATCAGGTGCAGTAATAAATAAATTAAATTTGCATTCTTATTATATTTACTCACAAGATACATTTTATGATCGTTCGACCATCAATTTTTATTCAACAATTGAATGTTTCATTTTATTTTTTAATTTGATATCAAGATGAATCCCTTCTTTGCAAATAAAAATTAAATTTCATTGATTCCCGCAAACCAAATCCTGTTTTTAATTTGGAAAATCTGAATTCCACAGTTAAAATGCTGATGGATCTCATCGTATTATAAACTTGATTTTGGGCAACAATTCAGGGATTTGTTGACTTAATTATTGTTTAAGTTTTTTCAAAAGCCACTTTGGGAAACTTCAATTTTAGTAAAGAAAAAAATTTGGAAATATCAATGTTTTTTTTATAATTAATTCAATTTATAGGTTTTAACACTTTTTCAGGTAAAAAATTAAAACTTAGATTTCTAGGCATTTGATATATCTAGACTTTTTAAATATTTCCTTGAAGATAATGAAAAAAAAGACAATTAATAAAAATATTAATGATAAAAAATTAAAAATATCAGACAACCCTCAATCGTGATTATAATTCTTCCAAAGACACAAATTTCTATTCCCAATTTTCCTTATTTTTTAATGAAACATTCAACATCATTTGTTATAAAATGCGAACCTAGGTCTTGGTTTGCATTTGAAAAAGTGTGCGGCGTGCTCGGCCAATGCACGCAGGCGAAACGGGCCAATTAATTAGCCGGGCGCTAATTGCCGAATTGCTTTCATTACGCGGCCGCGCATGTTGCCATTCATTAAGCGCGGCGAAAGAACGCACCAGACAGTCACTGTCAAAGGCAAAGAGATCACAAGCTGCCAATTAACGTCATTTCCAACGCAAAGCCGAGCTTCTGTGTCGTTCTGCAAACATTGTAGGTGGCTCTGTCTTACGGCACCGAATCTTTCCTCTTGCGCCTCCGATTACGAGGAAGATGCGCCAAATAAAGGCATTTTTTTTTATCTTAATTCTAGTAAATTATCCAAAACATTTAATAAAATCAACGATATATTATACAAACTTCAAATTTTCCAGTTGAAAAAAAAACTAAATAAGTCAAACAGAAGTCAAGAAAATTAAAATGTTTGACTGGTTTACATTAAATTAAGTAAAACAAAGAAAAAATTTCAAGTAAAAATTATGCTTCATGAGTTACTTTTTCAAGAAATACAAACTGAAACTAATTTAAAATAAAAATTCGCGTTGAATACAACATTTTAATACAAAATTAAAGCTTCTAAATTTTTCCACCTGAAGTAGAAGATTTAATTCATTTACTCCAATTAAATAAATAATATAGAACTATTAGGTAAAGCATAAAGCATAACTTATCATGATTATTATATAATGCAATTTGTTTTGTTTTGATTGTGTGTTATTATGATTATTATTTCAATGCACGATCTCTTTTATACGGGGAATAAAACATCCTCTGGAAAAATACGAAATATTTTAAAAATTTCTATTGTTTCCAGCTTTTAAATGCTGCAAAATATTTTATATTTTATCTGAAACACATGTCAGCATGAGCAGGATAAAATGGGAGGCGCTGAGCTCGGAGCGTGACAAAAGCATTCCAGCCGCAGCAAAAACGCCAGAATCGAAATAATTTCTACTAAATTAAACTCTATCAATTGAATTTTGATCCGAATCTCAAGTTAGAGGGCGAATTTGGCCGAAATGAGTCACTTTTCTGCCCATCGAAGAGTTTTAACCTAATTTCCAAGATGGAATGCGTTTGGATTTTCCTTATTCTTCTTCTTCTGTTAGTGTTGCTACAAAAATAAGTTCGATTTTGAGCCCCTGAAACACGAAAACCGGGGGTTGGGGGCGTCAGGGGGTGCCAAGTGGGCCGGTCAGGGCCGAGGGGCCTACTTACCAGCAGCAGGGGGCGAGGAGAGTCCGATTGCCCAACACGCACGACACGATCCTTGGGCCTTGAGAGCCCAACTGCGGCGCCCAAATCGGCGCCACGCACCGCCACAGTCACTTCAGGAAAACGATCGGGTCCGAAATCGAGGCCACGACGCACTTCTGCGGCCGAAATCCGCCTATTTTAGCACCTTTAAGGAGATTTGTGGCCGAGCACTGGTCGTAAACTTCGAGGCACAGAACATGCAACTCCGCTCCAAAACGGCAGGTTATTCTCGGAATCGAGTTTCGCTTCGAGCTTCGAGCCTCTCATGGTGACGTAGTTCGGTGCCCACAACACGCGCCAAATTTGAATATCAAAAACACCATTTGAAAACCGGTTCTGTTCCGGAGATTAACATGTAAATTGTAAACTGATTTGAAATTTTAACACGAAAAATATCTCCAAGTAAAGTCATTTTTTGAATGAATTAACTTAAGCTCTCTAAATTATATTTTTTTATCCTTTACGTTGCCTTTTAATTATTCAAATACTGAAAGTTTTGATTCACCTGAAATGTATAACCGGTTGTTTTTTATTCTAATTTTGTTCTTCTTTCAACATTTTTCTTATTAAATCATATTTTGTACCAAATTTATAAAAACAATATTATATATTTCATCAAAAGATTTGAATATTTTGTTGCAAAAACAACAATTTTAAAACATAAAAATACCGGTTTTTTCATTTTTAATTAAACCGTTTCTCCTTCCAAACGTCACGTGGGTCACGTGCTTTTGTTACGTGTTTTGTATTTATTTTTATGTATTTATTTATTTTCCATGCATTTCTGACCCCACGATCACGTCCGTCTTGTCATTCGATATGATCGTGAGAGACGAGGATAGATAGCCCAGTGGTCTCTCGTCTCGTGGTCTCTCAAATCGTCCAACCCAATCCCGACTAATATTTAAGGGAGAGAAGAAAACATAAGACAAATGCTACAGATTATTGTTTAATAATTTATACACACTATAACTGAGAAATGAGTGGGACCACCCTGAACAAGTCGAGGACCAACTACCTGAGCACCGGGTCTTCGAGGGAGCCAATCTGGACGCAAGTGTCCGGTGACCCCTCGGAAGATTCAAATAACACAGCAAGCCATCCGCCGCCAAGACTGACGAATTCCGAAAACGAAACAAGCAATGGAAATGCTGCACATGTAATGCAAAAAAGTTACTTGAATTTCTCTTTGTTTAATTATTTTTTGCTATAGGATGGAGAGGGGATTAATTTTAATCACATTGGAATCAATACGGCCACAGCAGCGGTCTTCATTGCCGGTGAAATGGCCGGAAGTGGAGTCTTAGCTCTCCCGAGGGCCCTCGTCGATTCAGGTTGGAACACACCTGCTGATTACATAACTTGCAAATAAAATTTAATTTGAAAAATTTCAGGATGGATCGGGCCAGTTCTTTTAATAGTTCTTTGTCTTGTGGCCTGTTACGGTGGCACCAGGTTGGGCGCCTGCTGGACCCTGTTGGAGGAGAGGTACCCTGAAACTTATCCCAAACACCTGCGGACTCGAAATCCGTATGCTTGCATTGCGCACAGGGCTCTTGGGAACTGGGGCAGGTAACGAATTTTTGTTTTTTAATTATAAATTTTTTTAGTAACTAATTTTAAAATTCTCAGTCGAATTGTCTCAGGGAGCATCCAGATAACCCTTTTTGGCGCTGGAACGGTGTACCTAATTTTAGCCTCGGAATTGCTCAACGACCTTACAAAGTATCTCCTGCCCTTTGGTCCGTGCAGCTGGGTCGTAATTCTAGCCGCCTTTCTCCTCCCTGCAATGTGGCTCGGATCCCCAAAAGATTTTTGGTAAAATTGAAAAGAAAAATGAAAGTTTTAATTTTTAATTTTTTTCTCTAGGGGAGTTGCAGTCGGTGCCTTGTTGACGACGGCCTTTTCCTGTCTCCTGATGTTCACTCAAATGGTGATTGATGGACTCCAGTTGGATTACCACAAGGACACCAAGCCTCACTCCTTTAGCAAATTCTTCATGGCTTACGGCACAATTGTGTTTTCATTTGGCGGCGCCTCAACATTCCCGACTATTCAAAACGACATGGTTGACAGAAGCAAATTTCCAACCAGTGTCAGCGTTGGATTTTTCCGTAAGTTTCCGTAGAAGAAAGTAATGGAAGATTTTAATTCTAAAATTCCACAGTAATATTAATTCTGTACCTGCCTGTGGCAATCGGGGGCATGCTTATTTACGGAGAGGCCGCCAATCCAAACATCGCCCTGACCCTCGGGGACAGCTGGCTGATGGATGCAGCCAATTTGCTTATGGCGTGCCACCTAATTTTGGCCTTCCTCATAGTTACCAACCCTGTTAGTCAAGAACTGGAGCATATCATGAATGTTCCTCACGGTAAAATTTTATTCGATATTTTGGTCCAAAATAATTTATTATTTTTCTATTTTAGAATTTGGGCGGCAGAGATTGTGGCTGCGGTCCGGACTGATGCTTGGAATGGTTTTTATGGCAGAAAGTATTCCACAATTTGGAAAAATTTTGTCTCTCGTAGGAGGTTCTACCGTCACCCTCCTCACCTTTGTGCTGCCTCCCTTGTGCTACATGAAATTGTGTGACCAAGTCGGACCCTGGCCTCAAGCACCGTAATAATAATACCTTCGAAAAAATAACATTTTTGTTGAAATTAACTTTTGCAGGCCTATTTCACTTCATGAGAGAGTTTTCATGTACGAAATGATATGTCTTGGAGTTTTAGGTGGTTCCGTAGCATCATACAACGCTCTTTTGTCGATTTTCTCACCGAATTCCTTTTCTCGTCCTTGCTATTTCAACTGGTGGTGAACATTGGTATAAACTTTACGAGCTTGAATCAAAGTGCATTGGTGCCATTTTTCATCGAAATAAGTTTTCTCGCACTTGCAATCTTTTGCCTTTGACACCTAGTCTTCTTTAGGAGATGTTCTGACATTTTAGAAATGTCCTTATCTTATTATTTTTGAACAATTCAATATTGAATTATTGTGATGGTTTTGGTGAATTAAGAGCTAAATATTGGCTCTCCAATTTGAAGTCAAAATTGATAATATTCTGGATGTGATGACAGAATCAGGACCGGCTACGTTTCGATGTCTTAAAACAAAGTATAGTGATTTTATATACTGCTCTGAAATGTTTAGTTTTGATGAAATTCAATGATGATCTTATTGATCTTTCATACTTAAATATGAAGTTTTGTTATTGAGAAATATTTTACTTTTGAAACACAACATTCCCTGCCAAACGAAGTAGATATTAAATTTATGCTTTTAAAAATAAAAGAAAAATTTAATATCTTTGATACGACTTTACAGATTAATGGCGAATAAAATTATTGTGCCAATTAATAAACTACATGCAGCTTTTTTCTTTAACAAAATCTTTTATATTTCTCTATAACATATATAATAAAAGAGAATAATTAATTGTGAAAATATAATTGTATTTATAGAAATTCATAATGAGCTGATCAGTGAAAATTTTGGAAAATTAATTTATAATTTCCATGAAAAGGCGTGAAACTTGATTTTTTTTCTATTGAAGTTATGAACATTTTATTAATCCATGATTTATACTAAAATTTAGAGTTCCAATTTAGCTAATTATTTTATAATTAATAGGGAGATCCTATTATGATTTAATTCAATTATTGATCTTGGGTTACAGTCAAATACAAAATATTTGCAAAATGAAATTATGAAAGCATTAAATTTTATAAAGTCTGATTTTTTTTTGTGATGTCTCAGAATTAATTTTGCGCATTTGCATGCAGAGCGTTGTAAATTAAATTAAATTTCAATATTTTTATTTCAATCCCCTACATTCATTCCTACGCTTCGCGCCAAAGGAGTGCGAAAATCTGACCCTGCCCTAATTTCCGACTTGGTCGAGTCGAGGAAGCCACCTGGCGGTCACGGTGAGCACCAAAGCAGTGATCATAGGTGGACGGGACGAAAGCAAGGCTGATCTGTGTTTTGAACGCGATTTCGGCGTGATTTCGGCCAAGTGGCCGACCAAACCGACGACCAGCTATGCCCGCAAGGTGAGATTTCGAGATGAAATGATGCGAGCGCGACGACAAGGGCCGCCGAAGGCCACAGTCGGCTCCTGAAAACTGCCTGTCGCAACACTCCCATTTCTCTCTTTGTGTGTATACAAATTATTTTTCTCGTATGCTGATGAGCGTTCGAACTCTATTTTTGATCAGACGAACGTCTCCACCGTCTCGAGATCAAGTTTTTGTCAAGTTCGAAAGTTTGCTTTAAACTTCGCTTGTTTTTTATTGCTTGATTGAAAATTGCAAAGGCTTAGAAAAAATCAACAGATCGCAGCAGAGTTTGGTTCACACCACAATAATGTAGGTTAATTGTTTTGCCGATATCCCCTTAAACATACACAAGCTCTTTTTTAGCCAAAATTGTAAGGTTTTCAATAATATTCGGTTTTAAGAAGTTTTGGCTAGTATTATTTTATGAGAACATTGAGAACAACATGTACGATTCCGTGAGATTTTTTAGTCAAAATTTCCCAGGCTAACCAGAATTATTGCCATTATAATTTATTTCTCTGTACGAAGTAGTTTCTGAGCACAGCAATTTAATTAGTAGATTAAAATTTTGAATATTTAATAAAATGTCAAACATTTTCATTAATTCACTCATTTTTTTTCTAGGGCTTTGCAGTGCCTGGGCTGTCTGTGACGAATAGTTTCAACATGCACCAGTTCAAGCACTAATCAAATTTCTACCTTGATCGTGGACGATTACCTAAGGTCGATTGTTGTGATTCAACATGACCGCCAAAGCAGTTCTCATCTGCCGACCAAACTCGCACCCCTTTCAGGTAACGCCTGTTTTTAATTTAAATTATAAAGAAATTGAATTGAAATTATTTTACAATAGGAACGGACGCTTTACTTGGACCAGCCAGTGAAAATCGGCCGGTCAGTGGCCCGAGCTAGGCCGGCGCCCAACAATGCCATCTTTGACTGCAAAGTTCTCTCCAGGAATCATGCTTTGCTTTGGTACGAGAATGGAAAGTTTTATCTGCAAGACACGAAAAGCAGCAACGGGACCTTTGTCAACAACCAGCGGCTCAGTAAAGGCGCCGAGGAGTCTCCTCCTCGGGAGGTCTGCTCAGCAGACATCGTCCAATTCGGGGTCGACGTTATGGAGAACACGAGGAAAGTGACGCACGGCTGCATCGTGGCCACCTTAAAGTTGTACCTGGCTGACGGAAAAGAGGCAAAGGCCAGTCCTTCCACCACAGTGGTCAGTTCTGTTGGCTCTGTGCCTCTGGAGGACATGTACCAGCTCAAGCACTTCATCCAAGTGCGTAGTAAAAATCTAATTAATTCATACGTAAATTATTATTTTTTGTATTAGGAATGTTTGCACCGAGAACAACTTTTAGAGAACAAATTGGCAACCATGCAGAGTCTTGTAAGCAATATGGTTGTGGCTGTGGACAAAGCTTGGAAGGCACTGATTGAGGAGGACAGACTCCTTTCCAAAATTGAGCTACTTGAGAATCAGCTCCTGACCTGCTCCAAGGTACATTTTATCAAATTTTATATATACAAAAAACACTAAAAATACAATTTCGTATCGTAGAATTTTCCTGAGGATAAGGTCAGGGAGGAAGTTCGGAGGTTGCTGGAGGAGAAGGACAGTTACCAAGCAGCTGCTAAAGAGGCCTTGAAAAAGGTTGTTCAGGAAAAGGTCGAAGCCGTCGTGAAACTAAAAGACATTGAAAGGTTTAAAGAGCTTAATGCTTTCGATCAATCGATATTTATTAATTTTTGCAGGGCCTTGAGTAATTCGGAAGACGAGTGTGCGCTGCTGAGGAATTCATGCGATCAAAATCAAAAGGACTGCCAGGATCTTGCCCAGAAGTACAAACTAGTGCAGCAGACTGTGGAGGAGTTGGCGCAAAAGTTGAAAGAGAGTGAAGAACAGCAGGTTGAGGCCATTGAGCGTCTCGAGCAGGAGAAAATCGAACTGGAGGCGTGTCTGCAGGAACGGCAGGACAATCAAAACCGGTCGCCACGCATTGATCTCTGCAACAACGACGAACAGTCTTTCAATGATAGCAACTCTAAAACCAAACTCGATCTCGATGACACCATTGACTTGCCAGGTAATATTTTATAGACTATTATTTTTGTTTCTTTTACCTCAAAATTGGACAAAAAAATAATTAATCTCAATCAATTTAAATAGATGGAGAGCTTATCCTGAAGAAAATTGAGGATGTGCCTGAAATCACCCTGAAGGAGGTGAGTCAGTTCAACGAGGAAGTGGAAAAACTCAAGCAGCGTCTTGAAGGAATGGAAGAAGATCTGCACAAAAGTCAGCAAGTCGTCGACGACCTCATCGGTACTAAAAACACTCTAAGTAGACCTTATTTTGAAAATTTTAATCATCAGAGCAACTCAAGAATACCCAGATGGAGATCGATTTGCGAGACAAAGTTGTCGTTGATTTGCAGGAGAGAATTCAGCTGACTAAAGAGGAATTGGCTGAGAATACGAGCAATGATGTCAAATCTAACAAGGTTCGTTTTGTAGGGCAATCGGAAGTAGTCTTTTCTATTCTTTGACTTAGGTACCTGATGAAGATGAAGTGCCACAGTCTGAAACTGTTAACAAACTCAAACAGCAGCTGGAGGAGCTACAAGGTGAAAGATTATATGACAATTTTATTTTCATGGTGTTGTTCTATTAGGTAAATGTTTTTCATCCACACCCGATACACATAAAAAGGGCTCGGCATGTTGCTAGAATAGTGTATTTAACACTTGCATCTATTTTTCCACATACAAACAATACATCCTTCTCATTTATCTATGTAGAATGGAACATTACTTATTATTTCATCAAATTAAAAGGAAAATCTTGATTCCCACAGACTTATTGATGTGGCAAATTTCCTCCGCACAGCATGATTATAAACAATTTAATCTCTTCTGTTGGACACTTTATTAATTTATGTTTTTGTGTGCATGCACTAATGGTTGTTGTAGAGTGCCTAGAAAGCTCTTTGTTTCATGTTGAGTTCTATAAAAGCATGGTGGTGGTTATGTCAGGTCAGTATGCATGTTACGAACCACACTTGATGCTCGTCCGGACAGATTATTAACTTTGGACTTTGTGTCGGTTTTTGGTGCAGAGCTGCTGGAAGAAGCGCGTGATATGAAACGGTCTTCGGACGCCAAAGTCACTCGGCTCCAAAACGAGCTTGACACTGCCCAACTCGAGTGCAAAAAACTCACAGAGGAATCTGAAGTTCTTCGCGGACATATCCAAGTAATTTGTCCGACACAGGAGGAAAAGCAAACATTTATTTTGATTGACCAGTTTTTGGAGCAGGGAGGACATTCGCCTGGCTTGCGGCTTGAACAGCAAATGCTCAACCTGGTCTCCTCGTCCCAGACCCTGCAGGCCCAGTACATGCAATTGCAGTCGGTTTTGCAGGAGGCAACCAACAGGGCCCGTCTGCGAAACGAGGAAGTCGAAAGACTCAGAAGTGAATAAAATGGTGGATTTACATTTGCAAATTTTCACTTTCTTTTTGCAGGACAACTAATGGAATCTCAGCAAAATGAAAAGCAGTGCCGCAATGAGGCTGAAAAAATGAAAGATGTGGTGAAGAACTTGGAGGAAGAAGTGGCTTCCTGCAAGCAACTTTCGGGCAAAGTCCTCCAGGAGGACAACAAGAAAAATGAGGAACTGCAGCACTCGCAGCAGGAGTGCAAGTCCTTGCAGCACTGGATATCAGTTATGGAGGACGAATTAAAAACGTAAGAGTTAAATTAAAAACGTGATTTTTTTTGTATAAATTTTATTCATAGGCTTAAAATGAAACACTTGCAACTTGAGGAAGAAAATAAAACTCTGAAGGCTTCCGTTTCTTCCAAAGATAGCAAATCTGTGTGTCCGGAACCAAGTGGTGACTTTTCAGCCGAGGACGAGTCCAATCTGGATATATCAGAAGTACTTCTTGTTTTTATCTCACCTTGTTTTTTCTAAAACTGTTGATTTTAGATCACAAAGCAGCAGGATTTTGTCAAAGTGATGCAGCTGTACTTGTCCTGCAAACAGCGCAAGGCCGAAATGTCCAACGACTTGGAACGCCTCAAGGAGGAGAACACAAGGCTGGAGAATCGATCGACCACTGTGAGTACAAAAAATTTCACTCAAAGTTGCATGAGAAATATAATTATGCACTTATCAAATTCTCACTTCTCTCTATTAGTGTTTCACACTGAGATCTATGAATTTGGAAAATATCTTTTCAAGAGATGTTTCCAAACTGAATATTATTATATTAATTCTGGTTTATTTATTACCGTTTCAGGTGCCTTCAATTGCTATTTATATTTGTGCTGCAGTTTTGTTTGTCGCATGGCTGTTGCATAACGCACTCTCATCATAATTTTCTTTTTTCTCTGAGTGTCACTCTTCTATGTAGTTCACTTTGTAACACGTCCTGGATTTTTATATCTGCAGGTAAATTATGAAACATGTTATAGTTTTATCTTTTCCCTGCTATCCGTGTAGTACTGCATTGTACTTTGTGCATGGTGCTGATTTGGAATGTGGTCTTACTTTTTTTTTTAATTTTTAAAATTAATAGTTACCTCAAAACTCAATTTAGAACTTTTTGTTTAGAAAAAATATTTCATTTTGAAAATTTAGAACCACTTTTAGTGTGATCTCCCTTGCATAAATTCTGAACTGTAGTTCCAGGCCCCGATATTTATTGCTCTCCTCTTTTCAGGGATTCTTGTTTGGTGTTATTCCATTGATGCTCTTGGTCTGGGCCTTAATTTTAAGAATACAGAGTTCTCTCGCCTTTTTTACCGCAACCTTCGACTAAGATTACAAAAGACGAGATATTTTGTCTAACATGCAGTAGAAAAAAGAAGAAGGAAAACACACACAATCAGAATACGCATAAATATGTATATTTATTCCTGACCTATGTATTCGGAATAACTTTATCGATGTCGTGCCATTTCTTTTCTTCGAAAGGAGCCACCTTCGAAATGTATTCACTTAAAAAATCTCGACCACCTGCGGTGCTTGCCAAAAATTGACTCCGTCGAATCTCATCTGATTTTAATTAACTGTCAAATGCCCAAACGCATTTATTAGCATTTTCGCAAATCAGTTTATTATGTTATTTGCAACCTGTTCAAAACAAAACGGTGCTTGTTTTTCAAGAGCTGGCTGCTGCAAAACTCAAAGCGCTGACTGCACTGACTTTGTAGGTTGTCAAACAAACAAATGTCGTTTTTCATGACAAGCACAAAACTAGCTGTGGAGTAATACAAAATATTATGTTGATTTACTCGTTTGCCCTGGTGGTTGTGGCCTGAGGTGGCTCCTCAGCTATGAATTAATCTTAAAAGTGTTGTAAAAAAGAAAAGTTGCAAACAAAGTGTAAAATTGTACATTGCTCGATCAAGCTCAAAATTCTAAACGCACCTCTCGAAATGGAAAGCAGACACACATAGGCACACACACATATGCAAAGTATTTATTAATTGTTATTCAAACTGATTTTATACATATTTGTAAGTAGACACCATAAATTATTTTTCTCTGCCGCTGACAGCAAACAATCGAGGAACATGTTTCGGTACAGTTGATCTGTGAACTTTTATTGTCAATTATTATCTAATTTTATATTACTCAAGCCGCAAAAATGATAGATTTCAATATATTAAGCTTGTAAAGCTAGTCATGGTTGTTTTTAAGTTTGTCTCCGGATCATGTGAACAATTATTGGAAATGTTTTTATCTGTTCGAATAGTTCGTCACTAATATTATATTGTTAATTTTTTAGTTTTTTGTTCTGCAAGGTACAGTTGGAATAAAAATTGAAATGGATCATGTATTCAGGTGTTTTTTCTTTTTAGAGCATCTCATATTTAAAGAAGGGAAATTAAATTTCAAATAAAACGATTAGTTTTGATATTAAAATTCAACAGAAGAGATTAATTATTACTTCAATCATAATCAGCATTGGCCAAAATACAAATAGATATAGAGTCTCTGGATCAAAATTTACAGAAATCAATTAGTTCTCAGCTGGTAGTCTCCGTTCTGGGTGATATACCTGACCCATGGCAATGCTTGGTATCCGCTCTTCTCTATGATTTTCAAATAGCGAACCTGAGAAGAAATTAATTTATTTGAAAGTGAAAAAATGAATGTGGAAATAAATTTCACCTGTATTCCAGAGGTAGTGAAATAGGGTATTTCGAATTTGACCTGGATGGGCGGTTTGCCCTCCGAGTCCTCACTTTCTACGCTGGGCAAGCCAAAGTGAGCCCGCATCAAGTACTCCTTGCCGCCCTTTAGAAAATTCATGATAAACTCTGCAGATTAAAATTGATAAACTAATTACGGGGAATGATTTGATGGTCCAGTTAATAGCGTTTTGCTCCGGGGCGTATTTGACACTGCCGATGGTGGTTTTGAATTTGGGTGTGTCGGCATCGGCTGGCACTGGAATGATGATCTCCACATTGTTGGCAGTGGAACGCCGCTTGAACTGAGATTTGGCTTTGATCATGTACTCGACGCGACTGTGAGCGTGTCTTTCAATCACTGACTCGATCCAAATCAAAGGTTTCACCTGAAATTAAAAATGAATTCAATCTCTAAATATTAAAGTGGTTCTATTCCCTATTAAAAAAAAAACAAATTCAATGAAAACCTTACATGTGTGTTTAATCTGTAGGACATGAGCTCGAATTCACCATCCGGAGGGATGAAGGAAATGGTGCGGTCATTCTCGAACCTTCGAATAGAATTTTAAATCAATCTTCGTGAAATGAAAATTATACCAAAATATAAAAAAAAAAAAAACTTGTAAATGTTGTGAATCCTTTTATTTGAAAATTACCTAGAGAGCCTGACGCACTGGTGGAACTTTACATCCTCCAACTCGACGGACTTTGATTTACCACGGCCGGTGCTTTCAAAGAGCACTTTGTCGTTGAGCCCAAGACGCAGCTCCGGCATTCCTGATAAGTACACCCTCATCTTGATTGCTCCGACAATTTCGCTTCGCAAAACGTTGCCATTTGCATTGGCCTGTTGAAAAATAATTTTAATATTTTGTATTCATTTTAAAAATTAAATTTACGAGAAGGTTGACGGATTCGATGACGTCAAGAAAGACCTCGTTCTTTCTATACTTGATGCCTTCCGAACGCCACGAAACGGCGTTCGTCACTGCTACGGGCGGTCGGGGTTGAATTTCTAATTTGTGACCCTCTTGAGTGATGTACCTAAATTCAAACACCATTAAAAAATCGATTTTTAATATCAAGTAATATTTTTACTCTTGCAAAATTTTGCTGTCTGTGGTCTGCGGATAACCAAAGTCGAGGAGTTCGTCCAGCAGTTCGTAGATTACGACAAAGTTGTCTCGTATGCTCTCCTCCTCAAGTTCCTTAAAATACTCAGTCATCACCTAAATTAAATTTTTTTTTCATTAAAATAATAAATTTAATATTTTTCTTTCTAAATACTTGGACGATTTTGTGGAGAAAGACAAAGACAAGAGCAATGTTGGCGTTTTTCTTCGAAGTTGATACGACGTACAGGTTGTTGTACTTGATGTAGGCGAAGGTGCACTCGTTGGTCTGCAGGATGGGCGTCAGGGTGCCTTCCTCCTCCTTCTCCATCAGCAGGGGCATAAACTTCTCGATCACGCCGAGGTCGATGTCGCCGCGATAAGTGCGCGAAATCAACACCTATTGATGGAAGAACAAATTTACAAATAGGTTTAGATATTTTTTTAGGTTTTAATTGACAAACCTTTCCTTTTATGTCCAACAAATAGATTGCCGACGACGACATAATGGAAGAGGGGTTGTTAGCAGCCTTGATTGGTATGAATATGTTTCTCCAACCTGAAATTAAGTTTGCAATTTATTTTTGAGTCGGCGTTGTATAAAAATTTGATTAAGAAAAGTCAAACAAATATGGGCGTGTCGAAAGTTTTAAAATCAAAAATTTTTGTTTTGGAGAGGAAAAAAATTGCAGGCTTGTTTTGAAACTTCTGAATTGAATGCTCTCAATCTCAATGAAGACTAAAAGGGAGCAAATAATTATTAATTAATGTCCCTTCTTGTCGGCTACATCACACAGCTGAAAAAGGAACAGGTGCAGTTGACAAAAAGTGGTTCAGCGTAAAAGACGTTTTCTGGCCCTTTTAATAGAGAAAACTTAATTACCTGTCCGTAAAAAAATTTAAGGAGACTCCAGAAATGCTTCAAAATCACGACCGGTCCAGAATTTCCCTTTAAAACGTCTAAATTTCGTGCAGAAAGATAAATTTTTGCACCTGCATTTAAGTCAGTCGACGTTTTCCAGGTAAACACCAAATATAAACCGGTTCAGTTGAAAATTATCAACAACCGGTGAACCGGCCGTGTTAAATTACAAATAACCGGATACCGGTATCGGCAGATAAAAACCTCTTTGAATGTTTTCTTTTGTTATAATTTGGCAAATTTTATCTGATTGCTTAATCAGTTAAGTAAAAATGATTTTGGAAATTTGAATGACTGTATGAACAAAATTCTCATTTCATTGGAGCAGGAAAAGATTTAAGTGAGAAATTCTTATTCCTGCAGACGTGGAGACAAATAAAAATTATCAAGGAGGTCAACAAATTGTCTCAAAATGCCCATCCCATTTTTGCATTATAAACAAACAACAAAAAAATGCATTTTATTTAATATAATTAATTTCAGCTGCATTTACAATCTTCATAACGGCTATTATATTGATTGAAACAGTTGAACGCATCATAATTTCATAAAATTGCGCTGCTGCACGGGAAACTAAAATTTTGCTGGTTATGTTATGAATTGGATAGAGTTAGCAATATTTATGGATATAAAATGGCATCAAGATATTTAATGAAATGTTGCTCTATGGAAGTTTTAATGAAGGGAAAGAAATGAGGTATATACATATTTATATAATAAACCAATTATTTCAGTCATATTACACATTAAATCTCGCATATCATAATTATTAAATTTATAATGCAACGCAACATAAACGAAGCAAATAAACAAGTTAAGTAAAATTTATGCCTTTATCTCTGTAATAAAATTTAATGATTTAGTCAGTGTGCTAGGATTAGAAAAACATTTTCATTATGACTTAGTTATAGAATTATAGATACAGAAGTATCAATTATGTATTGCTTATGCTTTCTAACGGGAAAAAGTTGGGTGGCCCTGAAAAGGGCCGATTTTCGCTGTTGGTGATGCTAACAGCTTAGCCGCCGAAGCCGTACAGGGTGCGTCCCTGCCTCTTCAGAGCGTAGACGACGTCCATGGCGGTGACGGTCTTCCTCTTGGCGTGCTCGGTGTAGGTGACGGCGTCGCGGATCACGTTCTCAAGGAACACCTTGAGCACGCCGCGGGTCTCCTCGTAGATGAGTCCGGAAATACGCTTGACTCCGCCACGGCGAGCCAGACGACGGATGGCGGGCTTGGTGATGCCCTGGATGTTGTCACGAAGAACTTTGCGATGACGCTTGGCGCCTCCCTTTCCGAGTCCCTTGCCTCCTTTGCCACGGCCAGTCATGATGATGCTGAGATGCTTCTGTCGAAACAGATGCTTCTGGTAACAAACACGGCCTATATATGTACCAACGGTCGCAAGCAACGAACGGTTTTGTCGCCGACCAATGAGAGACGAGTGCGAGACCGTTGGCGAGGGGCGGGGCTTTGGTTTGTAATAAATACAGCACTTTGCTGATGAAATTCACTCGTCTCGTCGCTCATCCGCAAGAGAAGAACTCACCATGGCCCGTACCAAGCAAACCGCCCGCAAGTCGACCGGAGGAAAGGCTCCCCGCAAGCAGTTGGCCACCAAGGCTGCCCGCAAGAGCGCCCCTGCCACCGGAGGAGTCAAGAAGCCCCATCGCTACAGACCCGGCACGGTCGCTCTCCGTGAGATCCGTCGCTACCAGAAGAGCACTGAGCTGCTCATCCGCAAGTTGCCCTTCCAGCGCCTCGTCCGTGAAATCGCCCAGGACTTCAAGACCGACCTGCGCTTCCAGTCGAGCGCCGTCATGGCCCTGCAGGAGGCCAGCGAGGCCTACTTGGTCGGCCTCTTTGAGGACACCAACTTGTGCGCCATCCACGCCAAGCGCGTCACCATCATGCCCAAGGACATCCAGCTGGCCCGCCGCATCCGTGGAGAGCGTGCTTAAGCAGTAACAACAACGGCGAAAAATCGGCCCTTTTCAGGGCCACCAAAATTTTCAAGTAAAATTACTAAGCAATTCAAGATATTTAGCGAATGATGAGAAAAATTCGGAATTCAACTGCCACAACCTTTTCGTTCTTGAAGATTCATAGATTTTCATGAGTGCAGATCTTACATCTAATCTAAATTCTCTAGGTAGTTAGTTCATATTATTATAAATTGTATCATTTATATGTTGAATAAACGTTTAAGTGAGCTGGCTTATATCTTATATTTGTAAATAATGAAAAATTTTACAGCGCTTTTTCTAAAGAGGCTGACGTTAGCGCGATGTTACATATTTCTTATTTCATTCAGCCTATAAATCACATAATATGTTGCCTTCTTTATGTATTTTATCAATATTAAAAATAATTTTTCCATCAAATTTGTACTGCCAATGTGATGTATTACTGAAAATTATTTCTGCAGCGCTTAACTCCCTTTAATTAAATTATTATGTAATTGAAATGATGAAAAGCATGGTTTCCAAAATGTAGAGAAAATTAGTTTGGTACATACATAATTATTATGAGGGGTAATTTTTTCAGAAAGCAGGGTGATCTGCACAAATTTAAAGTTGAGAATTATGAAAATATAAATAATTATAAGGAGTTTATCTGAATGTTAATTATTGTTCAATATAAATAATTGTGGAACTCTATCTTAGATTGGCACAGCTAGCTGTAGAGTAGAACAGGAAACTTATTAATTGCATAAAATTAAAATATAGTGGCTAGCGGAATCCTATTTATTACAACGACTGTCGTTAAATGTGCCACAAACTCGTAAAAATATTTTGCTATTTGTCGATGATTATGATTTAAAATGTAATCTTTCTTGCAATTAATTTAAATTTCTTTTGAGCAGGGAAAAGACCCACGTTGCCTACACTTTTCCTAACTAACGGGATATCTTATTAATTAGAAAAATTAACTAACTCTTTGTTTTGCTACTAATAGATTTAATTAATATTATTACACGTATGATTGATTTGCTCCTCATATTGCTAGCTTAGCTCTTAATTGAATCATTTGCGGCCCTGAAAAGGGCCTTTTCTGGCAGTAAATTAGTAATTTAATATAAATTAATTGGAATGAAGGTAATAATTTTATTCCTGAGCAACTTTCTTGGCTAGTTTCTTGGCGCTGGCCTTCTTCATCACAGGGGTGAAAGACTTTTTGGCGAAACGCACGTTCTTCCTCAAGGGGGTCTTGGGAGCCACCGGGGCAGTTTTCTTGACTGATTCCTTCTTCGGGGCCGACTTCTTGACCTGCTTTTTGGGGGCGAGGAACTCCTTGGGGGCGATCTTGAACGAGCCGGACGCGCCGGTGCCCTTGGTCTGCACCAACTTGCCGGTGGCGACGGCCGACTTGAGGTAGTTGCGGATGAACGGGGCCATCCTCACGACGTCCACCTCGTAGTTGATGGCGATGTACTTCTTGATGGCCTGCAGGGACGAGCCTCCGCGCCCTCCGAGCTCCTTCATGTGGGTGATCGCGGCGATGACCATCTGGGCCGTCGGTGGGTGCGTCGGTTTGGTGACGACCTTGTTGGTCTCGGCACTCTCGGCGGCGGAGGCCTCGGTGCCAGCGCTCGTCGTGCTCTGCTTCTTCACTTGCTTAGCTCGTGCCATGTCAACGAATGTAAAAAATCTTTCTGTCTGTCCTCTGTCCTGGTTCGGGGTAATAAAAATTAGCTACGAAAATGACAGGTATTTATACCCAGCGTACCGAGTCTCAGGTGAAATTTAGGCCGCGCCTATTTAGAGCTTTCTTTGCCTCATTGGTCATTTTGGTTGTAAAAAATGTAAAAATACATGTACTCTGAAAAACAATAGCTTTCTTTATAATATTTTTTTTTTAAGTGTAAAAAAATAATTATTTTTTTCGGAAAAGAATTTCATAATAAACTAGATCAATTTTTTCTAATTTAATTCAAGATTATTGTTGACCGGGTTTTTAAATAGATAAAAAAAGGAGAAGTCGAATTTAAATACTTACATATTAATTAATTGCAAAATAAATTAAAGTAAAAGAAATTCAAGTCCTTCCAAAACTTTTAATTCATTATAATATGGGATTACAAAACAATCATTGGATTGATGATGAAATAAAAAAAAAGTTATATCCAATGGGCCTGTTAAATAGAAATTAATCTTTTCTTTATATTTTCTAAAAATGTTTTATATACAATACAAATTTTGGCTCATTTTTCTACTAATAATTTTAATTGTATATTTAGACCATACGGAAACCAATTTTCGAAATATTATTGTAAAGGCGATAGTTGTGGTTTTCCATTTTGCACGAAAGATAGATACTGCAAGTTGGGCAGGTGAGCGAGGAACTCGGCGTTGAAAGTGATGATGATGAAGCTGCGGAGATGCCGCTCTTCCGAGCGACTTACAATTAGATTTTAACTACAATTTTAATATATTACAAATAACACCCCCTCTCCTAAATAAAAGAATTAAAAATTGACCATAATTATTAATATATAACATAGAAAAAAAAATTTACACACGCGCCAAAAATTATAATGGCAAAAATCTATTTATCTCTTATTATCATATTTTAACCTTCTTGACTTCCATTTTGAGTGTTTTTAAGTTTTACATTTTAGAAAAACTGGGCAGGACTACTGAATTATACTTTATCTTAAGCAGTGGTTGTGTTAGTCTGCTTGAGAATGATTGTTGATTAGTTTTCATTACAATAATTATGTAATTGAAAACAAATTTAATTACTTATAAGATTTACGTGGAAAGTGACTATGATATACATTATTGCTTATGTATTCTTATTGGAATTATTTGGGTGGCCCTGAAAAGGGCCGATTTTCGGAGTTCTGATTACAACTTATGCCTTCTTGTCGGTCTTCTTGGGGAGGAGGACGGCCTGGATGTTGGGCAGGACACCTCCCTGGGCGATGGTGACGCCGGAGAGCAGCTTGTTCAACTCCTCGTCGTTGCGGATGGCGAGCTGCAAGTGACGGGGGATGATTCTCGACTTCTTGTTGTCGCGGGCGGCGTTGCCGGCCAACTCGAGGACTTCAGCGGCCAAGTATTCCATGACGGCGGCCATGTAGACGGGGGCGCCGGCACCGACTCTCTCGGCGTAGTTGCCCTTCCTCAACAGACGGTGGATTCTGCCGACGGGGAACTGAAGTCCAGCACGGTTGGAGCGGGTCTTTGACTTTCCCTTCACCTTTCCACCTTTTCCACGTCCAGACATGATGAGAGAGTTGGGAGTTGCGGCGGGGTCGGATCGACGAAACAGATACTCTATGTTTTTCAACAGCTTGTTTATATATCAATATGCCGGAGTGGGGCGCGAAACGGGTCGATCGTAGCAGCAGCGCCCCCCGAGCCAATCAGCGGAGAGGAAACTAGCGTGGCGCTGCGATCGGCTCGCGCTGCACTCCGGCCTTTTGGAATATAAACTGCGACCAGCGCAGGCGTCAACATCAGTTGCCACTGAACCGCACTCATCATGCCACCCAAAACCTCCGGAAAGGCCGCCAAGAAGTCGGGCAAAGCCTCAAAGAACATCACCAAGTCCGACAAGAAAGGTAAGAGGAAGCGCAGGAAGGAGTCCTACGCCATCTACATCTACAAGGTGCTGAAGCAGGTCCACCCCGACACCGGCGTCTCCAGCAAGGCCATGAGCATCATGAATTCGTTCGTCAACGACATCTTCGAGCGCATCGCCTCTGAGGCCAGCCGTCTCGCTCACTACAACAAGCGCTCCACCATCACCTCCCGGGAGATCCAGACCGCCGTCCGTCTCCTCCTGCCCGGCGAGTTGGCCAAGCACGCCGTTTCCGAGGGAACCAAGGCCGTGACCAAGTACACCAGCTCCAAGTAAGCTGCGCCACAATATCCAGCGGCAGCGAAAATCGGCCCTTTTCAGGGCCACCCAAATCTTTCAAGTAAAAGTTACTAAGCAATAAAAGAAATGGTTTGAGAAAAAGTACTTCTTATAAAAGTACTATCGTATATGGCGGAACTCTTATCTATATAGAGTGGAAATTCAACACAAATGCATTAATCATAATTATCATAAATAATGAACTTCGTATGTTATATAGGAAAAATAATTCAGTACATTTTAGTAGTGTCGAAAATACTCTATATTGCCAATTTGCACATTATATCACATCACACTTTATGTGTTAAGTCAAAGTGTTTGTTCATACACATCCATAAATATAAATTATGTTAGTCTCAATCTGAGTAGTTTAAACTCACATAATACATGAACCTGGCATTAGAACGGCATCAACCTTTTATAATTAATATTTTTCCCAGTCTCATTACAAAGCTGTGTGCTTCAAGTTTTAAATTTTAGAGGTACATCGACTTCATATATAATCACAGCTTTCACAATAACTTTTGAAAGTTTGTTAATCTACTTTCCATTACTTTTTACAACCTCAAGTCGAGGAGCACAAACTGGAAGAAGACGGACGAACTGCACGAACTCTGAACGTGGCTTTCCACTTATTTTGTATTCAATCTTCTTCACTTTCTGCAGAATGCGTCCCTCGACAAGCTGTTGGGTCAAAAGCAACAGGTCAGCAGAGGGGATGCAGTCTTTAGACATTGAGATTTCCTCCACATTTGGTGCAGTCAGGACAAGGGGCAACAAATAAGGTGGAGAATTATTGGTCTCATCAGAATTTTTGTACTTGAATGTTTGAATGAATTGAAAATGGTTGGCTGTCACGGAATATGACGAGTCTTCAAACGACATTTTACAGCTAACGTCAAATTTGCGAAGGTGAGGACACTTTGCAAGCAACTCGTACGGGTCCACAACCAGGTACTTGTCTTTCACAGCAAGTTCTTCTAGTTTGCCTCCGCAGTCGGCGAGCACTTCGCACAGGTCTTGATCTTTGACATCGGTCAAGGTTAATGACCTGAGATTTGAGAGACCATTAAAGCTTTGACGGTGCAGCAGGAGAGGCCCCGAAATGAACAGTTTTTCTACGCAGGGCACTAAATCATAATCAAAGGCATCGACAATCTCCATTTCTCTCAAGGAGAGTTTTCTGTTGGTCGTGCAGATGGGACGGTGGTTGTGGAAAACTCTACCCCCTGAAAGGTACTGCAGGTGGGGCAGGTGAGCAAGGCATTCGGCTTTGAAGAAATCCAGGTAGTGGGTCTGCTCTTCTCGAAATGCCTGAGAATCGTTCAGAGAATGAAATAAAAGTTCAGATAAAAATAAAGTTTTTGCACTTACATCGTTTTCAATCATTCCAACATCCCAATCATCCCAAACGATGTCCAGACTTTCCAACCTTTGCAGGGCAAACAAGGCTCTCAAGATGTTGTCGTCGACGAAATCAAATGTGGCGGATAACGAGTGTAGATTGGGAAAGATTTGCGAAATCCGAGTCAGGTCATCCGCAGTGCACTGGTAGCCTTCGAGACTGATGTGCTCCAGCTTCGGAAACCTTTTGAGGTACGGAAGGACACTCTTGAAGGTACGGATCTTGGAACCCAGGTTGTCCGTGATCCTCTCCAAATTAGGACATCTTTCGACGAGCAAATTCCACATCTGTTCTTCAAGATTGTGGTACGATCTGATGATGGCAAAATCAAACTCCTTTGTGTGGTCATTCAAGAACACTCGTCCAGCGAACTTCAACATCCACTTGGCCATTTCCAGCGTCTGATCATATTTGTAAGAGCCTCTGAGGTGCATCTCGACGTGACTTTGGATTTCCTGCTGCAACAAGGGAGCTGAAATAGTGGGGAAAAATTCAATAATGTGCTTGAACTAATTTTGGAATAGTTACAAACTGAAAGAAGGGTTGTTTTTCCACATGCATCACTAGCCAATAATTTTTCCATGGCCTGCTCTTTCAATTGTCTGAGGTTCCTTAATTTGGATCTTTTTATTCGAGCTAACTTCCGAAGTGTCTCAGGCTCCAAATCACTAAAAAAATTAAAGTGAAATCATGATTTTTTTCTGGGGGGAAACCTCCTATTTTTATTTAAAAAAAAATATTAACAATAATAATAAATTTTAACAGTTTTATATATTTTCAAATTTATTAAATTTTATTAAATATTTAATTTCAAAAGAAAATAATTATAATCAATCAAAAAATTAATTATAAGAAAATAAAGGTCTAAAAATGTGTTGATATAATGAAGCACATGAAGAAAATATAGAAAAATTGGTGAAATAATTAATATAGTGCATATTCAAGAGGGGTGATCTAAAAAAAATAAATAAATGGAAAACAAATCTTTAAAGTTTCAATTATTATAAAACAGACAAAAAAACCATATACCATATTCTGTAGCTTTTTAAATACATGTTGTACTTTTCGGCATGTTTTGGCATGTCCTTGGTAGTGGTTATGATGAAGTTTTGAGACATTGACAGAAATTGCTGGGCTCTCTTTTTGCAACCGGCAAACAATTGATTTGCAGAGATCATGTTATTCATCGTCGTCTTTCGATCCAACCTCGGGCTTGTTTCGTCTGCTGAGCTCGATATGCTGCACCTGTGGAATGTGACAGCATAGAATAAATTTCACACATTCATTATAGCAAAATGCACGGATAAAATACATTTTGATACGAAAATTTACGCACAAAATTAATTAAAATGAACCATTATTTAAATATTCAAAATATATCAAAAGATTTATAGTTTGTGATTGATAATAAATCTGAAATAACTCGGATGAAATGAGAAATCAAACCTTAACTTGATGCCGAATGCCGCTGAACTTGTGTGCAAATTTGCTATCACTACTCACAAGAAAGAAACAAGAACAAAGACGTCAAAATGCTATCACGTTGCAGCCCCTGCTCAAGAGGAAACGCCCCTGCTGCTACCAGTGTTGCCAACCACCTCGGAGATAAATAAGCAATAAGCAACCTTTAGAAACATCATCAAAACAAGCCGATGCGGTAGTCTTGCTGTTCCTTTTAATTGTGAGATTAACTTGATCGCTAAATAATTTCATCACGGTTTCTCATAACAAGAAATAGTTAAAAATGGTTGTCCGGGAGTACAACGACGAGTTGAAATACCTGGAGAGATTGACTCCACACAGCTGGAAGATAAAAAAAGGCTTCCAGCCCAACATGAATGTTTGTTTTTATTCCTAAAAATTTGTCTCTTCCTCGATTGAAAAATTGTTCCACTGCAGGTCGAAGGCGTTTTTTACGTCAACGAACACCTGGAAGAGTTGATGTTCGAGGAATTAAGGAATTCGTGCCGACCTGGCATGATTGGTGGTTTCCTGCCAGGAATGAAGCAAATCGCAAACGTCGCCGCTCTGCCTGGAATCGTGGGAAAGTCCATCGGACTCCCAGACGTCCACTCCGGCTACGGCTTTGCCATCGGTTAGTATTTTAAAAATAAAATGTTGAAAACTTTTAAATAATTATATAATTAAAAAAAAAAGGAAACATGGCTGCCTTCGATATGTCGAATCCGAACTCGATTGTTTCTCCCGGTGGCGTCGGCTTTGACATCAACTGTGGGGTTCGCCTTTTGAGGACCAACCTGATGGAAAAGGACGTCCATGATGTGAAGGAGCAACTGGCCCAGAGCCTCTTTGACCACATACCGGTCGGTGTGGGTTCAAAGGGAATTATTCCCATGAATGCAAAGGATCTCGAGGAAGCTTTGGAGATGGGAATGGACTGGTCCCTTCGAGAAGGTACAAAATTTATTGCTTTATAGTTTGAATGATAAATTTCAGAAAAATTATTGTTAAAATTTTAAAGCAGTTAATTAAAGGTTCTTAATCATTTTCATTCTATTTTCTTTCAGGTTATGTTTGGGCTGAGGACAAGGAGCACTGTGAAGAATACGGCAGGATGTTGAACGCCGACCCGAGCAAAGTGAGTGTCCGGGCCAAGAAAAGGGGCCTTCCCCAGTTAGGCACCCTGGGCGCTGGAAACCATTACGCAGAAATCCAAGTGGTCGAGGAAATCTTCGATAAATTCGCAGCTACCAAGATGGGAATTGACTCGGTTGGTCAGGTCTGCGTGATGATCCACTCGGGCAGCAGAGGTTTCGGTCACCAAGTGGCCACCGGTATGGTCGCTGTTACGGTCCATGGAAATTAAAACTAAAGAGGAAAATTGCAGATGCTCTGGTTGAGATGGAGAAAGCCATGGCCAGGGACAAAATTGAAACCAACGATAGGCAGCTGGCCTGTGCCAGGATTGGCTCAAAGGAGGGTCAAAATTACTTAAATGCGATGGCGGCAGCGGCCAATTTTGCCTGGGTTAATCGCAGCTCCATGACATTTCTTACTAGACAGGTTCGATAAAAAGTTATACTTGTATTTTTACAATATTTTACTGTCTCAGTTTGATAACACTTAAATTTTTGTTGCAGGCGTTTGCAAAACAATTCAATGCATCTCCGGACGACCTGGACATGCATGTTATTTACGACGTCTCACACAATATTGCCAAAATCGAAGAGCACATGGTCGACGGTAAACTCAAAACACTTCTAGTCCACAGGAAGGTTTGTTTTATTTGTAATAGAAATTAAAAATTTATTAAAATATGGAACTGAAGGGATCAACCAGAGCTTTCCCTCCTTACCACCCCCTCATCCCTGTCGACTACCAATTAACGGGGCAACCTGTTCTAATTGGCGGGACAATGGGCACCTGCAGCTATGTTCTGACCGGTACTCACCAAGGAATGCAAGAAACATTTGGATCAACTTGTCATGGAGCTGTAAGTACTTTAGAGAAATTTGAAATATTTAGACATTAAATTTTTTTGAAAATTTTCATGTTAGGGTCGGGCACTGTCGAGAGCCAAATCTCGCCGCAACATTGGATACCAGGACGTCCTGGACAAACTGCAGGAGAGTGGAATCTCGATCCGAGTGGCCTCCCCAAAACTGGTGATGGAAGAAGCTCCCGAGTCTTACAAAAATGTAACTGAGGTCGTGGACACTTGTCACGCAGCTGGAATAAGCAAAAAGGCCATTAAACTGCGACCCATTGCCGTCATCAAGGGCTAATTACTAATTTATTAGCAATTAAACTCCAGCCTACTAAAAATTTCTCTAGCTGCGAATTAAATAATTCAACCTGTCGTACTTGCGATAAATACCGTAAGTGAGTGATACACTGAAAGTCTCAAGTTTTTTTGTAAAATTAATAAAATACTATAATTGATATTAAAAAGAAAGACACTTTTTGTTGATTTGAAATCCAAACATGGCTAATCAGGAAAGAGTGGCTAATTATAAGGAAATTTGCTGTAAATCGGATAGATGAGGGACTGCGGTCAAGAGCCAGGACTTCCTCGGAGACTGAAAACAAAATTTAAGACCTTTTGCCGCATTAATCCCTTCAAATTTTATCCTTTCTGTAGCGCTACAATGGGCAACAAAGATTACGCACGAGGGTATGTACAATTGTACATAGTGTGTCAAGTTTACTTTTAAAGTTTTAAATTTAAACCCTTCAAGATATATGTACTCCAGCTCTGCGCATAACGAGAACTTCGGGGAAGCGCTACCTGTCAAAAGTCACGACAAAGTTCTCTGAGATCACCTTCAGCATGTTGAGCTGCAGGACTCGTAATTAAATAATTCTACCTGTCGTGCTTGCAAAAAACACCGCAAGTGAGTCTCACTGAAAGATCGAGTTTTTTTGTATAAAAAAAAAAAAAAAAAAAAAAAAACATGTTGAATTAGAGAAATTTTTTGTTGTTTTGAAATTGAAACACGCGGTTGGTTAGGAAGAGAGCAGGGCTTCACTGCTCTGCATACGGCTCATTAGAAGGAAATTGGCTGTAAATCGGATAGAGGAGGGACTGCGGCCGAGAGACCGGACTAGAGGGGGACCAGCGCGCGCGAGAGTCAGTGGCTTCAGCCTCGCTATCTGTGCAGCAGTGAGAATGAAGGTGGTCGCAGGTGCGGAGGCGCCAGCCCGCGGGCCCTCGCAGCACATCCAGCGCGAGAAGTGGTCCAAAGACATCGAGTTTGTCCTCTCGTGCATCGGATTTGCCGTCGGCCTCGGCAATATTTGGCGATTTCCTTATCTCTGCTACAAGAATGGTGGAGGTATGCAAATTTTTTCCCTAGTGAAATTTGAGATTTAAAAATATAACGAGAGATTGGGGAATAAGCTAATTTTAAATTATAAGTCTGTTATTTTTGCTGAAAATTCTGAACATTTGATTAAAAATTATCCAATAATTGATTGAGCTACTTTGAAGGAGACTGGCCAGGTCATTTAACTTGTACACATTGATTGGCACAAGCAGCATTAACACTGCCAAGTCTTACAGAAGAGGAGAAAGTGCTTGAAATTGACATTGTTGTGTTTATTAATAGATCAAAATCATTAATTAAAATCAACTTATTACTTCAGCATATATGTTCAAAATAAAAATTAAAAGAAGTGTCATTAATTGAAATAAAATAAATAATTTTGAAAACCTAAGGAAATTTACATTTTTTTTATAATATCTTCTCCAGTAAATGAGAGCGAACGGAATTCCCAAAGAGCCAACAGGTTTTAAATTTTAAAGATTGCTTCATCTTCTTTCGCTCGGTGTGTTCGCAGGTGCCTTTCTGATCCCGTATTTCATCTGCCTGGTGACGGGCGGCGTGCCCATCTTCTTCTTGGAGATCGGCATCGGACAGTACATGAGCGAAGGAGGCATCACTGTGTGGAACCTGTGCCCTATTTTCAAAGGTTAATCTACTCATTAACCCGACACGAGAGCTCTTCGGTGACACTGACCTCGAAGCTTTTGAATTCATGTTCTTTTATAATTTTTATTTAAAAATCACAAAATTAAACGCAATTTCCAATTGAATGACTAACCCAATTTAAATCTATTGAATGAGAGAGTGACGCGGAATGCATATAAATCGCACGTCCCACGATTGTTATACAATTATTAATTTTCCTCGTCTCCCCTTTCCTCTTTGATCTCTCCATTTACTTTAATTCTTTTAACACTTTCTTGTCGCAATCGGTGAAAATTACACGCCATTCATGGGGTCATTACTGCTCATTTATTTTTTATGCTGGCCGCGACTACACTGGAGAGATGATCTCCGATGATGCGCGCTTGTATTTGTGCTCACCGGAAAGTATGAGCGGCGCGAGCAGTGAGTGAGGCAAGCGTCCTTCGCGATCGTAAATTAACTCAACTGAACACGTCAATCATTAAAAGTAAAATATGTGGACCCTCTTTATGCATACATTGTGAGTGTGCTAACTTGTGCGCGCAAAATACTTTGTCTTATATAATTATTGATTTAAAATAAATTAATTTTAATATAATTTTATTTGGAAGAATATTAAACTTTCATCCTTATAATTTTGATATTTTTATTTCTTATTAATCTCTTTTCACTTGTGGATAAATCTGGGATAAATTTAAATGTTTAAGTTTATTCACTTCGGGTGCGCAAAAAAAAATACTCTTCAATTAACTCATTTTTAATGAATTTTGTTGATAAATTAATTGCTTATTCTTTAATTTAAAATGCTTGCCCTTTTTGAGTCAATTTTTAAAAAATTTCAAAATTTTATTATTTTTTATTAAATTTTTATAATTATTTTTTAACATTATCTGTAGAATTACAGTTGAGGAAAGTTAGTTCTAAAATTATTTTGATTAAATTAATTTGTTACTTATCATTTTAATCTGCTTTTTTCTGAATTTAAGTTATATTTTTCTCACTAATTTTTATCTATAATTTTTTTCATAATTAAAATGTTGTCTTAATCTCATTTCAGGAATCGGATATGGGACGACGTTGATCTGTTTCTCCCTGAACGTGTACTACATCGTGATTTTGGCGTGGACGGTGCATTACTTTTACAACTCATTCGCCACCGAGCTGCCGTGGTCCTCATGCAACAATTGGTGGAACACGGAGCGCTGCTTCAGCCCACTCGACCCGCAGACCAATTTGACCAACGCGACCAAAGTTGACTCCGTCATCGAGTACTGGGAGTGCGTTTAATAAAAAATTAACTATTACAAAATTTAATTAAATTTTTGTCAGAAATAAGGTGCTCGGTTTGAGTGGCGGAATCGAGCAGGTCGGCGGCCTGCAGTGGGAATTGGTCGCGTCCCTTTTCGTCGCGTGGGTTCTCGTTTATTTCTGCGTGTGGAAGGGCATCAAGTCGTCAGGAAAAGTGGTCTACTTCACTGGTAAGCTGCAGCTATTATGACAAGAGAGCAATACGTCTCTCAGATTCTAACCAGATTAGCAAATTCTAGTCATTGTTTTTTAAATTCTATTTAATATCTTTTTAATTCTTGTTTATTTTGAATTTAAATTTTTTTTATAGAAAAAATCTGGACAAATATTAAATAATTTAAAAAAAAAAAACTAAAGAAATATAAAACCACAGCAATTAAAAACTTTTTAAATTTTCTTTGTTTTATAGGTTTTTTTTTAAATTTAGCTTGGTTGTCATAAACGAATTTATCTTTCTGCCTTGTATTGGACAAAACTTGAAAAAAAAAATATAGATAAAACCACAAAAAAGTTTAAAAGTAACTTAATTTTGTTGCTATTAACCTCCAAATTCATTTAGTCCAATTTTGTGAAAGTGATTTTCTTTAAAGTTAGTCAGCATTTTTTTTATTAAAATTATTTGATTTTAAAATAAATTTTTGTCCTCAATTCATGATATTAACAGTCTTTCTTAGACGACTGACCAAAACTTTGCAATTTATCAACTAATTCGTAAATTTTTCATCAATATTAATTAATTATTTTTTATAGCCACTTTCCCGTATGTGATGCTGACCGCTCTTCTCATAAGAGGTGTTACTTTGGACGGCGCCATCGAGGGAATTATTTTCTACCTAAAGCCAGATTTCAACAAACTCACAGAAGCCCAGGCAAACATTTAATCAAATTTATAAAATTTAATTGCTTTATATCATTAATCAGGTGTGGATCGACGCTGGCACGCAAATATTTTTCTCGTACGCAATCGCGTTGGGCTGCATGACGGCGCTTGGCTCGTACAACAAGTTCAACAACAACTTCGTCCGAGACTGCATCTTCATCTCGGCCACCAACAGTTGCACCAGCCTCTATTCGGGCTTCGCCATCTTCAGCGTGCTCGGATTCATGGCCAAAGAGCAAGGAGTGCCGATCGAGACGGTCGCAGAGTCAGGTCGGAATAAAAAGAGCATATATTGATCTTGATTAGAGTAAATCAATTTGCCAAATGGACCGGCGTCGATTAATTCGGTCGCCAAATAATTCCAATCAAAGCTAGACAAATAAATAACAATAAAAAAAATACTAAAGAAAAAGCTCAATAACTGTCGAAATTTATGAAAGATGGCAAAGCAGGTTTTAAACAATCAAGAGATGAACTTTTTTTCTCAACTTTAAATATTTATTTTTCAAACAAAGTGATCGATGGAATTTGTAATATTCATTTCTTTTTAATTAAAAAAAGACATTGAATTATAGCATTATGAATTTTGATTTTTTTTTATTAAATTAAATGAAAGACACAAAAAGTGAAAAATAAAATTAAAAAGACTGTTTTTCGCTGTTAGAATTTTAGTTTTGGTCCATTTTCCACTAGTTTAATAAAATATTTTTTTCTGATAAATTTAAATTCAATTCAATAATTTTAACATTTAACATTAAAGAAAGTATAATTTTGTTTTAATTTTAAAGGTCCCGGTCTTGTTTTCATCGCGTACCCAAAAGCCGTTTCGCAAATGCCGTGGGCACCCGTTTGGGCGGTTCTATTTTTCTTCATGATCCTGCTCATGGGTCTCGACTCGCAATTCGTCGGGGTCGAGGGCTTCATCACGGCCGTCGTTGATTTGTTCCCCGGATATTTGCGCAAAGGTCACCGCAGGGAACTGTTCATCCTGGCGGTCACCGTTTTCAGTTTCGGCATCGGACTCTTCATGGTGACGCAGGTCAGTTTTATTATTATTTATTTGTGAATAACTTTTCTAATTGATTGGAATGAAAAGGGCGGAATGTATGTGTTCCAAGTGTTCGACTACTACGGCGCCAGCGGCATGGTGTTGCTTTGGTTCTGCTTCTTCGAAAGTATAGCCGTCGCCTACTTTTACGGGGTGGACAAATTTTACGACAACATCACCTCCATGATCGGATACAGACTCAACCCGTGGCTCAAAATCTGCTGGCTCACTTTCACGCCAATTGCAACAATGGTAAAAAATTTTAATGAAGAAAAAAGCAAGCTATTTTGACGGTTCAAATTTATTTAATGTAGTCATAAATCTACAGTTAAAAGGAAAAAGTCGCTTTTGAACCAGAAATTTTTTCAAATATTAGAAAGGTAAAAAAAAATCAAAGTTTCTCTACTTCTTTGTTTCTTTGGTTTTTCATTATCTGAACAGGTGCTGATTTTCAAACATTGAGTCACGCTTTTATAAAATGTAATGATGAACATAAAAGTTAGTTAATTAAATTTATTATTGAATGGTTTTAATATTAAAATTAAAAAAAAAATTGAAATTTGTTATAAATTACAAGAGTAAAAAATCTAAAGAGTTAAAAAAAATCTTAATAATTTGCCTAAATAAGTTTTTTAGCGATTAATTTAATACATGAGAATGAATTATTTTTATTTATTTTCTGAAAAAAAAACGCATTAATGTTAGCTGAAAAAAAGAACCTCATTACATTAATAATTAATACATTTTTCTATTTTAAATTTTAATACTTTTAGGGAATATTGATATTCTCTGTGTGGTCGTACACGCCGCTGACGTACAACCGGACCTACGTGTACCCTTTGTGGGCACAGGCCTTCGGATGGACATTGGCTTTGGTGCCCATGAGCGTCATCCCTGCCTACTTCTTCTGGGATCTTTACCAAAGGCCGGGCACCATCAGACAAGTGTGTCAAATTTATAATCGGAAAATAAACTAAAATAATTTGGATTTAAATTTTTGCAGAAATGGGCAAGAGCGACCAGGCCGGTTCTGCCCAGAGATCACCCTGATGCACCGAAAACATCAAGCGTCCCGAACGAAGCAATTACTATGCATTTGTGAGAAAAAAAATTTACCAAATTTTGACCTCAACCAATTAGGTTTAAGAAATTCAGAGAAATGAGGTTGTTGGAATAATTTGTTTAAATACCAAAAATTAAAATAAATTTACTGACGGTAAATATATATTTTGTAAGGATGAAGAAAATTTGAATTAAACAACCAGTGTTACAATGCAAATATCAAGGATTTTGTATTTTTTTATTGCAATACAATACTGTAATGTTCCATAATTGTTATATAATTATCTGCATGAATTAATATTTTTAATTACAAGATTAATTCTAACTTTCACTTCCCGGTTATCTTCTTCTTTTTCGGTGTTAATTGATTGAAAATCTAGAATGCGTGTTTTCATTTCCTTACAATTAATCCTGAATTACTATACCATCTTATAAAGAGAATCGCCGGCGCAATTCTCCGAGAGTTTAATTATCCATTTTTGAGAGACACGTACATACATAATTGAATGGTTCTGCATCGACACAGTATAGTTTTTTTCACACTCTGGAATTTCCGTGGGAAAAGAATGCTTTATGCGCGAATAAGCGGATGAGTGAGCTTTCTTTCTTGTTCGACGCTAGAGTTTAATTTTTCTGCTTTATTGAATATTTAAGTATGTCACTTGAAGGAATACAAAAGGAGAGCATATAAAAAAGTGTGGAAGAAAAACGAGCCGAAAATACTCAGCACTAAATGCAAAGTTGACCGAAAAATGCACAAGATTTGTTGAGAGATTAACTTTTTTCCTAATTTGACTACGCTCGCCTAAGTGCAAAACAGCCCGGAAATCTGGTTAGTCACTCTTATTCAGGAACAGCTAAATCAAATCGTTTGCCAATTAAAAACACTTAAACGTCCCGTCCAGTCGGTGAAGACAAAGTTCACTGGTGGAGGGCGAGTTTTGAGCCAGAGTGGAGGAGGAATTGTTTCGAAGGGCTGGTTTGCGGCGGGCGGTTTTTTTTTCGAAGAAACTTGGCAGGTGAGAAAAGACGCGGTCGCGTGTGCACTTAAAATTACATCACAGTAAAAGAAAAATCAATTGTCCTCAGGTTGAGCATGGTAAATTTTGGCATTAAAAGGGAGGGTCAAGTTTCCTGAAAGTCGTAAATTACACAATTTTGCTTTTTTTAAATAAAACAAGTTTTTTAAAAGATTAACTTCTTCAGTCGATATAAAAATTCCTGTTCAGAATCAACAAAATAAAAAAGAATAATGGAAGAATGTAAAATTTTGAGGATTAACTCAAATAACCATGTCTAGACCTTACACGCTAGATTGCAACTTAATACGAAACTAGATTGGTCGCTCGAACTTATACAATTCCCAAAACCCTGACTAACAGATGTGTAAATATATAAAATCAAGTTGTGTGGCAAAACAATAACAAATATAACGCAAAATTAAAAAAGGGGTCACCCTGAACGGAGGAGCACTTGAGGTTGGAAGGGGGTCGAATTCAAGTTGTGACTGATACAGTGTTATTTTTATATATTATGAAACTTTTGTCTTTTGGCACCTGACCAGTGCTGAAAACTGGAATGTGTCTACCGCAGTCTATGCATAATAACTTTGATCTGGACAAATCCCATCGTACGACCCTGCGAGGGTCAAAGCGGCGGCGTACAGCTTTTTACATAGGGGTGCGCGAGCATTCAACCGAAGTTTTTGGTTTGTTCGATCCTCGACTAATCTTACAAAAGACAGGGAGTGAAGTCTGGAATGTTCTTACTTGGCCACTTCTTCCTTGGCCTCTTGTTTCTCCGTCTCGGACGCGTCAATCACCAGACCAGAATCGGTCGATTCATCCAAAGCGTCCACCGAGTCTGGTGTGTTGGCATCGGAAGTGGTCGAGCTCGAGCCTCCGTCACTGACCAAAGACAGCTCGCCTGGAGTTTGAGAAATGTTTTATTACAAAATATTTATTTCTTAAAGTCAATTTTTACATACCTGAAACTTTGTCCCCAGTGAACATCGACCACGGACGTGGCTTTGGGGCGATAGGAGGCGGTTTTCGACAGGATTCTTTAACTTTGTTAACCACTGGAACAAAAATATAAATAACTTTTATTACTTATTCTTTTTAAAATGCACAAAATAATCATAATTGAAATTATTGTTACCTTTGTTAGTGTTTAAAGGCGACGACGTCTCGCTTTTTGTACTTATCGTAGTCTGCTTGGCATGGTCTGGTACTGGAGATGGAGAGGTGCTCTCCTCAGCCTCGGAAGTGAGAAGTGGAGACGCAGGTGGCTTTTGGCTCTTATCTGTTTTGAGAATCGGCAAAGGGGACGCCTTCCTCAGGTTGTCACTCGACTGCGATCTGGGTGTGTTCATCAAAGAGGAACTAAATCCATTTATTTTTTCAATAAACTTCCTTTAAGTATCAAAAATCAATCCTACCTATTACTAGGTGTTGGACTTGGTTTGACGAAAAAAGTGTCGAGACCCTCGGCAATGGCCGAAGAGTCCTTGGAAGAAGACTGTTCAGTGTCTGAGGTGCTGCCGCGCAGCATTGGCCGTGTTGGAGCGCGAGTTTTTGCCCTCTTCGGCCGGCTCTTGACTAGATGCATCAAAACTTGGCCAGACCCACTAGAGGGCAGGTCAGACACGCTGTCTTGAGACTCTAAAATATTGATAAATAAAAATCTCTCTAGGTAAAATTTATTTCAGTTTTACCTTCAGCTGATTTTGGCAGGAGGTCTGGAATGTCATCAGCCGACAATCCTTCTGAAGAGTCCACCACAGACTGAGGCCGAAGTTTCCGACCGTACAAACTTTTGCGTTTTGAAGACATGTGCGGAGTGGCCTAAAATTTTTTTTGTAATTAAAATACTGATTTTAAACAAATATAGGAAAATGAAAATAGGGACGCCAAAAAGATCTGTTAAAATTACTTACAAGGTTCAAGTATTCCAACTGCCCAAGTGAAAGCAAGTAAGAAAGAAGCGTTTTAAAGAGGATTTTACATAGAATTTTTCTTTCAAATTGAGTTACAGTTAATAAGCGTACCATGGGCGACTGCTCTGTGGAATTAGGAAGGCTGCAGTCGGAGGGGGACGTGCCGCCTGCCTCACTCTTCAGTGCATCGGAACTCAATCTCGATCTTGTTCGTAAGACATCTGGAGTTGAAGATCTTTTTCTGATGCTTGCTCTTGAGTCTCCAACCTAATAAAAATGTAAGTTAATTAGAAATTAATGGAATTAAGACATCATACAATTGCTTTATGGCTTCTAGACAGGCACTCTATTACTTCGTCTGTTATTTTGTCGGAGAGGTGCGCAGCTGTCATGAGGTTTAGCTCTCTGCAGAAAGAAAAAGAATAATTAAATTTCAAAAGATGTCTCGTTTGGAAATTACGAACTTGATTTTATTGACTATTTCCGTTCCAGCCTGTTCGACGATGCAGTTGTTGACGAAATCCAATGGCATTGATGATTTTGCTCTGCAGAGTCTGGCAATTTCCTGCTGCGTCTGAGCATCAGCAAGAACATGTGGACACTAGGACAAATGTAATGAATAAAAACTATTTCATTAAAAAAGAGGACATTTACCTCTTTTATGGCACAAGTCATCATATTTTCTATGGTTCTTTGAATGTATCCTGCACAAGTTGTGTGAAGCTCAATGGCACATTGTTGGAGTTTGATGTCCACAGGTCCAGTTCCGTCATCTACGTCACCCTTCAGCGCAACCTCATTCAGTCTATGCAGAAGCTATATAGAAAGAAAAATGTATAAAAGTGACTTCCATCATTAATCAGCCAAGAAACTATACCTGTTTGACACTTTCTGCATCACTAATAAGGCCTTGGGTCTCTTCAATCAGCTGGACGTCCTCGGCAGGCACCTGACTCAAGGCGGTGATTGAATCTTGTGTTTGCAGGACAAGACGGTCAACCATCTGCTGGGTGGAGGTCAAGAGGAAGCCCTGCAAGAGTTGCCAAGTTAAAATCTGAACGCTTTTCAATTGGGAAATCACTTACACTCACCATTCTCTTGAGTGATAAAAAGACATTAAGCACAAGACAGAAATGAAAGTAAAATTAAAAGGTTTTTGACAGAAATTACCTGCTGCAGACGAAGAGCTTGACTGTGGTATTGCCTCTTCGGAGTGACATTTCTGTGGATGAGCTCTTGTACTCGTCGCATGATAATGTCAGTTCTCTCAGCAGATGCCTTCATACAATGCTGGACGTCGAACACAGGAAAAGGCATGTACCTTAGGGTGTAGTTGCTAAAAATAAAGGATTGGATTAGTGTATTGTACAAAAGAAGTTAACACAAGTTACCTCTCCAAGGCGTAGGCAATGTCGCTGTAGCCCTGCAGTGTAACGTTGTTTCTATCAAAGACCAGGTTTTTTAATTTTGTGTTGATTTGCAAGGCCTTGGCCAAAAGGCGGGCACCCGCGTCTCCCATCATGTTGCCGCTGTAAAACTCCATTAGTTAAACAACCCGCTGAGAACATGTTGCAATGACTCACCTAATGTCAATGCTCTGGAGACACTGGTTGCTGCCCAGGGCATTGATGAGGCTGAATACGTCGGTTTTGAGCTTGCTGTCAGCTAAAGACAGGGACTGCAAAATGCAGTCATCCTCCTGGATCATTTGCACCAGCGCCTCCATCACAACCACCACATGCTTTTGCTTCATGCTGGCCAAATTCCGTCCCAGGTTCAGGTGTTTCAACGACTTGTTCTTCCCGATTGCTGTGATGACAGATCCGAGTTCGACGTCAAAGTCTATTGTTTTTACAAAATAAATGAACAGAGCCTTAACTTTATTTCCAAAACTCACTGTTTTCATTCAGGTCAAGTTGGCCGAGGCACCTGACCCCGTGGATGCAAGACTCTATCACGTGGGCACCAGAGGCACTCAGGTTGTTGTTGCTCAGGTCGAGAGCAAGGCCTTCTGTCGATTCGTTGCAAGCAAGGCCCAACAGCAGATTTCTAAAATATAATATATAAATTTCTTTGTGAAAACAAAAAAATAAAATAAGCACAGACTTGAGAGCATCCAGAGGCAGAGAGCAGCCTGAGAAATTGAGATACTTGAGGTTGAGAGTGCTGGTGAAGAACTGTTTGAAAGAAGGTGGCACTTCCTTGCCCTTCTTTGAGGCGAATCTGTTTTTGGACACGTTGAGGTGGGTCAGATGAGTAGTGCAGCCTCTCAGAAGAGCTCCAAACAACTAAAAGAGAAGTTTAAATTATTAATTTAGTATTTTTTTTTTCAATTTAAAAGTTTACATGTTCTAGAGTTGCGTCCGTTCCCGACACATCCAAATGGGAAATACAGTTTGGTTGAGCCAGGAAGTTGCACAGGTTCTGCAAAATGGTTCAAATAAATCGCAATCCTCATTTTTCAAATTGAAGAAAAATGTACATTCAGTTCCTCTTTGAGGTTGTTGCCTGAAATGTCTAGGTGTGCTAAGGTGGAGGACATGTTCGGGTTGGACAGAAGGGCGTGGGCCAGTTGGTTGACACCTTTGCAGGTCAGCCCGCAAAAGGAAAGGTTGAGCTTGACCAAGCCCGTTGGAAGCCTCCCGAAGACGTGACTAAGGTGACCGACTCCTTTGTCTTCGATCAAGTTGTTGGACAAGTCCAAGGAGTGCAAGTGACTATGTGGATTGGCAAGCAGAGACAAAGACAACTTGTGAGCAAAGTCACTGCAACATCGAGATAAAAATTAGCATAAATCATAATATATGTATGTAGAAAAAACGTACCCTCTTAAACCTAGGTTGTCTAAGTAAAGCTCTTCGATGCTCAGAGATCTTCTTATCACAAGCAGGATTCGGTCCAAAGCTTCGTGGGACATGCGAATGTGTCCAGCTCGTAACTTTGTGAACCACGTATTATGCTCTAGGGCGCTCACAATTGGAACTATATCGCTGTAAGCCAAGGAAATTAGATTGAAATTTATTTCAAATGATAGATGATTATCACTAACCGTTGGTCCAAGTGCTCAAAATCCTTCAGACTCAGCTCCTTGGAGTTGTGAGAAAGGTAAATTGTGTCAATGTCCTGAAAAAGACACACAGTCGATTTAATTAATCTTGCATTGAGATTTCTTTATTTTGCTAAAAACGGGGCTTTGGAATCAATGCGTGCAAGTAGGCATGTGAGTTTTCCCACAGTTTCACACGTTTTGTGCGAAAAGCGAAAATGCATATTTGTGGGAAGGCAAACGAGAGCCTGGGAAAATATGCATCTCAATCAACCTGCCTCGTCTTGAATCAAGATAATTGTCATTCCGATGAAATGAGAATTAAAGAGACCGCTCTGCATGCGGCCAATTCACGACGAGAGCAATTGAAATCAATTAATTAACAATAAATGCACGGACAACCTACCCACGCCACTTCGTCTCTGTAGGGCAGTCCGTGGTAATCGCACATGCAAGCATACTGTGTTGAGAAACCACAGCAGGGTCCGACTCCGCTAAAAGTACCAGTTGCCGCCGGCGAGATTTCGGTCAGCAACTGCTCCAGCCGCTTTTCAGGAACTAGCTCGATTTTTCTAATAATATTCCTGAAGAAAAAATTAGGCAAGAAACAAATTTTTAATAACAAGGAACTATTTATGATGAAGAAAGTTGGTAACAATGAAAATTTTGAAGATAAAGTCGGTCAAATAAAAATTTCAAAAGCAATAAAATTAAATTCAAAAATTAATTTTTGATTGGGACGATTCTTACGTGATGGGAACGCTCGGAAAGATGACTAGCAGGGCAGAGGCGAGGGTGCTGAGCATGCCGTCGACCTCGAGACAGGCTGCCATGTCAGGGTCCACCCTGGTCATGGAGGTGGTCTCGCTGATCTGGCTCGGGTACAGCACAAGGGTGCGTTCGATGCCCGAGACGCTGAGCACCAGCTGGTTCGACTTTTTGCTCTCAATTTTCTGGATTTCCAGGTAGTGGAAGTGAAAGTCGATTCGGGTCGGCACCTTGGCCGTGAGGAAGAATAGTCGACATGGTGAAAACACCTGAAAGGTTAATAAAATATTAGAAAAAAAAATTACTTTAAAAAATTATAGATTTACCATGACTCTGTTTTCTGTCTTCTTGTCATTTTTCTCTAGTTTCACGAGCGTTTTCCGTAAGATCTTTATGTTCTTGCCCAGGAGAGATTTGACACTCTCTGAAAAATAAGGAATTATAAGAAAAAATTTTGTGAAACATATTTTAATCTTAAATCCACAACAACAAAATTTCCTTTCTCATTAAAAATTATGAATTTTATTTTCCTTCTTGGAACAATGGCTTTTTCACGTTAATCCGAAAAATACGGGGTATTTTTATCAACCGCAACAACAGAGGATGAATTGAAAACTGTTGAAAACCACCGAGTGATTCATCGACTTGGACGGCGGAGAGAAATGGAGTGTTGGGTTTCACTAATCCAGTCTGCCTTTCGCGTTCAGGCTGCACCTTAAAGTGACAAAATTGAGGAAGGGACGAGCAGAATGATCTCATCCACCAGGCAGTCTGAACGAACGGAAAGAAAGATAAGAAGAGAAAAATAAAAAACAAGCAGCCCGAAATTTCGGAGGCGTGGTAAAAGTGTAAAGAGTTTGGACGGGGCCTCAACTATTTAGGCCAAATTCGGGCTTTCAGACTTTTTAAAAACTCTTGAAAATTCTCAAAATTTCCAGCATAACATCAAATTTGAAGGTTCGGAGGGGAAATTTTCTGGGAAATCACCATTGAGGTCCTTCGTGAGCTGAGATCTCGTCGACATTGCAGCTTAGCCGGTGCGCCGAGGGCTCATATCGGGGTGGAAATTTGCGGTCGGACGCTGCTCCTCCGACTCGGACAGGACGCCTCTTATCACTGCTCACTCGCACACGGACGCTGTGTCCATCGCAGGCGGATTTGCTTTTCTCGTCTGGGGAACTCCGTCCAAATAAAACAACCTACGGCAGATTTCGTTCCGTTCGTCGCCAGTCGGGCCAGGCGGCTCGGCTCTTTACGCTCGGGGTCGGGTGTGTGACGTCACGGGACCTCTTTGAGTAAGGTTGTCCCCTCTTCAGGGGCGGAGTCCGCCAGCCGCAAAACTCCGCAGGCAAGTCCTCCTCCACACACGTCTGGCCTGAGTGGCGGCACCGGACAGTTAATTAAGTAATGAATTGCTCCTAATTGCTGATTAAGCCTAAAAAGTTAAAAGTTAATTAAGAGGTAGAACAATTTTATATTTTTTTGGCGCAAATCAAAATATTATGTATTTTTAATTATAATTTGATTGAAATGGAAATCCTGAAAGATAACATACATGCACAGAAAAATTCAGTGAACTGTACATTTTTTTTTTGCAAAATTTTATTTTAATAAATTACTTTACTTATTTATAATTTTCCTAATTTTTTTTAGAATTTTTTTATGTTACTTTACAACAACAAATTTTTATTAAACTTATTTTTCACGGTTTTTTATTTTCTTACCTCCACCAAAAAAAAATTCTTTGCGTCATCGCCCTGAATACGCCACTACTCAATAATTTCGTCGCAACTTGAAAATCGTCATCCCCATAGCGGCGACAGTGATCAAATGCTGCCAACATAACAACGCGTGTGATCACAAAAACAAGAATATCTTATTTTGATTTCCATCATTTTACGAATGAAAATTTCCTTTTTTTGAGTCAAATTTACCTTTTTAGCTCAAATTTAAAAGTTCCCAAGGATAAAAATACTACAAATCAGCACCAAAAAGACTTAATACCGTTCGTAACTGAAATTCTCACCGTTTTTGGTTGGCAGCACTGGCCGCTCTAACATCTGTGTTTGCCAGGGCCCTAGCACTCCCCTGTGGTGAAATGGAACATTCGATTTTAGTTTCTGTTCTTTCCGCTGATGCTCTCTCCCGTTATAAAGTGGCGCTACTGTCGCTCGGTGGCCCGGCGAGCTTTGTTTACATTAGGGGCCATTTGAGCCTGATTTGAGCAGTGTCATAATTTTTAAATTTTATTATTTAATTGAGCATGAACGCAGGAGATGCGTTAAATATTTTTTATTGTTTAGGACAAACAATTTGTTAAATTAGGTTTTTATTAGATCTGCTCTATGAGCTCTGACGTTGCCAAAACGGTGAGTTATTCGCATAATATGTAATATTTACAATATTTTTAAAAGATTGGAATTAACTATGCAAAAAATACATATATTTGTGCAGATCGAGCTATGTATTCATATTCTATGTTATGTATGTCCTATTGTATTTTAAGCATTATTAATAAAAGCATATCAACATAAAGATGTTTTATCATGTACATTAAGTTAATTAAATTTAATTTTATAAACAGTACTGAGCAATTATTATGATTGCTGGGATTTCCTTTATATGAATATTATTGTATGTAATGAGAAATTATAATTTAAAATTTTTTTACATTCTTCAGGAATCATCACCATGGCAGTTGTTAGCCAAAAGTGTATAAAATCTATGAGCCCAGCAGCCGTTCCAAACGGGAACCATCAGAAGCTCGTCAACGGTGTGTATTCGTAGTAAAAGGAAGAAATATTTTTATTCTAATAACATGTATATCTGTTTAAAGCAGCCCCTGAGTTGAGAAAAATGGAGGTGGCGTTAGAATTGTACAAAAATCCAACCACCATTACAACCTACCGATGTCATTACACAGGCTGTGAATCTGATTCAAAATATGACATTGGAGTTGTCATGTTTACTGTGCCTCGCACTGGCTGGTAGGTTAACCTGTCAATTGACAAAAAATATAATAATCTTATTTAAGTCTGAAGTTTTGTATTCTCTGCTTTACATAAAAATAAAATCTATTTAATAGATAAAATTATTTAGAAATCTTCTTTTGGGGGTGCTGTTGCTTTTATTGCAACTTGTAAAAGAGTGTCGAAAATATTGTATGTAATGTATTATTAAAAAGTCTAATCGGTTAATTGGTAGATTTAATAAAAGTGAGGGAGGGTTGTTAATTGGCAATAGACGGTAATTGGGAAATGTAGAGAGCGGAGAGAAACTAGTGTGTTTTTACGATTTATTCTCTTTTATTTCAGTCGGCGGATAATGTGGTTGGAAGCGATGGGGTTGGACGAGACTGACAGTAGGAAAAATTTAAAATGTTGTAGCAAACATTTTGATGCTCACGATTCCAACAAGCGTGGTAAACTTTTGAAGACTGCAACGCCAAAATTGTATGAGGTATACCGAATGCATTAATTCCATGCACTTGCAGGAACTAATTACTTATAATATCAGGTCCCTTCCAAGCCTCCTGATACCCCTGTTTTGCCCAGTGGAAACACTTCGTCCTCTTCCCAGAATAACACTGCAGTTGACAGAAAACCAAGAACAAGAAAGCAAAAGGCAATCGAGACTGAGCCTTCAGAAATATCTCCAAAGAAAAGGTTTGTTGGTTAGTGTGATGAAAATACAAAAGCTGCATGATTGTGTTTTTTGGTCAGGCGTCAAAAAATGCATGATGCTGATAATAAGGAAAATTCGAGAGCCAATAAACAGAGTGGAGGACCTGAAAAAGTTACACAATTGGGATTGGTGATGTATTCTATTTCTTTATTTATTTCAAGGCAAGAAATACATATTTGGTTTTTACTTTTAAGGGAAATTCCGAGAACGCCTATGAAAGGAATTAGCGTGAACACTATAAACTGTGAGGTCACAAAGCAAGGTGAAGAAACTGAATGTGATGATGTGCAGGCTGAAATGTCGTTAGGGCCTTGCCATGAAATGGTTGGCTCAGAAGTGGAGAGCAGTTTGAATAGCAAGAAAGATAAAAAATACGAGCATGCATTAAGAGGGCTTTGTAATTTAGGAAACAGTTGCTACATGAATGCAACTTTACAAGTTAATATACAAGCTCATAAAAATAAGTAGATTGATCTATTGTTTAAATTATTTAAGGCCTTGTTCTCCTCACCGCTGTTTGAGGCCTATGTTTCCAGCCATGAGCACGTCGATGGAGTTAGCCACATAAGCACTGGTACGATTTTCCTCTACTTAGCCAAAATGTTTGTGGCTTCTATTAATATTTCAAGGTTGCATGTCGTGTCATCTGCGCTTCGTATTGCACAACATTCGGAAGAATTTGGATGACCCATTTTCTCCATCGGTGTTTGCTCGATTCATATGGAGTAATATTCTTATAACAGATTTACCAGCAGCAAAACATAAATAATTTATCATTTCAAAACAGGTTTCCACTGCTTCTCCAGAGGAGAGCAAGACTGTGCTATGAAGTTGCTACAATTTGTCCTTGACGGCATAAGAGAAGAGGAGGGGTTGGAGAATTTTAGTGGTTTTAAAGACATGTCTACTGGGATTGTTGCTCACTTAAGTAAGTAATCGTACATATATTTTTGTCAATGGCATTCATTGTCTTGTCCTTCTACAGAAACATGCTGCCACTGTGAGACACAAAAAGCACCTAAGGAAGAGACGTTACTAGACTTGAATCTAAAGATGCACCGAACGCTGTCTGAATCAATTGATGATTTTCTCCAAAAGGAGACAATGGAAGGAGGAAACAGTCCTTGGTGTTACTCTTGCTTGCGGAACACAATTCACACTACTCAAACTTTTCTTCTGTCGTGTCCCCAAATTTTGATTTTGCAGCTGAACAGGTAGCTAATTGTGTTTGTGTGTTGTGAGGTGTCTAAATGTTTTCTGTCCAGTTGAAAATTGGGAGTGACGTGAAAAAATGTTTGGAAACTACAATATAACAACATATCAGGGAAGTGTAAAATAGATTTTTATGTTGTAGAAATTGGTACTTTGTGTTGATTTTCTAGCGTATGGAGTGGTTAAATGGAGCTATAACTTTGTTCAGTGCGAAGAGCTCAACATCATATCTATTTTGTTGGTCAACATTACTTACAACAGAGCAGCAACAGAGGAGGAGTACATTAACTCAAGATTTATGTTTGGCGGTTAACCTGATATCACTAATATTTATTGTAATTTTTAATAAAATTAATTTTTTAATATGGTTTTTATGGGTTTTGGTGTTCCTTTCACCCGACGAAACACAAACATTACATTGTGGTGATACGAACTAAGTTTTATTATAATTTTTTTTCTGAAGTGCCTCAACATATATTAAATCATTAATATTGCTTTAAAGAAATTAATTTTCTGGACAATTTATTTTAGATTCCAACAAAACCCACGCACTTTACAGTGGGAGAAAAATGACGGAGAAATAATAATCGACAGACATCTGAGGCTTCCCATCACACGATTTGAGATTTTTGAAAATGGCCACAGTGGCGATGAAGTCGTACCAAAAACAAACGAATTTGCCAACTATCATTTGGTGTCAACTATTAACCACTGTGGGTCCCTTCAGGACGGGCATTACACCAGTCACAAGTTTGACTCCAATTTTGGTAGAAGGATTTCATTTAATGACGCAGAGGTTAATTTTTATAATTATGGAAATTTAATTGAAAATAAACATATGGACTGAAAAAAATAGGTTGTCCACGACTCAACGGCGGAAGTCGATGGCTCGGCATATGTTTTGATTTATGAAAAACAGTCTTCAGTGAAAGATTTTTCAAAAAATGACGAAGCAGCTGCAGTGCAGTCAGAGGTTCATCAAATCCCTCCTTCCTCCCCACCTGAGAGTTCCATCGTTGCTGGTGATCATCAACAAGATGCTGACAGCGTCAAAGGTATGCTTGTGTTGCTGCAGTACATAAAGATGCAATTTTTGGTTGGCAAAATGACCTGAAACGGCAAGGAAATTTGCACAAAGTAAACACAAAAACATATTGAACGGTGTGTACTTATCTGAATCTGTGTATCTTCAAGACGAAAAATATTTCTATGTTCAGTTTGGAGTCGGATATTGAATCTCTCATAAGCCTGTTCTGAAATCATAAATTAGCCAAATTAAAATTTGGTGCGATTCTTTCTGTTTTCACACCCCATGCCCAAATTTGAAGTTAGCCGATCACGAATAATTGACCCCTAATTACGAACTGTGTTGCCACGATCATCACAGTTTTCACGTATGTTATTGGGGTCAATAAGAGGAGTCTCTGACTAAATTTTGAATTAAAAATTTGGAGTACTTTTAGAATAATCCGGGTTTTTTGAAAAACACAAAATTGCGTTTATCTTTGTTCCTATTGAGTTTAGAGCAATGCGGTTTTCACTTTAAAAAGTAACTTTTTATTTTGAACAACTTTTCTGTAGACCAAAATGTTCTAGGTAAAAGGTCAAGGTCACTAAAATGCATTTTAATTTTTTAAAGGAGTTTTTCTCAAAGAAGCATACCTTGGATTTTTTTCGTGGTATAGGAAAAAAAGTAGCCCATCAAATTTTACATCTGGTCAGCAAAAATCTCGATGGCCTATTTTTTAGTTTTATAGATATTTTTATTATAATTTAAAAAAGATGCGTTCTCGGCAAAACGCGTTATTTTGAATTTTAACTGTTTTGATAAAAAATAATGTGATTAAAACAATGCGGTTCTCACTATCAACTCTAATTTTTTATTCTGAACAACTTTTCAATTGATCAAAATGACCTAGGTCAAAGGTCAAGGTCACTAAAATTCATTTTTAGTTTTCAAGGCCATTTTTCTCAAAGAAGCATACCTCGGATTTTTTTCGTGGTATAGGAAAAAATGTAGCCCATCAAATTCCACATCTGGTCTGTGAAATTCAGAATGGCCTTATTTTTAGTTTTAAAGGTATGTAAATAAGAATCCGAAAAAAGCGCTCTCGACCATATATTTTCAATATAGAACATTAAAATTATAATTCATCGGTTTGTAGTTGAGGCACAGACCAAAACTTGGTGACCAAACTTATTCTCTCAATGAGTAATTTTTAAGTGCATATCACACATCTAGGTCAGGTGACCTCAGGTCGCCAAACTGGGTGACCTTTGACCTGAAGGTCACCAAAGGTCATCAATATACACACCATTCGATTTGACTTGAAGTGGGCATTAACTTTGGTCATGATCACTTTTGACCTAAAATGATCAGGGACAACGTTAAAGGCGATAATGTTGACCCTCCCTGCAGAGGCGCTAAGAACCATCACGTTTTTTTATATTCTTTTTTACTTTTAAATTTAACAAACAAAAATGTCACATATTTTATGTAAAATTTCATGAGGAATTGAATAGCCATCCCAAAATTTTTTTAAAACCTGCGGCTCACTTTCAAATTTGAGTTTGAAAATTTAAGGTCATGAAAAATGACCTTGAACTTTGACCTACTTTTTACTCAACATTAAAGTTGTAGCACGTGTCAAGACGTATTCAAAAATACCCGGAATTTTATTTCAAACTAAATAGAACCTGAGAAAATTAGGTTTTTTAGTTTTTTCAAAATGCCCCATATAACCCAAAATTTTTCAAATTTTTTCCAAAAAATTTAGAAGTGTTGCTTCCGAGTCATGGTTGTTATGCTGTGAAAATATCAATCGGCTAACTTTAAATTTGGGCATGTGGTGTGAAAACAAAAAGAATCGCACTTAATAATTTACGTTTATAATTAAGAAGTGTCAAAAAAAAAAAAAAAAAATTTAACAAACAATGCTGACAATTTTTTCTCTTCAGCAGTGTTCCATTTTAAAGCAACTGGGTCCAAGAAGAAGCCAATAAGGGAAAACATACTCAAAAAAATTAGCAAGACAAAAGTAACTCAACTTGATAAAGACTCGGCATTTTTCTACACACAATTGAAGAAGCAACGACGAGAAATTGTAAGGAAATCAAAGAAGATTGCAGAGTTGAAGTTAGCTTTGAGAAATGAAGAGACTGTTGCAAAGAACTTTCTGGGAAAAAACCTGCCCGAGAATTGTGTTGATTTCATTTTTCAACAAATCAGCTTAAGAAAGAAGGAACCAAAGGGACGGAGGTACAGACTTGAAGAAAAATTACTAACCATTGATGTTGCCAAAGGAGGAAGGCGTGGGCTAAGGGCTCTAAAAAAAATGTTTGCCCTACCTTCCATGATCACAACAGCTAGGTTGCTAAGAGACATCCCCATTGACACAGGCTATAATGCACGGCTCTTTGTTGCCATTGAAGATTACGCGTCCACTCTGACTGATGTTACCGCCAAAGCCGTATCTTTGCTGGTTGACGAAATCGCCATCATGAAACACCTGTCTTTCAACAGCAAAAAGAAAAGATTTGACGGTGTGGCAGATTTCGGTGAATTTGAGAGAATACCTGAGGTTGCGAATGAGGCACAGGTCACCATGATCTACTTTTTGAAAAGCCGAGTGAAAATGCTTCTGTCGTACGTTTTTGCAAGTGGTACCACCCCAGCTGATTTATCTGCCAAAATTTTGCTCGGGAACATTAAACGATTGGCAAACATCGGCGTCAGAACAGTCTCTGTTGTTTGTGACCAAGCTCCCAGTAACAGGCAAATGTACAAAAAACTAGAAGCAACGACAGAGAAACCATACATTACTCTAAATGGTCTAAAAACTGTTCTCACCTATGATGCTCCTCACATTTTTAAGCGCATTGTGGCAATGTTGCGAAAATATTTTGTCAGAATGGCTGAAGGGAAAATTGCAGACATTGATCACGTAAGGCGGATCCTGGAAGTTAATCAGAATTTAAGTGGCACAAGGCTAGCGCCAAAGCTTACGTACCGCCATATTTTTACGGACAACAAAACAGCTATGCGAGTACATCTAGCCACACAAGTCATCAGTCAGTCTGTTGCAGCTGCCATAAACACGTTGATTTCTTCTGGACATTTGCCTTCAACTGCTTGTCACACGTCCTCATTTTGCCAACTAATGAATGACACCTTCGACAGCTTAAATGGGAGCACATATTTCAATTCACGGCCTCTGAAAGAAAGGTGAGTTAACGAATGTTCAATAATTTAATTTAAAAATTTTTGACCCTTTTATATTTTTTGATTATTAACAATTTTCAAACCGTTTTTTTTTATATTAATGTTTGCTGGTATCCAATGTAAAAGTAATCTTCTAAAGTTTATTTTGCAATTGTACACAGACTAGACGACAACTCACCACACTGGGAGCATTGGAGAGTAGTCGAGAAAGAAGTTTCCCAGTGGTCTTTTGTGCACAAAATTACCAAAAAGAGCGTTTGGTCACCCTCGTTCATTAGTCTGCGCTGGGACTTTCAGGCAATGCGCGAGTTGTGGCCAGTTTGCAAGAGTCTAGGGTTCAAATATCTGCTGCTCCGAGACCTGGACCAGGACCCAATCGAAAATGGCTTCAGAGATTTTAGGGACCAGTGCGGCGATAACAGGATGCCAACGACGTCTCAATTTCGCAATGCATTTGTCAACATTCAGTTGAATGCTTTTAACAAAGCAGCTGACTTAAAAGGCAACTGTGAGCCGGACGAAGGCACCATGGAACCTGTGAGAAAGTTTCTTGTCAAAGCATTGGTAATTTTTTTGTATATGCGTTGATTGTAAATAAATAAATAAATTGTTTAAAGGTTCCCGCAATTCGACCCAAAACTTCGACACCTTCCATGACAGATGTGGCACAGTCCTTGACTTACAGTGACATAGGAGTTACTCACCGGGATTTGCAGAACATTGAAGCCAATTCCGACAGCTACTTTGCAGGCTTTTGCATCAAATACGTGCAGCGGAGGCTCAACTGCAACATTTGCGTGGCTTCACTTTGTGTAGCAGACGGACTTCTGGAACCTCACCACGTGTATACTCAATTCAAAGAGTATGACGATGAGCGACTTCGACTCAAGTACGCCAGTGAAAGGTTTGCTGATCTTGTTGGCCAAATTGTGCGCACTGTGAAAGCAGAGGTCAAGGTTAAATTCCACTTAAAAGGAATTGATGACATGGTAATGCAGCAATTAAGTTCAAAGTTCAATCACTTAGATTGGATCGGCTGCGCAGAACATCATGAACTTTGTCAAGCGATATTGTTCAAGTTCCTTATTACAACTTGTTGCCATTGGTTTGCGAAAGACAAGAACAGACAGATGAAGTTGTGTATGTTGAAGTCAGAGAGGAAAAGAAAATTAATGATAAATACCTTGAATATGAAGGTAAAAAGAGCTGTGCACACTTTAAGGAAGAAGGCAAGAAAATGCCTTGCAAATAAAATTGTAGGAGTTGGATTTTAAATTGATTTTTATAAAATTCACCCACCGGTCTCCTCTGCTGGGATTAGCCGTTCTATATTTTTGATATACACTTGAAAATCATGTATACCACATACTGTTTAATTCAACGAAGTTGAGCACAGAGCTACAGGTGTTGAGGTTGGAGAGGCAAGTGCAAGGATTTGCGCCTTGGACAACCAACTTCTTCAACTGGCCTCACCCTAGTTATCCTTTCAGTATCATTCCAAGCTGAGGTGCACATAGGTTTATGGAAAGCAGAAAAAAAGTAAAATTTTTAATAGTTAAACATTCATTGTTTTGATAAAGAGAACATTTTGTTAGTGTATAGTAGAAGCTACTTAGTGGTAAATCCGTCATATTAAATTATCGGCAGATAATTCTTTCTGAAAACGTACATGTGTATATGTATATCGTACACTTAGTTTAACTCACGATGCCAAGCTTTGCTGTACAGTTCGGAGGGACCTGAGGCGACTTCGAGCCAGTTTCACCTTGCAGAAAGAGTCGCAGGCAGCCTCAAGTGTCTCATAGTGGCCTACTGGGAGAGCCAGTGTGGAAGGTTAACCTATTGTGGCTGTTGTCGGACTCGTTCTTGCAGTGCACACATAAAATCTATAATCCCACTTTCACTTGTTCTTCGCAACACATAGTCGTAACCCAGAGATTCCTTTCAAGAGGCTAACTGCATGGGAAAATTAAAATTTCTATGTAAATTAATATTGGGAACACTTGCCTCCCCAACAGAACTATGCTTGTTCATGGACACTAATATTTTAAAGGAGAGTCTCAAAGTAGTATCCTAATTAAGCTCATGACTGATCTGAAAAAAGTGTAAAATGATAAACAATAAGTGATATTTGATTTTTTTTTGCAAACAATGAATTGTCTCAAATTATATACTCTCCCAATATCACTTTACGATTTACACACATTTGCCGGAGTAAAATGTGCTCCAAGAAATGTTGCAGAAGCATCAGTCTCTTGCGCAGATTGACCATCGTCAATGTCTCCCCTGGTGAATAGCTGTCCCTGATCTGTACACGGCACACAATGCAAAGAACCTGAAAATTTTAAACATTACGTTTTAGATTTCAAAACTTGTTACTTATTTCACCTGCGGCAATGCTGATGACCTCAATGCCTCCCAGGGCGCTGCCACCTTTCTGGGCTGCCGCACATGATCGTTGGTGCCATGCCCAATTCTGTAATAGTCGCCCTTGCCCCAGGTGTTAACACTGCCCTCCACGTGCAGAGTGAGGAAAATATTCTCCATGGTCAGCGGAACGATGCCTCGGTCCTGCGCGTTTCCAATTATGAATGGGGTTTTGCCTGCAAAATTAAGGAAATTAAAAAATAAGCCGAGGGCAGGTTGAGCAGATTTACACCGGAGGAGGTCCGTTCTTAGGTCAGTGAAACGTTACATACAGATCGAAGGGACCTGAGGTGACCTTTGTGGAAATATTACATAGCAGGCATATAGCCTCAAGTTTGTCAAAGTGGCCTTGCGAGAAAGGCAGTACGAGAGGTCATAATCGGTCGTGGCCTTTGTCGTCGGACTTGCAATATTGCCTTTGAGAGGCCTGGAGAATCTGTGAAATGATAACAATATAAGTGACATTTTCTAGTTAACTATGTGAAAATTATTAAATTATCTAGATATCATATTTTACTACATAATATATGCGGGAGTAAAGAAAGTCTAGCCTGTTGCCTGCTTTTATTAAGGCATTTTAAGCAAAAAATGAAGTTCTTTTACGTACATATTAATTTTTTGTTTAAGGACTTCTTGTTGACAGTCAAATCAAGTCCTTTACAACAATATAAAAAGATTTTTGCGATTGTTGAAAGACAATACGAAATTTTAATTACCATTGTTGTAAAAACTTGATTTTATGAGTCAATAAGAAGTCCTTAACTTGAACGGCAGCTATTAATTGCGATTAATTGGCACCAAAATTAAACATAAAACATGAAAACTTGCGTTTGTTTGTGTTCATTTTCCCCAACAGGTCCACAGCATTTGAAAACAAAATAGACGCTGGCGCCATCTGCTCCATGAGAGCGGAAAGAACCTGAACTACGGCTGGTACGAAGGTCACAAAATTTAACGTACAGAGCAGGATCTCAAGTCGTCTGTTATCTCTGGTGTTTGCAGACTTGAAGTTGGGTCTTAAAACATCATACTTGTGTCAATCCGCGTTAATGGGATTGAAATCGGTCGCAGTTTGTGCATGTCGCGCATTTAGCAGGGACGCTGGAATGACGTGTTGCCCGAGCCGTAAGTACGAGCCGCGAATCGAGCCGGCAGCCGTCGGCAAGTGGCCGAAAGTTGGGTGCGAGGCTGGGCGGATGACTTCGCCACTGGCCTCTGCCCCTTCGTTCGAACCAAATATTTGGGTCAGACCGGGGCCGAGGGGGCCGTGATCGTCGTCCAGGCGGCCACCGGCGGCCATCGCCAGGCGTCGGTGGCCGCGAGGGCCGCGCCAAGGCCTCCGAGCGGCCGCGATGGCGAAGACCTTGACTGCATATTAATTGGCTAGATTGGCTGCTGGCGGCCAATTGAGCACCGCATGTTGGCCCTTTTTGGCTCAACTCTTTTTTGGCTCCGACAGGGACCCCTTTCACTTTGGTTCCCTTCGGCAGGGGACACCGCTTTTTGCTCGCCAGCTGAAACATGACACGGCCGCCGGCCTCTAATTCACGAACCATACTCATGGTATTATTTTTGTACCCATAATTAATATCATGTATGCATATACGCGAGTGTGCGTTGTTTTAATTGTGGTTTTGGTGCGCCCTCGATTTCTATTGAGTTCAATTCAGCTAGAGCAGGTTCCGTGCATTTTTTTTTATCGATGAACGGAAGTTTTTTATTTAATGTTTTGAAGGAAATAAACTTTTTTCTTTATTTATTTTTTCGTATTAAATTGACGTCAATTTTTCGTTGCAGGCGTTTCTTTGAGTAATGCTGTTGAACAGTCTGTAGAACATGAGTAAAGGCCGAATAAACAACATCTCACCCTCGAGTAGCACTCTGGGGGTCAACGCGGAAAACGAACGTTCCGCCGGCGCCGGAGACTCACCAGCCGCCTCCAGGAAACACCAACTGGGTGAGTTTCCAATAAGCCAAGAGTGCTGCTGTAATTTTAATTGTTTATAGTCAAAATTCATTGTAATTTACTGAGCCAAATTTACGTTTTGCACACTGAAAAATAAAAAATGAATTCATTTTTAGTTTTTAGGAAATTTTAAATTATTTTACAGAAGTGGGTCTATCTCTAATTTTATTGTCATAAATTATTTTTAAATTATTTGTGTAATTATTTTTTTAAATTATTTGTTTAAAATGGATTTTTTTTAACAATTTTTTCGCAATTTAACTAATTTTGTGAAAAATTATAAAAATCATTCCAATTTGTTTTTGAAATTCAAATATTTCATGTTATTATGTTTAACTCAATTATGAAATTCAATTTATTTATTATTCTATCCATTAAATATTTTAAAATGATAATCATAATATTCATTTGATCACTAGTTATAATTATTTTTAAGAAAAAAATGAGCCTGCAAGTTTCCTGCTAGAAGAATTATTCCTTTGCCATTTATTTTATAAATTTCCTTTTTACCGCGTTTTTTCCCACGAAATTCCAAAGCATATTATTATTAATGTTGTTTATATATCCAAGTCCCACAATGGTAAAAACCCAAAAACTTACTAAATATTTTAATTTTTTTAACGATTACACACCTTGAAACCAATCCGGCGATTGTTCAATTTCTTATTTTGAGAGTGGGTACCCTCAAAATTTTACTTTTCAAGTTTCTAAATCGAGTGTCTCAAGCAGATTTATGTAACTTCCTCAATAAAATCGCCTTTAAATTTGTCAATTTAAATAAAACCCAAATTGAAATAAAATATTTTCAATTTATTAAGGTTGTAAAGTTTTTTTTTTAAATCATCAATTTTTTGTTTAAAATTATGTTACTCTTCTAATTTTTAAAGATTTTATAAATATTTTATATGCTCTCTGTTTTTATGTTTTTATTTTCTGAAGTTATATGTAATCAGAAATCAGAGTCAAAACAAATAAAGTTTGTGCCTCTGAACTTTTGGCAATGGCGTTTTAAATATTTGACTATTTGCATGCACACGAGCAAACAAAGACGCAAAACAAATCAAAACATTCGTCAACTTCTGGGAATGACAAACATTTGTGTTTGCAGGTTCGACTGTGCGCGGCTTCATCTCGTCGACGTTCCAGAGGAAGTTGCAGCCAAGTGTGCCGTCGAGCAACGCCAAGCAACAGTCTAGTCGAGTGTCCGTGACTCCGTCGAGCGTGGACCGAGCCAAAAGAAAGCAGCCCACGTCGCAGGGCGGTCCTGCGGCCACCAGCAAGAACCAGCAGACGAGGAACTCGGTTCGCGCCCTGGAGCGGCGGCCGCGCACGGAAAAGGTGAGTCGAAAGCTTCTTGCGTCGCGCCTGTATAGCGTCCGCGCGTGTGTGCATCTTTATAGATTTCCTCGAATCATGTTGAACGGCAGCCTAGTAGTAAAATTAAGGAAAGCGCCACAGATAAGGCAGGACTGGAGAAACAGGTACTCTCGACATCATTCTCAACTGGCTTGGGAAAAACGGTTTTTTTTCTACGCTCATTAGATATTAATAGATAACTCCCAGCAGATTAAAGAGAAAAAAAATAAAGAACAAAAACAGTGTTTCAAGGTTGAAATTTAATTAATTGTTTACTTATAAATTTTCATTAAATTTAAAAATTATTTTATCTTAGAATCTCTTTCTCAATTTGAAATTATTATTTGAGCATATTAAAAAAATTGGATTTTTTTTTTAATTTAAATTTTGCTAAATACCAAATGTATTTCTCAAGCCAAGTAAAAACCACTCCTCCCATAGCTTTGGCTGTCCACGGACCTAGTCTTCTTTGAAACCTCACCCTCTGGCTGTTCTTCATTCCAAATTCTCACATTATCAGACACACCGGCATTGGACGATTTTGTGTTGAAATTCAAAACCACTTCTTGTATTTGTACCAAAAAACTGATTGAATCTCACCTACTTGGCTTTGGACCTCAATCTTTCTGTAAAACCACTCTTGAGATTATGAAACAACTTCCGTAGAGCTTTGCTTTGTGTTTTCCTACTTTCTTGAAGCCAATTTTGACCGAATTCCGTAATTCTAAACTTTCAGAATCTTGAGAAGTCTGAGAAGGAAGCCACGATGCCAGTGCCAGATAATACTCTGGAAGAGTGTTCGACTGAAGTGACTGAACAGGTGCCACTACCAACTGTTGTTCCGGATTCAAATGCAACAAGTAAAAAAATCAATCCCCTTTATCGTTTTTCATGTTTTGTTCTCAAGGTGAAAACATAAAAGCCAAAGGGGAAAATGACGAGGACGAAGGAAAAGCAGTGGCAGTGTCGCCTGACACTAGATTTTTAAAATTTGACGAGGAAATAGGACGGGGGAGTTTTAAAACTGTGTACCGAGGGCTGGACACAGTGGCTGGGGTGGCAGTTGCCTGGTGCGAATTGCAGGTACTTTTTTTCTCCTATTTTCAAACTTTAAAATATATGATTTTGATATGGGAAAGTTAACAACTATCTTTGCTATTGCAGGAAAAAAAATTAAACAAAAATGAGAGGATGAGATTTAGGGAAGAGGCTGAAATGCTCAAAGGACTGCAGCATCCCAATATTGTAAGATTCTACGATTACTGGGAGGTGGCGCAAACAAAAAGGAAGTACATAGTGCTGGTAACCGAGCTTATGACTTCTGGAACCTTGAAAGCGTAAATACAGTCATGTATTTTTTTAACCTTTATCAACATTTTATTTACTCCAGGTACCTGCGTCGTTTCAAAAAAGTTAACCCAAAAGTGGTTAAGTCGTGGTGCAGGCAAATCTTAAAGGGACTTCTCTTCCTGCACTCTCGGTCGCCGCCGATCATTCACAGAGACTTAAAGTGTGATAATATTTTCATATCCGGCAACACGGGCTCCGTCAAAATCGGAGATCTAGGGTTGGCCACCCTTAAGAATAGATCCTTTGCAAAATCCGTGATTGGTGGGTGCATTAAGTTGTTTTATTTGTACTTAAAAGCCAAATTGTGAATTTTTTTCAGGCACTCCTGAGTTTATGGCCCCTGAAATGTATGAGGAACACTATGATGAGAGTGTTGACGTCTATGCTTTTGGAATGTGCATGCTGGAGATGGCCACCTCCGAGTATCCATATGCAGAGTGCATGGGGCCCGCGCAGATTTATAAGAAAGTCATTACAGTGAGTTTTGTTTATCAGCAATTGAATTCTTGTAATAAAAGAAATTATAATTTGCAGGGTGTGAAGCCACTTAGCTTTGAAAAGGTTGAGAATCAAGAGATTCGAGATATTATCGAAAAATGTATTCGCCTTAAGAGAGAGGAAAGGTAGTTGTATTCATTTTTTTATAAAATCAATTCTAATGATTACTTTCAGACCAAGTGTTAGAGAGATAATTAACTACGATTTCTTCCAAGAAGACGTTGGCTTGAAGTTGGAGCTAGTGTCTCAAATCGAGGAAGTGAAGACGCTGGGAAAGGTTTGTTTCCGACTGCGGGTGATGGACCCCAAGAAGAGGAGTAACAAACACAAAGAAAATGAAGCAATTCAATTTGAATTTGATCTGAAAAATGATAATTCAGACATGGTTGCTACGGATATGGTAAAAATTTTCATGAATATTACTGTTCAAGTAAAAATAAATTCCTTCAGGGCACATCTGGTTTGATTTTGGAAGATGACGTTCGGCTTGTTGCAAAGCTGATTAAAGACCAACTCCAAATCGTCCTCAAAGAGAAGGAGGAGAAAGAAAGCGAAAAATTGCTTGAGGCACCTCAGTTTGAACAAGGACAAGGTTTAATAAAAATCAATTAAAATAGATCAAGTGTTGACCTTTGAACTTACTTAGATAAGACTAATGACTCCGGTTACATAACGATTCATAGGGAGGATCAGGAGTTAAAAGATGCAGCTGGCTTGTACTTTCAACAACAACAGGTCACTAACTTGCTAATTTTTTTCTTATTTAAAATTAAGACAAGTTTTTGTTCATAGACTGGAAATCAACAGCAGCAACAACAGCAACAGCCCTTTTACCAAATGACCCAGTTTGCGCCGCAAACATTCATGGAGCAACAGCCTCAGATGCAAGACATGCAGAATATGCAACCGGCATTACAAGAAATGCAAACAATGCAACAGCCTATGCAAGAGATGATCCCGCAACAGCAACAACAGCAGCAGCAGCCCCACACGCAAGAATTTATACAGCAGCCCATGCAAGACATGCTCCAGCAAATGCAGCCCCCCATGAACGAAATCATGCACCAGCAACCCCCGCAAGTCCAGGAAATGATGCACCAGCAGCCGAATATGCAAGAAATGATGCACCAGCAAGCCCAGATGACAGAGATTTTGCCTCAAGCACCTATGCAAGAATTAATGCAACACCCACCCCAGGTATTTTTTTATATATATTTATTTTAATAAAAATAATGGAAGTTTTGCTAAAATTTAAATTGAACGTTTTGATTTAAATAGCAGCAGCAACAACAACAACAACAACAAGATCTTCTTCAGCAGCCTTTAATGCCACCTCTCATTTTGGATGGGAACCTGATCAGTGGCCCGTCCTCACCTTACATTATGGAAGGAATTGCTCCTCTTAACTATTGCATAGACGTTGCAAACTCCTTGGAGACCACTGACAACCCACCGCAGTCTTATATACTCAATCATAATGTAACCCTATTAAAATTTTTAAATTTTCCAACTATTCTTATTTCTTATTTTTCTAAAAATCAGGTTCTGGGCCACAACGAACCAGAAATATTTCCGCAGATGGAGCTTCGACACTCTGGAGATTACTCAAGCTTGGATATAAGTAGTGCATGCGAACCTGTTCCGTTTCAAGAGCAAGTAAGTGCTTGTGACTTTTTGATGAGCCTAAAAATTGTAAGTTGACTGATTCAATAACCTACAGGGGCAGAACCAACTGCTTCAGCAAATTCAATCTGAAAGTAAAACAGTCACTTCGCCCAATTCTGAGAAAACTGACAATTTGGATGGGTTAGCTGTTCGATAACCCTAGAAACTGATCTCATGATTTAATAATTTTTCCCTCAGAGATTCTCAAGCTTCGAATGCTGCAAAGCAAAAGATCCGGCGGAGGAGACGAAATGACATGCGTGGACCTCGACTCACGATTTTATCCTTCACAAAAACCGAAGTCGAATGTGAGATGGAGTGTTCGAGGCAAAAAAGGGTTACATTCAAATTTGACATTGAAGATGCAAACTTCAAGGAAATTTCTCAAAACCTGGTATTATAAGAGAAAATTTTCTAAAATTTATCTGACATTTTTACCCTCAGGTTGATTCAAAACTTCTGGCCGAAGCGCACAGCAAAGCCCTGGTGGACTTGTTGACAGAAGCGGTTTCTCTTTTAAAAGAAAATCCCGAGGAACTGCCTATTTTGGGTGGAAGTGGTCTGGATAACGCTAGCCCTGTTGCTATTCGAAAACCAAGACAGAGAGATCGTGAACAACAACTTAAATCAAGAGTATGTTCATAAAAGAACTTTAATTTGTTATTGACATTTTGACGTTTTGTTATCTTATTAATCTTACAATTAATTTATTTTTCTTCAGGTTAGACACGGTTCCCTGACCCGTCAAACTTCCACATTATCGTCATTTTTCAATGGCCACCGCAGGCATCGCTCAGTAAGATAATTGAATTATTTTAATACTGGTCTTACAATTATTCAACTTTCTAGAGAGATGATAGCATTCCTGGTCTTCGAAGGTGGGATTCGATGACCAACTACTCAGCAGCCCAGGACACACCATTTGGCAGTCCCGTCAAAAGTTCCATACCAAAAAGCGTAATACATTTCACCTTGAAGCGCTTTCCAAATTTAACTCACTTAATCTCTCTTGTGTCAGGATAACACACCAATCAGTGATAATGAGCCGAAATCTCTAAGCATAGAGCGGCAGGCTTCAATAGACGAAAAGTCGAGAAGCAGTGGCGCTACCACACAACAAAACACGCCAGAAAACACACTACACAGTGACGCTCTGGCGAAATTATCCCAGCAGGGTTCCTTTGAGCAAAATCATGAGTCATCGTAAGTTTGAAAACAACTCAATTAGTTCTGTTGTATGGCACCAAAGAAAATTTTGCCCAGGTGCCAGACGATTGGGGAGCTGCACCAGAAATTGCAGGAAGTGACCTCGCAGCCGTCTGAGTTGTTGCTGCCGGGTAACACGCCTGTCACCTCCCACCCTGCCACCCCTTTCATAGCACAAAGCTACGATTCGTATATGCAAGCACTGCAGCAGAAACTCGCCTCCATTTCGATGACTGGCGGTCAAGCTTTAGTTAGTTTGAATTCATTTTATTTTGGCAAGAGATTTTTTGTCCGAAAATCTCTCGGCAAAATTCAGGACCTTCCGAACCTTTCCTCACAAGTATTTTGTTCCCAACAGGGTCCCCTCTCCCCTCAGAGCACAATCCATGCAAACATCAGCCCAGCTTTGCTCATCCAACAACCCTCAAACGCACCAGTTGAATCTGCTGACCAGGCCAGGGTCCCCACAGCTTCCGAACCGTTGGCAAATCTCCCTCTGCTGATTCCTTGTGCTACAGATCCCAGCAAGGTGCAGCCCTATGTAGTGCATCCGTTAACTACGGCGGAACAGTGTGCTCAGGCAGCGCTCGAACTTCAGAATCTCGACCAGGTATGGCTAATTATCTCAACGTTTCTATCATCACCAATATTTTAAATGCTAGTAAAAGATTTTTATGATATTGAAATTAAATTCTGTTTTCAGGAGCTCTCCAAAATCCACCAAGGAAGTAGAGCGACGGGCTTAGAGTCGCATCCTCAATTCTTGTTGCCATTTATTCATGTGAGTCAATTGCAATAACAAGAGTGAATGAAATATCTAAATCAACCCTTACAGTCTGATATTCCTAATTTGGTGCCACAATTGTCTTTGTCTGCGATACCTGGGCAGCAGCAAAGCGCCAAACAGCCGAGTGGTCAGACAGAGCAGTCAGCCATACATTCCAGTGAAGCAAGTTTAGGCCCCGCGGCGCCTCCAGTGCGTCGGGTTTCTCGATTTCAAGTATCCGTTGTCACGGAAGGCAATCCCAAGCCTGACGAAGGCAGTGAAAACAAAGGTTTTGATCCTTAACTTATTTTCAAAGCAACCTAAATATTTTCTCCAAAAGAGTCGGTACCTGTATCTAACCTAAATGTGCCGCCGAGTGGCCAACACCAGGAGGATGACCGGCACAGTCCGTCGATGGCCCAGCAGTTCAACGGCAGCATCCACCCACCGAATTACCCTGAAGATGCGCAGGTCAACAGGCAAGGGCGTTTCAGCGTCGTCACGCACCCTGGAGACGCTGCAGAGGACTTTCCGTGGGAGGATGGCGAGGTGGACGATTACTCGGAGGAAGAAGAGGAGCTGTACAAACGGCCTCAGCCGAGGTCCAGGCATGATAAGGTCAGTTCGGATAGAAGTGTGCTAGATCATCCCTCCCCTGGTTGGTTTGAATGCTATGAGATTCTCTCCGTATGTACCTTTGGTGTGTTTCTCAGGGAGGAGGCAAAGGCGCGCAGAATTTTTTCTACCAAATCTAGAAAATGATATTTACAAATGATAATAATTTTTCTTTCAAGGATTGATGATTATTTTAAATTTATAATAAATTATTTGAATGGAAGTTAAAAAAATCCTGCGTGCCTGCTCTGAGTTTGCTCGAATACTGTAGATTGGGCCTTACCATCTGCCAAAGCTGGCAGGGCTGGGGGCCGGCAAGCACCCCTTCCGCGGGCACCACCACCCCCATCCGCAGCACGTCTACCTTCCGGAGCACCCGTCCTATCCCGACCTGAGCAGGTACTACCAGGGCCACCAGTTGCCCGCCACTCCTCCTCTGGCGGCCCGCAAAGCAGACACCTTCAAAAAGGCAGGCAGCGTGGCCGACTTCCGCAACTTCCCTTCGCGCAGCACCAGTCCCGCCGTGCAGGCCAGCGTGGCGCCCCCGGCCTCGTTGCCCCGCTGGTCGAGCCACACCGACCTCAGCGTGCCGCCGCGCACGCGACGCAAGCTGCCCCAACGTCCCGACCAGACCACCCACCTGCAGCGCTCCTACAGCTTTGACCCCCACGACCGCCCTGAGGTAGTGTCCCAAAAACAACCCCCTCCTTTTGTCTCTTTCACTCGCGCCAGGAGAGAACTACCAGTTCTCATGAAAATCGACTCTATAGTCTCAAACTGTTCAAATTAGAGTTGTTTTACAATGAACAAATACTTAATTTAAGTGATCTGTTTTGCAAGAGACTTTTCATAATATATTTCATTCAAAATAACTTTTTCAACAAAGTGTTAATCTGAATTACTCAAACTTCGGAATTCAATTCTTTATGAATTTGCATTTGTATTTCTTTCATTGGAAGTTCTTAACTGATCCTATTGGACTGGAAATAATTCTATAATTAATTTTAATATGTTTTGAAAATTTTATTTCAAAATTTTAAACAATTTTTTTTTATTTATCTCTGTAGATATAATTGATTGATAGCATTAATTTTCATTTTAATCTATACATCAGTTTAATCAAGATTGCTATTTAATCAATATGGAAAAATAATTAACTTGGCCTTGTAAAAGTTATGCAACTTCTTATAATTTTTCATGAAATTTAAATTTAGAAGGATAGAAATAAATATTTTAATTATATTGTTTTCAGTTCTAAACAATAGACTTATTAAAACTATTTATTTGAAATTTTTTAGGTGCCGCAAAACCATTCCCAAATTAAAATGTTTTTGTCCTTGCAATACCCAGATCACTTAATTTAAAACCAACCGAGCTAGATTTGCACAAAACTAGTATTTTAGACCAAAAAAATTGTTCTGTAAATAAAATTCCAAAGAAAGAATTTCTTCTATTTCGGTCGATTTTGGTGAGCAACTGGTGTAATCGTGTGTTGTGCGAAGGCGCGGCGTGTCAAGGACGAGCCGCGCTTCCTGCTGCAGGCCAAGCTGAAGCACGCGCGCAGCCTGTCGAACCTGTGCAAGTCGAAGAAGGGGCTGTTGGCGGCGCCCACCGTCAACAACTACCACACCGTGCACGCCGGCGGCGCCGCCTGGATGCACCAGCCGGTGCTCATATCCTCGTCCGAGGACACGGACGTGTCCGACCTGGACGCCGACGACGAGCTGGAGCCGCGGTTCTCTGCCGCCGCGCGTCCCTCGCGTCGATACGCGGTACGCGAGCATGCAGGGTCGGACTCAAATCTCGCTTGTCCCACACAAGACAGACTCGATCCTTCTTTTTTTTTATTATTCTCTCTCTTATTGCACTCTGGTGACGGTGGTGGTGGCGACCTTGAACCTTGACCTGTCCCTGTTGTAGTGCGCGACGCATGCTTCACTCCGTAGATTATGAGCAAGGAAAAAAATAAATCAAAGAGAAATGTATGAATGAATGTTGTGGTGCTTAGGCTAGAGGAACTGGTGAGAAAAAAAGTGGAATTTTTAAAAAAATTTCTTAGTATTTTTTTTGTAATTCAAATTTTTTGTAGAGATCCTGATAGAAAGATTTTTCAGTTTTTACAATTGAAACAGTTTCATCGAAATTTTGTTTTGAGAAATTTTTAATAACTACATTTTGCAAAGATCTACAATTTTAATCTTAAATTTTTAAGTGTTTCCAGACTCTTAAATAATTAGAAAACCTTCCAACTTCTATTGCTCGTATATCCGCACCACAAGTATTAGATTTTTTTTCATGAATGAATCCAAGGATGTCGGCAGAAAGTTTCTATGCTTTTGTTTAGTCCCACAGTAACCTAGATCTTCATCGTCTCCATTATACAGACACACATACCATTAATTGTGAACTAATTATTTGTCTTGACAACTTGTTTCAGATAACATTCACTCGCGCAGCTAATATAATAATTCATTGCAGCTTCAAACATCGTCATGATCGTAGCAAAAGCCAGTGAAATCGCTCAAAAATCATAAGTCGCAAATTCGTGCTTTTCGGCCACGGTCCACGTTTGTGTCCATTAATTTCCAAGGCTTTTCGCTACTCATGTCACTCGCTTTGCCTTTCATTATAATTTTCAGCAATTTTGAACGAATAGTCTAACTTGCGATTGTATTTTTGGAACGCAGGACAGCAAATTCCACACCGGTATTGCACCTTATCATTCGGAAAATGATGGAAGCCCAATGTTCCAGAGAGATCTGAAGCTGCTTTTGGAAAGGTTTGTTTCAGTAAAACTCAATTACTTTTGTCAGTAATTTACAGTATTTTTATTAATTGACTTGTTAAAAATTAAGAAAATAACCAATGAAGTTAAAACAAGCTGTCTGAAATTATTTTTGCAATTCTCTTTAAATTTCTTTGTGCATTATAATGTTCCAATAAATATTTTATATAATTAAAGAACTTTTTAACTTTGAATTGTCATTTGATCAACAGACATGCCCGAGAAATGGAGGACCTGCAGCGGCGCCACCAGCGCGAATACGAAATGTTCTTTGTTGAGCATGGCCTGAATCCTAGGTACTCATCATCGTCCCACCTGCACCACCGACGGCCGTCGACCGGCAGCGACCCTTCCTACCTTACAGAGAGGGCGCTCAGCCCGTCGATGCACCCGCACATGTACGGCCAGGTGCCTTACGATGTCCCATCGCCCAACCGGCCTAAGGAGGAGGCGCACCACTATGCACCGCAGCAGCAACTCTGCTTCATTGTAATTGTCGTTTTGAGTCTCATTTACTTTTTTAGTGCCTTTTCCGTCGTTGGCTTTTTCCTGTGCTCATTACTGTTGTTGTTGTTGTTGTAGGCTCGTCCGCCAGCTTCTATGGCTATGCACATGCCCGGCCTGGCCATGCAGTACCCCGAGGGCGGCCACTTGGCTCCCAGGGGCTACCTCATCTACCCGGCGCCCATGAGCCAGGAGGGTGCAATCAAACTGGCCGAGGGCGGCTTCGTAGCCTACCCCCAGTGGATGACTCCGCAAATGGACAAGTCCGGAGGTCAGTGACCTCCTCTGCACTGCAGTCGAGCCGACGGCACTCGGGATGTGGGAAGCCATGCAGAAAATAATGTACTCACTCGTCAACACTGAGAGGAAATGTGATGTAACTCGTAATAATAATTATGAAAATAAAGCAAAGGCGGTACTTTGATCATCGTGAATTGAATTCAGGAAGCAATCATTCTTGTTTTTATTTCTTAACTTTACTTTGATCGGAAAATAACCATAATTATCAATTTAATTACTGATATTTGTTCTTCTCAGTCAGAAATACATTTTTTTTTTAAATTGGGTAAAAAGAGAAGAGAGGGTTTACAATTTACATTTTTACAACTAGTAGATATCTGCTAAAACGCCCGACATTAATTGAGAACTTAATTTGAAACCTTAAATAATGGTTTTTTTTATTTATAATAGAAAAATTAATAAAAAAATTTTATATTTTTGAAACATATTGATTTGCGAATAATGAGGCAATTATCAAAAATTTGTTCCACGCGCCTGCAATATAACCAAAACTTTTTCGCGCCATTGCTGTTCAAATGAACTCTCACCCCTCACCGTGATTGGTCTGTTGCTCGTTTCAGCTGAGAGGGCGGCGGCGGCATATTTACATTCGCAAATTCTTTTCGTGCCTGACATTTAATTTGGCATTAAGGAAGCTTCAAAATGCCGCTTATATGACACTCGTCCTCAATAGAGAGCCTCCAACTGCTCTAGTGCGCGGAAAACATCCGAGTCGGCCGCAAAGACTCGCTTTCGCCGCCAATTCGCCGAATGAAAAAGGTTGGTGTTTCCGAGGGTGGAATCTTGCGTGACTCACTCGGTCGTGCAGTTATTTTCGTGTGTACACCATCAATTTGATGTGCATAATTGATTCCTTTGCTCCAGTTTCAGCGAATCCACTAGTCTCGAGGCCTTAAAACATTATGGTAAGAAGCTTATTATTTTCGAAATCTAAAAGAGAGATTTAATTTAGAGTTCTCAGGCGGCCTCAAAGACGGAAGGGGTCAGGGTAGTGGTCAGGTGCAGGCCGATCAGTGATGACGAAAAAAGGGCTGGATTCACTTCGTAAGTATCTTTCTGAAAGCCCTCGCTAATTGATTAAAAAAAAAAATTAGAAATTACAATTACAATCTATTTAGATTTAGACCTCTTCTGAATCGATTCGATTTATGTAACAAAAATTTTTAATTCCAGAGTGGTCAAAGTACGGCAGGACCGAGGCGTTGTGGAGGTTTTTGCGCCTAGTGGGAAATCGGAAACACCCAGACGAGAGTTCACCTACGACGCTGTTTATGGATCTGAGTAATTTACTTTGCATATTTTCGTAATGGAAATAAAATTTAAAAGTTGCTAGAATTTAATACTCTCAAATTAAATTAAAAGAAATAACTCAAACTTTCATCAAACTTAAATAAACCTGAATTTAAACGTTTATTTATTATTTATTTTAGTTCTCGACAGCAAGAGTTGTACGACGAAGCTTTTCACCCTTTGATTGAGTCTGTAATGCTCGGCTTCAACGGTACGATTTTTGCTTACGGCCAGACTGGAAGTGGAAAGACCTACACAATGGAAGGTGTGATAAAAACCTCAAAATTTTTCACTTCAAATATTGAACTGAAGTATTTTTATCAGGCATAGCAAATGACCCTGAGAAACAAGGCGTGATTCCTTTTGCGTTCGAGCACATAATGAACCACATCGCCAGGTCGCAGGCCACCAAACGCTTCTTGGTTCGCTGCAGCTACCTGGAAATTTACCAAGAGCAAGTCCGGTAATTTTTGATGGACTTCAATAATACACAGAAATTTTAAATAAAATTGGTCATTTTCAGAGATTTGTTAGCTAAAGAAATGAAGAGTTTGAAATTGCGTGAGCATCCCGAGCACGGCGTGTTTGTCGACGGTTTGCTGACTGAAGTGTGCAACAGTGTGTCTGATCTCAAGCATTACATGTCCATAGGCAATAAGCAACGTAGTATAGGGTATTTGCAGAAATCATTTCTAATATTTTGTGTGTTGACTGCTTCCTCTTGTTTCAGTGCCACCTTGATGAATAGACAGAGTTCCAGGTCCCATTCGATTTTCATGATCACCGTCGAGTGTGAAGAAACGGCTTTGGACACGGCCAGCGTCATTCGAGTTGGAAAACTCAATCTAGTTGACCTGGCTGGCAGTGAAAAGCAGAGCAAAACCGGCGCAGAGGTGCGATTTAATCACATATTAAGTTTTAATCTTATACTTAAAGAAAAATTCATAAATTTAGGGAGTTCGACAGCAGGAAGCTTCGAACATCAATTTGTCATTGTCTGCGCTCGGGAACGTGATTTCAGCATTAGTCGAGAGTCTCAAGACCAAAGATAAAGAGACGCACATTCCGTACAGAGACAGTAAATTAACTAGATTACTCAAAGGTATTATAAACTCTCTGTGTTTTCTCATATTTTATTCTTAAATGTTAATTAATTCAAGATTCCTTGGGAGGCAACTCGAAAACAGTGATTGTAGCAAATATTGGCCCAGCCAGCTACAATTTTGAAGAAACAGTGAGCACCCTCAGATTTGCGTCGAGGGCCAAAAAGATCAAGAATGTCCCTGTTGTGAATCAGGACATCAAGGACGCCATGCTGCTCGAGTACCACCAAGAGATCCAAAGGCTGAGGGTAATAAATTATTTTTTCTAATGAATCAAATGTTAATTAAGTCATTAATAATCAGGCCACTCTGGAGGAACGCAAGAAAAAGAAACTGGAGGATGTGGGGATCAAGTCGGTGGTCGAAGATGATAATATTGTACAAAACATGCGTAATTTAATTTTCGTAATATAAATATTTATTTTTTCTAGACTAATGATAATGCAAATGAGTACTTGGTGAGCGAGGAGAAGGAGAAACTGCTGCAAGAGGTCAAATCGAAAGAAGAGGCCTTGGAAAAGGAAAAGGCGCAGAAGGGACACCTTGAGGAGAAAATCAAGGAGCTGGAGAGCAAATTGCTTTGTGGCGGAAAGAATATTATAGATCACACGAATGAGCAGCAGAAAGCTCTGGAAATGCAGAGGCAGGAAATAGCAGAGCAAAAGGTCAGTCTTTACCTTTATAGCTGAAATTTTAATTAATCTTTAACAAATTAGCAACGGGAGCGAGAAATGCATCAGTTACTAGAGGAGCAGGAGGAATGCGCACTGGAGATGAGAGAGACTCACTCCAACCTACAGCAAGACATTGCACAGACGACCAAAAGGCTGCGGAAGGTCTTCTCAAAGCTGCAAGGGGCCAAGCAGGAGCTTCACGAGGTTTGTTGCTTTGTGGATAAATTTTTATCAAAAATATGTAAAAAAAATTGTGGCTATCAATTTTAGCTCAGCGAATTGAATGATCGTGAGAGACGAGAGTGCATGCACACTCAGAACGAACTGACCAAGGAGCTGAAACTGAAGTATCTGATCATCGAGAACTTTATTCCAGCCGATGAGAAGAACAAGATTCGCCAGCGAATTGCTTATGATGAGGATGAAGACGCGTTCTTTTTGCTGCCACTGTCTCAGGTGGCGCCGCAAGTCAACAGCCGTCCCGTCTCGGCTGCTGGATCTCGAAGGCCTGTCTCCGAATACGCCAGAATGTCTTCATTCATGGGCGGAAGCCCAAGATACAAGGTCAGATTTGCAAGTCCATATTAATATCCTTAAATAAGTCAAAAAATTTTAGGGTGAGAACATTTTGTCCCTGGAGTTGGACATGCCACTGAGGACGACCCTTGACTACGAAGGCCCTCGAGTGTCTCCCAAAATTCAGGCTGTCCTGGACGCTGCACTGAATTCAGTTGACCCCAAAGAGGCAGACATTGACATTGACGCCAGTGCAGCGTCCCTATTGGCCCAGGGCAGGATCCGGGCTGAGCGTCGAGACAAACAACCGAAACAGACAAGGTAAGTTATTCTATATTAAATTGGACTATTTCTTTCACACCTATTTTTGCAAATTTCAGAGCAAAGAGTGCTAAAAGCTGCTCATCGTCCAGCTCCTCTCCGACTTCGTCGTTCCCGCAGGCGAGAGGTCTGGTTCCCAAATAGCTAGGGGAGGGCTCTGCCTCCACTGCCTCTGAAATTCCCTGGTGGCACCTACTTATTATAGTCATAGCTTTAATCTTGTTGTCGCCCCCAAATGTAAATAATTCCGACGGCAGCAATTAGGTTCATAATGTTTGCACATTTGTTTAGTTAAGGCCTATTAAGCGCAATCTGCAGAAGCAAAAGTTTAATTACAACAGGTGATAGGATTAATATATTGTGCTCAGATTTTTTTAAGGAATGAATTTTGATAATTTTATTGATGGCTCTGAGCATATTTATAAATCTATGAAAACAACCTGTTCTTCAAATCAAAAATAATTCTTTACCAAGTTGATGTGCTCATTTGTAAGCAGTAGCAAGTTTAATTTTAGTGCTCAAATATTTTGAATATCGTGTTTAGCAGCTGGAAATCCAATTTGTAAAGTATTTTTATTATTTCACTGTGATATATTATTTATTAATCTGTATCCACTTATGTTATGGTTATATTTATTACGGTTATTTATTAAGGTTTGATCTTGATCAGTATTATATTTTGCAATTTATCGTAAACGCACCGCAACTTTTATAGTTTTTTCACTAGTCCTGCTGATATAATGGCATTTTTTAATAATGTAACATTTTTCAATGATGTTCTGTGATTGGAATCGCAAAAACCACAAGTGGCTATTCAAAACTGATTGCAAATCAATAACCTCACTCTAATCATCACCGCAGTCGATTTAAAATAAACTTGTTGTAAGTGTGAATATATTGTATTGGTTTTCTCTATAATGCGTGGCTATACCAATTTTAACAAAGCGCGAGAGCTTATATAATAAAGTTTACAATCCAAAAAAATAAATCCTGTGTAAAATGTCTTTCCTTCAAATGTCAAAAGGTCACGAGAGTTCCGAGATCAGATTCTTCTTTTTCTTACTGTCTGTGGACAACTTGATCTGTTCGTTTTCACTTTCACTGTCCGAGGAACCCGCCTTTGCCTCTTCATCTTGCAGATCCCTCAAGATTCCAAACCTCTCATCCTCAAGATCTGCACATGCCAGGTTCTGCAAAACAACATAATAATTTTTTTATTAATTTAATTTTTAACCAGAGTTCAAGTTTACAATTTCAATGTAGTTGTCCTTGTGTTGCTGGCTGAGTTTCTCAATGTCCAGTTCCGCGATGTCGGAAGTGTCGGTCAGTTTATTGTTTGCTTCCTCCATTTGGGGCAAAAATTGTTTCACCCTGTCCAGAAGAGCGCTCCGAGGCATGGCAGTGATTGTGGGAGGCTTTTTCTCGCTTGTCTTGTCTAAAAGTCGAGTGACTGCTCTTTCCGAAGCTAAAAAAAAACAGGGGGTTTAATTTTTGTAAATGGTGAGTTTTGTATTTTAATTTTATATTGATTTTTTAATTGAATTTACCAGTCATTGAATCAGGAATACTGAAGTCCAGCTTCTCCGGCTTTTTCTCACTCGAAGACATATTTGTTTGAAATAAAATTTATTTAAGACTGAAAAAGTTGTCAAAGTATTCTCTCCATGTGATCCGCGTGGAAATGAATGAAAAATAAACCCTTTTCTGTTTACATCTCCATTTCCTCCACCTAGTGGCGGCGATTTACACTAAAATTTGGGTCCAAAAGCGCGCGCATATGACGACGTCACGAGAAAAAAGGCTATAAAAGGGCCAGGCAAGAGGCTGGATGATTGTTTTATTTTGAAAATAAAAATTTAAAAAATTTTGAAAATTAAAATTTGTAAGTGAATAAACGCAGTAAAATATTTCAAAACAATTAAAAAGTGTTTGATAATCCAGGTTTTTTAAAGTATGGTCTGATGTTTTTTTTAATTCATGGCTGTTTATTTATAAAATTTTTGGTGTGTTCCTAACGTTCACGTATATAAGATTAGTTAACATTTCAAGCCTGTGCACATTAATATTAATTCTTCCTATTCGCCTGCGGAAAATGAATAATCCGGAATAATCTAAGTCACGTGTAGGCAGTAAATATGTGCCGACAACAGTTTGTCCAATCCACCCATTTTGCAACCAACAAAAAAATTCATTATTAAAATTAACCTCTCTCTTGTTTGGAGCTGTTCCACAGCCTTTTTAATCTTCGTATTAAAAATCACACAATTAAGAAATATTTTCATGACTTCTTGTTTCTTCTTAAGCGCCGCTATACTTTTTCAAATAATTTGCTGGAACGTATCCCTGGCCGCCGCTCCTGTTCTCAACATACCACCACTCTTCATTTCCTTGCTGGTCGTACTTATTGATCACCTTCAGAACTTGGCCTTTGGTCAGTTTCAGCGTGAAATTGTTGATAGGATCGAAATTGTATTCCGCGTAGAAAAACTGAGAAAAATGAATGTCAACCTAACTTGTGCGAAAATCATTTATATAGAGTTAATTACATCCTCATCAGGAATTTCCTCGTAAATATCCTCTTCTTCAACTTCTTCGTAGGTAATGTCAGTCTCGTCGCAGGAACCAACAGAAGTTTGCGGACTTGAGTTAATAAGATACTGCTGCAAACACCGTTGAGCCACAAATCCTTTGTTTTCTGTGAATTTTTTTTTTTAAGTGAAATTGATCTTGATAATTAATGAAGAAATTACCTCCATCATCAACAAACCACCGTTCACCACTGCCCATGGGGTCTTGTTGCTTGATTGCGGCAACAAGGTCTCCCTCCTGGACAGAGAGATCGAGAATTTCGCTCTTACTCCACGGCTCAACAACTTTGAATATTTTTTCAAGTGGGTATTTGCTGAACAAGTATGCAGTCCTGCTGGTGCTCTGACTGTGCTCTTCAATCTTAAAATAAAAATTCATTTGGAATATAAAAATTTTAAGCTAACAATTCATTATTTATACCTTGCTTTCAGCACAGGTTGAAGTTTTTCTATTGGATTTCAGAGTGCCAAAGTTCTCAGATTTGAAAGTTTTTGATACAAAGCTCAGCTTGTTGCTCATTTCATCACAGACTAAATTATGCTTCACCTTAAACACCTCAACTGAATCTCTGGCAAATCCAGCCATCACCGGCAACTAAAAAAATGTCAAATTTATATTTGTACTGTGTACTTTGATTGATAAGAATATTATTTACTATCTTCAATTCATGATTTGTTGACAATTAACAAGAAATAAGTATTAAGAAGAAATTAATACCTCCATTAGATTTAAATATGGTTTAGCTGCTTTGGCGGAGAATATTTTTCTTGCTACAATGTAAGACATAACACACTCAATGAAAATGTCTTCAGCGTGAACACAAAAGGTTGGAAGTTCTTCCAGCAACTGGGAGTTCAGAGCTTCATAAGTGTGCTTGGCAAGATTGAGATCATCTTGGGTCTAAATAATTAAGAAAAACATGAACAAAATTCATAAATTTGAATTTTATAAAATACCTTTGGATCTTTCAGTTTTTCTGCCTTCGACATTAACGCTTCATAGTCAGCTAACTTGTCATTTCTTTTTTCTATCAGTTTCAGTGGGCCAAGGGCAAGTTCTAAAATGATATTCAGTGTGTCCAGGACATACTTTTGAAGACTGGATATCTGTAGGAGCAGAAACAAAATAATTACATATTTGATTTTTAAATTTTCCATTTAAGAAGTATTAATTAAAAATTGAAAGAAAACATGTAACACTAAAACATAAAAAGCTCACATTGTCAGACAGAACACAATATTTTTGATGAAAATAATTAAGATAAATTTAAGAGTGCCGTATTCTAAAGAAAAAAATTTATGATTATTAATATATTCCATAAATTTAAATTAAAAAATTATAAAATATGGAGGGCAATTATGACTTACAAACTGTTGGAGTAGTTCTTTAGAAATAAAGTTTTGTGCTTCTTTGAAGTCCACGTTGTTAGCAGACTTGTCATCGAAAAAGTCAGAAATTGCATCAGCTAAGCCGAGCTGGGCAGACACAGCTTCTTTTATGTGAAACAAAACTGATTCGATGCCCTGGTGAAAGCTTCTGATGCTCTTTCCTAGGGACAAGAACACTCTTGCCTGCTCGTTGAAAGCCTCGTCTCTGACCTACGCAAGAATACAATTTAATCCAAACTAAGAATTTATTTTATTTTAATTACTGTGTTAGATATTCCAAGAGTTGACGACAATTTGGCACTCAGACGAGATGACTTTTTTGTGACGGAATGCAAAGAAAATCTAGACATTTTGAGAGAAAGTGAAGAAGTTCCATCTCCTAAATATCTTGACACTGTCAAAAAATTAATAGATTGATGTTTTTATTGTTTTTAATTTTATGTGTCATACCTATGTCTTGTCGCCTCTTAGCCTCATTGATGTACGAAGCCACTTCGGACATGGTTTTCACAGCCACCAATAAACCTGCCTTGTCTGGATGAGCATCATCCGTGCACTGTCAAATTACAATGAAATTGAATTTAGTTTTTTTCAATACAAGCTTTACCTTGTAAAGTTCATTCAATATAAGAGGGTACTTCATTATTCGCTGAACTGGTTTTATTATTATGGAACTCATGTCGAAGCACGAAATCTGCATTTGCAGCGTTTCGATTCCTTTTCTAAAAAGCTTTTGGATGTCTTCATTTTCCCCATACTAAAGAAGATAAAAATAAAGTTTATTAAAAAAAAACATTTTAAATTTTTAAATACTTTGCTCAGAAGCATCAGCGAGTTGTCATTGTTGATACAGTACGAGGTGTAAACATTTTTCATTTCTTCGGCCATTCCCAAAAAACTGGGAGCGATCAACTGCTTGTCCTCACTTTTCCCTTTCATAGCCAAGATGACTTTGTCCAACAATGATTCCGACACTTTTATCACCTTTGCCGTAAAGAATTATTTAGAATCTTATTTATTTATATATTTTTTATTTATTTTACCTCTAAAATGTTGCCAAAGAGCAGATTTGCATCTACACCCCTGGACTCAAGTATCTGTGGATTGTGCAGGTTGAAAGTTTCATAAGTGATTTTCAGATCTCGAATAAAGTCTCTCTCGGTCAGGACAAGTTCTGTTATTACATTCTGCCTTTGTTCCCACATTTTGTTCCTGTCAAAAAAATTAGACTAGATTTTATTATAAAGCATAAACAAAAATAATAATAAGATATAATATATTATATTCTTAAAAATTAAAGTATGGCATATTAACACAAAACAAAAGAGGTAGAAACCTTAAATCATCCGTAGTTTCTTCATTTATCTGAGGTTGTTCTGCAGGCTCTATACAAAATGTTTAGTTTATTTTACAGCAGAATAAAAAATTCTTAGCATACTTTGAACCTGCTGTATTGGTGGAGGGGCTCGGTGTGGAACTCGGATTAAACTTTCCTGCTCATGTCGCTCATGAATTGGAGGCACAATTGGTCGAATAGGCTCAACTAATTGCAGTTCAGGTTCCTCATCTAAACAACGATTTAAATTAAGTGATATAATAAAATATTCATGAACTGTACCACTCTTAGGAGGTGATGGAGGTGGCGAACTGGGAGGCAAAGGCCTCAAAGATAAACGTGAAGTTTGTGAATTTCTTGATGGGAGTGATTGAGGCTTGGATAAAGAAAGTTGATTCAAGTTTTTTACTGCTAAATCCTCCAAGGAACTGGTAGGTGTGCTTTTAGAAACCGCATCAAATTTCAAGTGTTCCAAATAGTTTGACGGACAAAGACCTGTTTAAGTATATTAGTTTTTAGCACGTGATCATTTCGCTTTTACTAACCAGAAGTTCCATCCGCCTTTTTCACCATCCACCACTGATCATCACCAGTCGGATACATGAGAAAAACCGTCTCACCTTCCCGGACAGTCACATCACCCGACGTTTGTGCCTGGAAGTCGAATATCAACTTGGCAAAACCGCCGACAGTCAGGCCTGACGGATCCTTCGAACTGGAAGGGCAGTCCACGACAATGTTGACAAAGCTTGCAGGAAATATTCCCTGACGACCATTGCAAGATCCTTTGATCCAGTCTTGGTCTACGTGACACGACATCATTATAATTTCTCCTTCGCCGAAACTCAGCTCGTTGTCAAATTGGGCAGTGAACGGGAAAAGGCCAACACAATAAGGCTGCATTCCCATATCAGATTGATTTTGTGGTGCACTGTATAAGAATCAAAGATACCACATTTGAATTTAATTCAAAATTTGTTTTTATACCTTGCTAGTCCTTTAGCACTTTGATTGTTCTGCTGCGCTGTTGGCTGAAAATCTTGAGCCATGCTTTCCCTATAGGGTGGAGGCAGATTTTCTACGTAGGCGGGAGGCAGATCGGATTTTCTGTAGGGACTTGCTACAGCCAGTGAGGGTCCTTCTTCTAAAACCTCAACGAAGGCAGACGGAAAAATTCCAGACTTTCCCTGGCTGCAGCCATAAAAGTAAGCTTTGTCTACTGTGCGCTCGACAGTGACAATGTCACCCTCCTGAAGATCGACTTCTTCCTCTAGTTGAGCTCTCATGCTTGTTTTCACCCTAGCCCGACGAAGTTTCTCCTGCAATTGGTTATAATTAAAATTAAAAAAAAATAATAATTAAGTAAAAGATTACCTGTTCTGTATCTAATTGGAAAACATAGCTCACTGGAAACATTCCAGTTACTCTGTTGCATTGTCCATTCCACCAGTTGTCATCAATCTTGTGAGTGCCAATCACAAAATCTCCTTAAATGGGAACCAAAATATTAAAATTATTAAATTAATTATAATTATTTTAAATTGATTAGAATAAAACAATTAAAAATTAAATTACAAACCTTTAAAGATTGTGAGGTCTCCAGTTTGCTGCCCAACAAAATCAGACACAGTGACGAACAGCACCTGTCCGACCTCAACAAAGGGTGGTTGCAGTTCACTCAGGTGTCCCAAGGGCACCCTGCCCTGCTGATCACCTGGCAACAGGCGGCATTCGCACCAAATTCGGTCCGATTTTGAAATGACCAGGACTATGTCACCCTTGGACACACACAGTTCGTCCGGAGTGGTGGTTAGAAAGTCTTTCACCACTCTGCTCACAATCAGTGGCATTATTTCGGTCGTTTCAATAACAATAACGTAATCGCTGCTACTGAAAAATATGATTCCGCATCCTGAATTTCTTTATAAAATCTAGAGTAAAATCAATGGTCGAGACGATCGCGTCACTTATCTATAAAAAAAAATAAGGCGATACCCCAAGAACCAAATCACAAAACAAGCAACAAGCCAGCAGGCAGCTTTTGGCTTTTGTTTACTTTCCTGAATGAACTTGTCTTGTTCTACTTTTCCATTGGTGCTGCTGCAACGCACGTGGATTGGTCAGATTTTAACTTCGTGCAAAATTCCACCAGAGCGGCGTTGCGTTCGCGTCCTATCTTTCCCCATGCATTTCAAGAGCACCAAGAGCTAATGGGTAATGGGTTGTAAAAAAGGTGCAGACGTTGGTGCAGACGCAGACAGCAGTTTTGCACTTTTTGCAGCAGTTCGTGCCCGAGTCCGGTTTTAAAATTTATGAATATATTATGAATATATATATTAAGTCATATTAAGTGATATTAAGTATACTTAAAATTTTGAGGCGAAAAATACCCTCGCTAGCTTGTGTTGCTTTTATACACAATTATAATTATAATGTATAAATTTTTATAAAATAGATAATTTGAAAACAGAAAACCAAGCATTTATAATACTTTTAATTTTAAATTACAGTTCTTTGGCAATATGAAGTAAGAAAAAGTTAAAAATTAATTACAATCAATCCCAATCATTTTTTAATAAATTGAATACAAAAAAACAGACATGAGTTTTATGAAGAAAAAAAAACAGCGCGCTAAACTCAAATAATTTGTTTTTGGTTTGAAATTAATTAATGATAAAACGAAGAAACCAATAACAAAGGCAAAAATAGGAAGGATGATAAGAATAAATAAAACAATCTAGAAATTATTACTTTAAAAAATGGAAAGTAATTCATATTCATCAATATCAACTTAAAGAGCTCTTAATTTTTTTTCTTGTTTGAGATGAGAAATTATTTATAAAATCATTTTGTAATTGCCTGATGAAGCAATCTTTATAAAATACGCAATTCAAAAAGGAAATATTAATAAAATATCTAAAATTTACATTTTTTTTTTTAAATAAATGATAAAAATTTATTGATTTCCATCATTGCTATATTGAGTGTATTATCAGTCTTTGTTTTAACAAATGAGAGCAGATCCGTAAGAATGGGGTGAAGACCACATGGCGGCGGGAGATCCTGGAAACGATTCACCAGTCGAACTGGATGACACCCTGTTACTTCTTGGGCGCTGAATTTGGCGCGGCTGCGTCGGTTCCATGGCCAGACTCACGTCTTGACTCTCGGAAATTTTTGGCCAGTACCTTAAATAAATACAAATTATTACAAAATTTAGAAAGATCTTTTTGATGAGCTTTCATTATCCAAGCATTACAAAAGAAAAACGCAAAATAAATGTACTAAAGCACGGCGCCAGGAGAAAATTTTGAAGATAATTTATTTTATTTTGCTCAAAAATAGATTCCAGCTCATTTTTTAATTTTTCTCGGTGATTTTGATTTAAAAAAATAATATTTTGCACTACAACAATTTGCCTTTAAAAAAAAGTACTTACTGTGAGTGTTTGGCAACTAAATCATCTCTCAGTCCATCCACGTTTTCCTGAATGCGGTTTATATTGAGCTCGGTTTGCAGAAACATGTGCACTGCCTTTTCGCCCAAATATGAAGGGACGCAAACCAATCTAAATTAAAATAGAAGAAAAAAAAGCATGATTTACAATTTCTTTAAAAGCGGAAAAAATCTTACTCTCTCAAAAAAGTTTGCAGTCCTAGACGTCTTTGCTCGAGAAACTTTTCATCTAACGAAATGAGCAAAAAGGCACTGCTGGGGAGGTCTGGTGGATTCCTGAATAAAAATAATTTTAAAAATTGTAATTATTTTAATTTTCTTGCATATACCTGTGAGGGTGGTGACGTAAAAGTAAGCGGCGGAGCCACTGAAACTCTGAAAATTTTCTGCGGCATGACGACTTTGGCACCGAAAACGCGGGGTGACTCGTCTGGAATATAAAAATAGAATTATTTAAAATTTTGTTTTGTGAAATTAGATTCTTTGAGAGGCAAATATAATTTAAGTGCTGGAACCAGAATTGACCGGTTTAAAAGTCGGATTGGGGGCAACGACTTGTGAAATAAAGGGATCAATTTTGTTTGACGTGTCAGACGCGGGACAAACACCGAGCTAGTTTATTTGTTTTTGGGTCATATGACGATTATTGTCAATTGTGTGAGCTATTTTCAGACGCTTGTCTCTGCGTATGAGGTTTTCACATCCGTCACTTTCATTTATTGTGTGAAAGAGATGAGGAAACAAGATCACGAGTTATTTAGTTATTTATATCCATGATGAAAAAAAAAATGAATTTAAAAAGTGAATAAAAAGTAATTTTCTCATAAACTGCACTCCTCTTAAAGATCCTCTCCGGTCAAGTATATTGCGCTCTATTCTGAAAGATTGCTAAATTTCGAATTTATCTTGTGAAAACACTATTTGAAAATTCCAAACCGTTGCGTCTCAATCAAAAGAAATCCTAAATATGAGTGATTCGCGCGAAAAATGTGTGAGAATTGAGTAGCCAATCAGATCCATCAGTTTCTTCCAAAAACTGCAGGTTTTCGTCACTTGTGGCGCTGCGATCGCTGATTTTGCCAAGTTTTCTGCAGCGCCGTGGAGCATTAGTGTCAAAATCAGCGATCGCAGCGCCACAAGTGACGAAAACCTGCAGTTTTTGGAAGAAACTGATGGATCTGATTGGCTACTCAATTCTCACACATTTTTCGCGCGAATCACTCATATTTAGGATTTCTTTTGATTGAGACGCAACGGTTTGGAATTTTCAAATAGTGTTTTCACAAGATAAACTCGAAATTTAGCAATCTTTCAGAATAGAGAGCAATACACTTGACCGGAGAGGATCTTTAATAAATTTTTGTTTAAAATATGATTTCAAATTTTTATTTCAATATTATTTCTCATTTAGAAAAAAAGACTGAAAATTTTATTTCATGTGGTTTTTTTCAGTTTTAAAATTCTTTAGAAATAAAAATAAATTTGGTATGAATTTTTATAAAAAATTTCTTTGTAGAACAAATTCTCATCCGGTTTTTTAATACAGAATCAATAAAATTTAAATACGTACATGAAGATAGATTGTAAATGTGGTGAAGCCGGAGACGGGCGACGATCGCACCAGCATGGGTTCCTGCACCGAAATGTCGATGTTCATGGCCAAGGCCAGTGTTGGCAGACGTGGCTGAAAAAATCGCGCCTAAGGTCAGTGGGCGGAATTTTTTTCGCGACAGACGATAATTAGGCGAGAACGGGAAGTGATATCGGAAAATAAAGAGAAGCCTTAAAAATTAAAATAATATGATATATTCATAAAATAAATAAGGTTGAGTAATTAATATCGACCCTTTGATCTCTGGCTCATCACTTTTGTAAACAGAGAGAGTCACAAGTTTGTGAATGAATGTTTAATAATTTCAGAAACGACGCAATTTCAAATTGACCCACTTGAGTGTGGATAGCATGAATAAAAAATACTTGAAAAAATTTGGCTTTCTAAATAGCGCAATAAAAAAAAAATACGTTTTAGAAACTGCAAAAAAGTAAAACTTTTAGTTATATAACTTTTTACTAAGTATTATGAAGAAGTTATAATTGTTCTTGCAAATTATTTTAATAATATATAAAATTCAATTATTATTTAAAATTCATTTTAATTTTATTGATTGGTAAAATTACTAAAAAATTTGACTTTTATGAAAGTTATGAATTGAATTCGAAACGAAAAATAATTTCTTATTGTTTTTCAAAAGAATCCCACTGAATTTATGTTAGAAAAATATATAAATTAATATTAAAATTTACGTTCAATAATTAACTAATTTAAAAAATTTTTATTTTATTAAAAATTTCTTTAAGTAATTTTTAACCCAAAGAGAACAATTAAAACTCATTAAAAAAATCCAGAACAAAGTGAATATTAATAAATTAGAAACAAAAAGTCTATGAATAAATCCACACGGTCTCGAATGAAAATTATTAAAAAAAAAAAAGAAAAAAACTATAGATCACTTAAAACTTAAAATGAATCAATAACTAGTGCTCATTAAAAAACTCACCTGCACGAATTGAAGCAGTTTGATATGGGAGATCAGAAATTAACGAAAATAAGTCAGAAAACTCTAGCACATCAAATGCGCCTCAATCGGGCTCCGTTTGCGAACTGTCGAGGAAGCGTCTCGCGCGTGTGGTTAATAATTCCCTATCCCTACCACTTATCTTTTCTCTCACATACACGCGTTCTCAACTGGCTGATGCAACGACGACTGGTTTTTAAATCAAAACAACTCGAGCTGTATAATTTCTAAACTGCAGACATGCAAAGATGTGATCGCCGCCGGATATTTGGGGCAAATTCCTTGTTTTCTGATGCAACAACCGCGCTCAATTTGATTTGAAATATATTAATTAATATAAACCTCAGTTTCAATACAACTATTCCTTAAAAATTTGTATTATTTTTAATGACAAACAATAAAAGAATTAAATAAGAATCCTCAGTCGAGCTTATTTTTTGGCTTTAGGAGAGAATTATAAAAAATCGCAAAATATGACAGTATTTCAATATTTATTTACACAAAATTCTCAAATTTTCTGTCACTTGAGCAAGTATACAACAACGCAAGCGTGTGTAGAATGTACATGAAAAGGTCTCAAGTTAAAAAACAAACACACCCATAATTAGAGGTCAAGGTCGATATCAGCGTATGCTAAAAGTTCACACAGAATTATTCCATAAGTTCTCAAATATTCACACTATCACAGTTCTCTCTCAATTTTTTTCCGCACTGGCTCATTAATCGGAAGTATTTATAATAAATTCTTTTTCAATTTCAACAGGAAGAAATAAAAACACTTTTTTTGGCACATTCAGAGGATTTTTTTCCAGCGCAAATTTGATTTTCCCATTTTCTCACAGAGCGAATTTTGCATCTTTTTATATTTTTTTTCGCATCACAGCACATTTAAGTAGAGATCAATATAATTATAATGGATAAGGGTGTCTGGCAGTTTTTATTTTTGTCGCGGTTTTTTTTCCTAGACGGTGATGGTGAAGTTGCGGTGCGCTTCGGACGGCGGGATGCTCATCTTGTTGTCGTGCTGCTGGCGCAATTTGATCCGACGCAGGGTGTCCATGTCGCACTCGGCCTCGCTCATCTCGGGCGGCGGCACGTGCAGGTCGTTGAAGCCGCTCGGCGGCTCCGGAAACGCCGAAAACGACGTTTCGCGACCACCCCGACCACCACCTCCACTCGACGGACGACGAGTTTCGCTCAACCTGACACAACAATTAACATCAAGCTCGAAAATTAAATTTATAATTTTATTTTTAATTTAAAGAAGAATATCGTGCTTTTGAGGTTGTAGTGATCTGGAAAGTTTGTATAACAGATAAATTGTTTATTAGATAGGCCAATTTTCTAGTAGATAAAGATAATATAAACATTGGAATATTTTTATAATGAAATAAAATGAAATATTAAAAGCAAAAGAAGGTTGTATTTTGTTAATTCTTTTAATAATAATAAATAAAACAGGCAAGGAATTTAAATATTTTGGTTATTGAACTTCCTTTTCAGTCCAAATAACTACAACTTTATACTCTAAATATAGGAGAGAATTTAGAGAGAAAAGTTAAATTAATTTTAAATTTTAACATATAGAATTAATAAAGTGATTACTAATGAATAAAATTGCAAAAAAAATTAAAGAGAAATTATTTTTTTAAATTATAAATAATGATAGAAACGTGCATTATTTTTTTATAAATTCTTAATTTAAAAAACACCAAAGACAGTGTAATTATTAAGACTTTGGCTTACTTTTTACCTGACATTTGGTTGGCGCCGCGACTGACCCGACGACCGCCTTTCAGAAACCGGCGACGTGTCTGGGTTTGATTCTGCAATTAAAATTTTAATAATTATCGATTTTGAATAAAAATATATTGATTGCATTTTCACTTACTGTGTCTCCTGTTTTGACCGTTGTCCCTTCTCCTCTGGGCGGCGTTGGTTCGGCTCCTGGGCTGCTCCGAGTCCGAGTCCGAGCCAATGCTGTCGTAGTCTTCGCTTTCCGACCTGAAGCTCTTGCTCTTGCGGTGTTGCTGCCTTAGCTGCGTGTAGTTGTCAATGATGCCAGGGTTCTGAAAAGTACAGTCTTAAGATCTTTTACCAAGATTGAAAAAAAAAATAAACTTACCGATTTCAGTGGGATGGCTTCTCGGCCGGAGGGGTAGCGCTGGTCCTGGTACATGAAAGTCTGGAAGTTGGCTGGCGAGTTCTGCGGCTGTGCATTCGCGACGTGGAACGTTGCGTACGGGTAAATGTCCTCTGCGTATTCTAAAATTAGGTCAAACTTTACATTCCTTAAGACACTTGACGCAAGCAATTTAGAATTAATAAATAATTAAAAATATTTCATTTTTTCGAGGAGCACTTTTCATCGACGTGTCTCACTTATGGGTTTAGTCAAGAAACGATCACCAAAATTGCCTCAAGCAGGTCATTGATTTTTAATGATAGGAACTTTTGACCTAAAAATGTTGACACCTTGTTGGAAAGAGCTTGTTAATACCTCACATTATACTCATTCAAAAAATGTATACATACATCACTTTTAGATTTTAAACTAAAAGATGATAAACGACAATTATAACGAAAAATATTTAAGTGAGGCACAACTTTGTAAAAATTAAGTCATCATAGATCCAATTGATTAGCGTTTCTTTTTTTTAATTTTTGAAAAATAAAAATTTGATTTCTGCTTAATTAAATTTAAATTAACCTGGGATGCGGTCGAGGTTGTTTGAGGCTCGGACGGGCGTCTGCGCGCCTTTCTGCACGGCCGCGTAGTACTGCTCGCGCTGGGCCAAGTTTTGCTTATTGTGGAAGGCGACGAGCGACTGCGGGTCGTTAGCGTCTTCACTTGAGCACCGGTTCCGTTGCTGCGCCTCGGCGTAGATCGGCTCCCCAGCGTCTGCCAATTCAAACTCATGAAAAATTCAGCACGCTTTGAATTGGAAATTTCTTACTGCGCTTCTTGATGCAGATGCAAATGCTGCCGAAGAGCAGCACCACGAAAACCACGCACACCAGCATCATGATTATGGCGCTGACGTCCGTGTAGAACGGCGCGTGGGTCTGCGCCTCCTCGTTCACCAAACTCGGGTTCAACGTTCCTAAATTGCAAAAATATAAAAATTAATAAAATTTTAGTTTCAAAAAGAATATTCAACTATAAATTTTCTTTTTAGATAAATCTAAATATTTTAATATTTTATGCATGGTTGTTTGGATTACCTCCAAGTGCGGCCTGCGTGGAAACGGTGTATTCAGATGTGGTGGAACCGGCACTGTTGGTCGCCACCACTTTTATGATGTACTGCGTGCCTGGCCAGAGGCCAGTGATCGTGTAAAAATCCCGCAGGTGTGGCACGTTTCCAACTGAAACATAAATTTTCCATTTTTATCTCGAAAAATAAAATCAAGCCTGGCATTATTAAATGCTATACCCACCGTTAATCCAGTCGTCCTGCGTCTTTTCACGGTACTCGATGGCGAACGACCTGATCTCGCAGCTGTTGGCGTCCCACTTGGCCAGGTGCACGTTGACGGCGCTCATGTTGCTGCTGGCAAAGAGGTCCGTCCTGGAGGGCGCCCTGGGCGTGCCGCCCTCTGTACGCACCCTGACCGTGCTGCTTGGCGAACTGTCGCCCACCCTGTTGGTCGCAATCAGGTAAAGAGCGTACTCGGCACCGCACATCAGCCCTCGCAGGATGAACTCGCGCTCGCGACTCCGGTCGATGGCCCTGTCCTCCCATTCGTTCTGGTCCCCACCACCCTCGCGCCGGAAGTTCAGTTGGTAGCTGCGGATGGCACTGCCCCCGTCGTCAGGGTGGTTCCAACTCAGGTGCAAACTGGTCGCGCTGTCCGCCTTTGCGTGCAGCAACGGAGCCGATGGAGGAACTTAAAAATGGGAAAAGCAAGATGTTATTTTGATGAATTTAATTCTACAAAAGATAAGAACTTTGAGGCACCAAAATGTCCCTTTTGATGAGCTCTTTTGAACCATAAGTCACACACTTCTTTTCTGTAGGCTGAAATTCAATGACCTTTGACCTTAGAGGTCAATGAACATAAATTACAATAGAAATAACGTGTGAAATAGTTGGAAAGATCACATCACATATGTTCTTCTTAGTGTTTTTATGTGAAAAATAAATAAATAAATCTCACCTTGAACTTTGACCTGGAAGTTGATCTGGTCAGTGCCCTCCTCATTCCTGGCGACACAAGTGTAGGTGCCCTCGTCGCTCTTCTGCGCCTCAACGATGAGCAAAGTGCCGTCGCTCTGGACGCTGACCCTTTCACTGGTCATGACTGGGGCCGTGTTTGGGCCCATCCAGGTCCTCTCAGGTTCAGGGATGCCGACAATGACGCAGGGCAACTGCACCTTGTGCTTCTTGACGGTGAGCACGCTGTTGCCGAAGGAGACGATGGCCGCCGGCGTTCGAGACGTGATCACCGAGTGCACCTTTCGCGTGCCCTGACCTTCACCGACCTTTGTCTGGCCCGTGACCCAGAATTCGTACGCCTCCTTGCGCTTCAGCCCGGAGAACTCGAGGTGCGACATGGTTGAAGGCACTGGTTTGACCACAGTCGTCCGCTCCTTGCCACCTTCCAGGGTGCGCATGTACACCTTGTAACTGGCGATCTGGCCGTTGGGCCTCGAAGGTGGCAGCCAGCTCACGATCAGGGATGACAACGACGATGGAACCACCTTAATTTCGTCTGGAGACTCAGGAACTTTGGAAACAATTATGCAAATTTCAGGTTGTGAGAAATTTTTTAATTACCATCTTCATCGGTTCTGCAGAAAATAGGGTTGCTTTTCTCACCGTCACCTATCCTGGTGTAAGCCCAAACCCTGACGCTGTAATTGGCAAATTTCTGCAGGCCATGCAATTCCGTGTTCAACTCGACGGTGACCTTTGTCTCGGCCTCCACTTGACCTATCCGAGCAGAATTAAGATTGATTTTATTTTTATAAATAAAAACAGTAAAAATCGCACCTTGGACGTTTTCCTTCATGTTTTCGTATTGAACCTTGTAGCCTTGGATGATTCCGTTCTGCCCATAGTGTGGTGGTGGCTGCCAACTGATGGACAAACCCTGAGAACTTCGGGGGTCGCATCGAATTTCCAGCGGCGCAGCACTCGGAACTTTTGCATAGTTTTAATTTTTCGGCCAAAATTTTTATTATTTTTTCTCACCATCTTCAAAGGTTTGGACCACAACCTCAGTGGAGAGAGGTCCTGGGCCCTTTTCATTAAAGGCCTGGACCACCACACCGTACTTGTGGTACTTCTTCAGGTCCATCAGGGTCAGCAGAGTTTGCGGATTGGCATTTTCGACACCTCGGAATGGCACCGTCGTGAAATTGTAGCCAGTCGCTCGACCCAAGCTGGAGATGAAAATACTAAATTTAAACGTTAATTCGATACTTTTGAATTAAAAATTGAAAGTGATTATTCTCTCAAGGGTATTGATAAATTCATTACTCGACTCACCCTGATTCTCTGTATCCAACGTAAAAACCCAGCAGGTCACCGTGCCAGAGAGCCTTCGGTGGGGGCAGCCAGGTGACCCTGACCTCCGTTGAAGAGGTCGAGTCAGCGACAACGTTCTGCGGAGCGGCCGCCGGCGGTTCGCTGTCCGTCCTGACCAAAAGGGGTTCACTCGGTTCGCCAGGGCCCTGCTCGTTTTCGGCCAAAACGCGCACCCTGTAGGTTGTGGCGGGCATCAGACCTGCAATCAGGGCGGCCATCGACGTGCCGGACACCGAGGCGCTCTGCAGCACTGGACCATCCCAACCTGTGTTGCCTGTTCCTTCAAAATTTCAACAAAAATCAGATAAATGATTTTTATATAAATTTATATTTCACAGCAATTTTAAATTTAAAAAAATTATTTTTATTCATCTTTTAAAATTTTTCCACAGTTTGAAAATGGCAGCGCAAAAATTGGAATATAATTTATTTAATATTTTGCAGTAAATTTAATAAATAAATTATTTTTATTTGTGTGATAAAAGTTTTTCAGGAAATTATTCATAATTTTTCTCACCCGTGTCTTGGTGATACTGGACGACGTACTGGAGAATGGGTGTCCTGTCGTCATTGGGCGCCAACCACCCTACCCGGACACTCCTGCTGTCCGACTCGATGACTCGGACGTCCAACGGCCGCCCTGGCGCGTCTGCAAACAGATCAATTTAAGCTTTAAAATAAAAATGGCTCGTGAAAAAAAAGGTGTCTCACCCTGCACAAGAAGGTGGAACATCCGCAGGTCGCGGCCGAAAGGATTGCTGGCCACGCAGGTCAGAGTGTCGCTGTCCGACTTAAGCGTGTTGGCGATCGTCAGCTCAGAAAGGAAACCGACTTTTGCGATGCTTTCTTTGATGTGGTACCTGGCGAAAAAAATACACAACTTATGACAAAATATTACACTATATATTTATCAATAAATATCAGGAAGAAAAAAAATAAAACAATCAAGCAATTTAAACTTGGAGTCGTTTTAGAGTGCAGAAGCGGAAATAACAAGGAAAATTTTATTTCAGCCAAAAAATTTGCTTCTTTCTGATTCTTTCAAGTTTTTCCTGCTAAAGATTAAATGTACAAAAATAAAGCAACATCGAGCAAGAATATTATCGTTTTCCTTCACATTTTTCCCCAACACAAACCCACACTTTATTTCATCAACGCCATGCAAACAATGAAAATCTCATTTTTGCACTTTTCTCGATTTCTCATTATTTTCTGCTCATTTTTTGGTGGCGGACGAGGAAATAATCGAATTTGCTCACCTGGGGTCCGCCGGCGAAATGACTCTTCCGCCCTCGCGTTGCCACACGATGCTCATGGGTCCGTCGCCCTTGGGTTCGCACCTCAGCGTCACCCCCGCACCGCGCCGCACGCTCGTCTGCGACGATTTCACCTCGAATTCCGGCGGCACTGCAACAACCCAAACAAATTCAATTTCCTCCCACACCTGAGGACCCATCCAGATTACAAAAAAAAAAGATGAAAATAATTTGTAACTGAAACTTTAAAATTCATAAGGCTTAAAATAAAGTATTGGCTAAAAATTATCTCTGAAAAACACATTTTTATAAATTTCAAATAAATTTTAGTGTAACATTGGAAATATTCCAATATCAGAATTTTTTAAATCAAAACTAATTTTCACGAAATAAAATAAAAATTTTGACTTATGAAATTATGCAATTTTTGTTGCTGTTGTGAAGTGATTTTGAATTGCTTTTGATTCTCGGCAAGTTTTGCGTCAAAATAAATTATTTATCAATTTGTCGAGGCCGTAATCCTACCGTGGACGGTGAGGAGCACGACCGAGCTTAGGCCGGCGCCAACGCCGTTTGTTGCTTCACACATGTACTGGCCCTGCTGATCCCGGAAAGCCTGTCTGATGAGCAGAGTGCCGTTCGCGAACAGCTGGATTCCGCGGCTCCGCACCGTCAGGTCTTGGTACTCGATCGGCTGCTGACCTGCGAAATTGAAAATATAAGTCGCAAAACGTCAGAGAAGAGGAGTCATTTCAAGTAAACCTCTATGGATTTACAGGGAACCAATTTGTTTTTTAATTGAAATAGAAAATTTTACAGTGCAGAAAAATTCTTTCGATTCGATTATTTGAAATTTTGGAATCAATTTAAGACAAATTGACACAAACGAGTTATAGGTTTTTTTAATAAGTATAAAATAAATAGAGCCTTCTCTTTATTTGAAAATGGCTTTAAACTGAATAGCGAAATGGACGTGACTAGGTGAGGACAATTAAAGTGCGCATCTCGGCGTTAATTATACAGGAGAGAGAGCGGCTGGAAATAGTGGAAATTTGAAATGTAAAGTGAGTTGACGACGTGTGTGTCGCTCTATTCAGCGCATTGTTCTCTCGCCGTGCCATCAACTACTACTAGCTACGGGCGTTCATGTAATGCATAATTGAATATCTATCATCGTCGCTTCCGAATCATTTAGTGTCACCCCTGCTTTCATCGACGAACTCGAATTTCCAACTGCAGTACACGGTGATGACGAATGCGCGTCACTCGAGCTGAAATCGAGCTTGATTTTATCGATTTGAATTTGTTAGGCCGGTTATTTTCGATCATAACTTTAATTACAAATTCTGTTTGTATATGTCAGTGTCAATATTGTGTAATTCATCACATATGCCAAAATTCCTTGGCTTTATAAATCAGAAATGAGTTTGTTCCTGTCCAAAAACTGAAATCAAACGTTTCAAACTGTAATCAAAAGCATTATGCTATTTAACTGTGTTTCAATTCATATTGGATGAGATGAACAAAAAGAGAATTATAATTTTTTTTAAATATTAAACAAAAACTCTAAATTATTGAAATATAACGTGCTTTAATAACTCTGGAATCCCTGGAAGCGTAAAAAAGATGTGGATAAAATTACTGCAGATACTTAATAAGTTTTTTTTAACTTCAATGGTCTAGAGCTGAAAAAACATTGCAAAAGCAAAAGGAGCGATAATTTAAAAATAAAAATTAATATAAATTTTTTCAAGTTTTTTTGTTTGAAGAAGTTGGCACTCAAGGAGATGATCATGGAAATGAAGAAGTCAGGCTTTTCCTCGTTGTAAAAGTTTTTTTTATTACTTTAACAAAAAGGAAAAAGCCCGGCTTCTTTATTTCCAGTTTAAAGTTTTGTCTAAATTTCAAACGATTTTTCAATTTCATAATTTGGCCAGTTTTCAGCATAATTGCGTACATGAAGAATAATTACCAATTTTTTAGATTTGATTGAGAGCAGGGATTGAATTTTTCTTTATTATTTTTAAAATATTAATAAGTAAATATATTGTAAATGAAAAGCTTTTAAGATGCGCTCCGGAATGGATAGTGCGAGTTCAATTAGCGTGGCAACAAAGGATTTTCGAGATTAATCCGAGGCGTCGTTCGTTGTTGTGTTTTGTTGCGCGCACAAACAAGAGGCGAAATTCGCAGAAGCTCTTCTTGCTTCTCAAAAGACAGCACGAAGAGAGGATTCCATTATGCGGTGCGTGGGGTAATGGTGTTTATGAAATATGACGTCGCTGCAGAGATGAAATATCGGGTTGACAGCCTGCGGTGTGTGCATCTGATAGAGCTAATATAGCACTCGTCTTCCTCTGCTCTCACTTGAACCCACCCAGCAGCACGTCCCGTGAAAGATTATTAAATTTCGCCACGCCACGGGGGCGAGCCACGGACCGGAGTTTCCGAGCTACAACAAATATAACCCCCTGAGCTTTGTTTGTCCATAAAACAAACATCCCATCACCAACTTATATTTTTGCAAAAACATTGTACAAATTATGCCAATGAAATAATTTTAAATTATGGAAATGAAGAGATCGGGCTTTTATCTCGATGCAGAAAATTGTATTTTATTCAAAAACAAAGCTCTACCATTTTTCTAGGGTCGCAAATCGTGAGCCATTTGTTTATGAATAAAAAACAATTTGCTGCAATGAGGAAAAAGCCCGAACTCTTCATTTCCGGTATCATCTCCTCGAGTGTCAACTTCTTCAAACAAAATCTTTTAAATTAACTTGTAATAAAATCCCGCAACCCTTATTTTATACCGTCATATTTATAAAAATAAACTTTTTATGCTCTTTATATTTACGACTGTCCGGGCCTATATCTGCGAGCCGAATGCGTGTGTGTTTCTCTTCGTCTCCTCTGTGCTCGGAAGTAAGATGATCTGCAGGGCCTACGGCGCATCGTCCGCTCAAGAGAGTCGGAGCTTTATGAAAATGTATTTATTCGCGACGGCGGTAGCAGCATAACGCATGGCTGGTCGCCGCTCAAAGTCCGACGGACCAAGAACAAGTTTTATCGGCAACGACCAGAGGCGACTTTACTTCATTTGGGCGCACGATGAGAATTTCTTTCTGCTCGAGCGACTCGCTCCTTTTTCTTTCGGGCACACGAAATTGACTAAGTTGCAAAAGAGAGATCATCCCCGCGCACATCGAAAGGTTTCCCGACCAAGTTTGATGGAGATTAATCAAGATGAAAGTTTGTTTAGTTAAAATAGATTTAAAAATGTCTATTAAATTTACTGTTTTAGTCTAGAAAAAATTGGACGGGATATTCTGATCCTATTCAATACTTTTAAAGTAAGAGAAGTAAATAATTTTTCAAATTTGTGGAGAAAAAATACAGGAATTAACAATTTTGATTTGACCTCCATTGGATTTTATACGTCTAGAATCGTTTTACTTATTTTAAATCATTTTTAACTTAAAAACACATTTTTATCCACAAATTAAAACGAAATGATTTTTCAAAGCATCTCTAGCTGCTAAAAATGTTCTTTTTCAATTAATTGGGTTTAATTTAGCATCGAATTTTATAAAGTCAATTCCAACGTGAAAGAATTTATTTTAACAAATCCTTCCTTTCCTTTTGTGAATGGTACATCTTAGCGAATCTACCTTTGTAACATATCGTTGGAAACGTCTCGAAAAGATCTGATCAAATCTGTATCAAATTGTTTTCTTTCTCCTACTTACCGATCAATTTCCTCCAGACGACCGTGGGCGTAGGGAAACCCTCGGCCTGGCAGTCGAACTGCACCGGGTTGTCGCGAGTCACATTTCGGTCTTTGGGCTCCCTGAGCCACCTCGGCGGCACTGCAGACGAATGATTTATGAGCGTGTCGCGAAAACCCATTACATTCAAACGAACACACACACAAAACACACTCAAGACAAGATTCGCGTCGTGGGGGAGAAATGCATAAATAATGCTTTTTCGCAGCTTCATTACAGCGCCATGATTGATCGATGTGCGAAAAATGTACACAACTTTTCCTCGCGTCACGAAGGTAAGGTGCGCGGGGAATATGTATTTTGCGTTTGAAGTCTCATTTGTGGAGGAAGAGAGAGGGAAAAAAATGTCTCGATCGGTACAAGAACGCGTTGACGATGGAGAAAGAAGAAGAAGGGCGGAATCAGTTGCCCCGCGTTACATTTATGTGAAGAGAAGGAAGAGAAAAAAATTGTTGCAGCAAAAGCTTTTTTGATATCACCAGAAGGAGTGAAGTTTGTTTACAAAAGCAGAACCCTCTTGAAAATGGGCATGAACGTATAATAAAGACCAAAACATTCGACTTGCATTGATTAAAATATTATTTTGAATAATTTATTTCTCTCGGGATATTCAGGTTTGAATTATGCCGCAGTTCAGCTGACTTTGACGTCCACTCTAATGTGAAAAGGTGGCCTTTGAAATGCAGATATTAAAGGGAGTGGTGGAGAGAGAGCTCTGCATTTACGCCAGATGCAGCAAAATGTTGATCAAATTTGATATGTGCAATTTCGCGCTGTAATGAAGCTGTTTGGTGCAAGTTTGAAAACTAAAAACGAGAAAAACTGTGCTGCGTGTAAAATTGGTCGTTTGTAATATCGCTGGAAAGAAGAAGAAAAATAAGTGCTCGTGCCAAATGAAGAGGAGTGCAGGTGCGGAACACAAGTGCTGGATTAGGAGAGCATCAGTTGGGCGCAAAAATTTCCGCCGCCGCCGCCCATTACTTTGATTAAATCGGGACAATTTATACACCCGGCGCGCGCGTGTTGCGCAAGAGAAATGCGGAACACGTGCGCGACGTATTTCAATGCGCAAACTTTTATCCCCTTTTAAGCCCTGAATTGGCCTCTTTTGCCAACAAGAACTCCCCGGTTAAAACACAGATGGAATATTAATGTCCGCGAAATTTTTGTAAGGATTTATTAAAAGCTTGCTTCGTGTGGATTTCAAAAATGCACAAAGATTTAGTCAATAAATTTAAAAATAATAATAAAATAACTCTCTACCTAAATTTTTTCAACAATTAAATAATGCTAAATATTAGCTGCTAAAACTAAACATCTATTTGAAAGTAGTTTTCTTCACCTTATAAAAAATCGCGGAAAAAAAAATAAAAATGATCATTCAACTTCCAGGTTAACCCCCTGGTGCTTTTGAAATCCACTCGAATCAACAAAATTTTCACCCTATATTCATTTTGAAATTTGGAGGAATAATTGGAGGACGTGAGAGTGCAATTAATTGTGCATAAATGTGCCGAGTGCAAAAATCGGTGCAGTTGGTGCTTGTGGAGGTGCAGCTGCTTGCTCTCGGTTCAGGACTGACCGCTGACAACGAGGGTGGAAGATTGTCGCGCCTCCTTGGCCTGGTTGCTGGCGACGCACGTGTAGTTGCCGCTGTGCTGCAGACCGACCAGGGGAATGATCAGGGTGCTGGAGAACTCATCCTGATTGATGTGGATGCCCAACTCGTAGGGCAGCGGCTGCTCGTCCTTGAGCCACGTCAGGTTCAGGGGAGGGTCACCCTGCTGGATGACGCACTGCACCTGCGTCCTCACCCCTTCGATCAGCTCCCCGAAGGTGAAGGGACCTATCCTGGGAGGGACTGTAACAACCACAATTCCACTGTGCACCAAAATTCAAAATATAATTCAATCAATTTTCTATACAACAAGATGTTTCTGCTCTCTGGTGAAATTTCTGGAAAGATTGAGAATTCTGTTAGCTGAAGAGGGGGTCTTACTGAGTGAGGGGAAGAGATCTCAGGGTTCAACCAATCACAGAATTCAAGAGACTTTAGAAAATTCATTCAGATGGCGCTGGTGCACATTTAAATTGCAAAAATTTATGATTGACCCCGAGATTTCTTCACCTTCCCAGTTAGATTCGCAGACCCTGTTGAAGTTTTACCGTTGACGAGCAGTTGGGAGGAGTGCCTGGTTTCGGCAGCGTTGTTTCTGGCCACGCAGGTGTAGTTCCCGGCGTGTTCCGGGCCGAGGATGTCGAACGACAACGAGCTGGTGAAGGAGCTCAGCTGGCTGACGACGACCCCAGGCTTGGGGTTGCCGCCAAGGTCCTCGCCGTCGTGCTGCCACCTGATCTCCAGGGGCAGGTCACCTTTGGTCACAAAACACTGCACCCCGGCGCGGTCGCCGACGTGCAGGTCCGTCTGGAAATCGAACGGCGCAATCCTCGGAGGCACTGAAATTCACCCGAAACTCTTATCTTCACATGGAAAAAAAGGAAGGATTAAGGAAGCATTTTCGAGTTGTTATGTCCTCTCGCGAGATATAATAAAAGTGGCGACGACATGTGCGAGTAACGGCTGCTTTTTCTCTCCTTTCTTCGCCGGCAACTAACCGGACACTCTGGGGGCACCGAGAATAAATTTGCCGCCGGAAGATAAGAGAAAGTGTGTCCTTTATGGCCTGCGGCAAAAAGGGAGGAAATTCAAGATTAATCCGCCTCTGGAGTTGAAGACGAACACGTTGTGCTAGGTTATTATTTCTCCCCAGAGAGTGATGGATGGATTACGAGCGGGACCCATGATCGATCACGCACTCGCAATTTGGCGGCCAGCGCGGTAAACACTCGATGCCCGTTGGTCAATGAAAGGACCTTAATGGAAAGGTGGCCGGGCGAAAAACAACACCCCTGGTTGCAAAGCGATCAATCAGCCCTTGCTTTCGTTCTGCGCCAAGCGATGAAATAAAAAATCACTTGTGCCGCGCGCTTATTCAATTACCGCGGCCCCCATCGAGCGAAACGCTGCCAAAAGCGTATGTTGGTTTGCGGCTTAATTTACCACTGGATCGCTTTTTCTCGTAATTGATGACGTTTATAAGGATGAAGCGAGCTTTCTTCCGCACTCTCTGCAGTTTGAACGAGATAGGCAACGTGCCGAACTGACCGGTTCAGCGGGCTGCATATCCCTTCGCGTGCAGGCGCTCACTCCAAAACAAATCTGACAAAAACCTACAGAATGAAGCACAAATTAATGTTTTTCAAGTTTTTGATTGAAATTATTATGAATTATAATAATTTTATTAAAAGAAATGTTTTATAACTTAATCTGAAAAATAAATAAGTTAAAAATGTGATTTTATTTATATTATTAAATAATTTTTTTAAATTTTGTGAAGAACTAAATCTGAAAAAATGTTGAACTAATAATTTCTTTCAAAAGCTAATAATATATTTTCATTTTCTATCAAGATATAGACTTCTTTTGAAAAGTTGCGGCAAAAAATTCCATAATAAGTATCGATTTTTGCGAATCTCATTCCTCATTCCTCAGACTGCAGATGATCAATCTTCCTTTTCTTTTCTGCTCTCGGCCTACGACTAATTGCTGTCAAGAGTTTGCAAAGTGCAGGTACAAAAGACGGCGGTGACGAAGTGGGTGTTTGCTGCTATGTACGTGTACGTATTGATCCAATTTGCAAATCACTCGAGCAAGTCTACCTTTGGCGGCCGCAACAAAGCAGAATGGCAAATTTCATTGCAGAGCTAGCGAGAGACAAGCCCGAGGCCAACAACCAACCAACTTTGTCTGCTGCACACAGGGTAATAATGGGCACTTTATTATCACCGCAGCTGCAGCCTGCAGTGGTTGCAGCGCACCGGAGGCCATAATTGCCGCCCTATATATTCGCCGGCCGCGCACCTAATGAACGAACCGCAAACTGAAATTCATGCAAAATAAGAGGAGAAGAGGGTTATTGCAACATTCGGCCACCGCTGGATTAATTTCTCGTCTTTCGCTGCCTTCAAAGCGCTCCAGGCGTGCACTTGGGTTTTATTGCATCGGAGAGGAGAGCAAAGTGCTCATATGGGGGCTTTCGCTTCTCGAAATTCCGACAACGGTCTCGAGACCATCAGCTGACCGCGGATTATATAATTTAATTGGAAAAATCTACAGAGAGGACTGGTTATGCCAGATAAGCGGTCAGGGCTAATTTTCTCATGTTACAAAGTTCCTCTTACAATGAGAGTTTTAGAAAATTTGATGATGGTGTGGTTTTGCTTTAAGGTGCGTTTTCTGTGAAGTTCCTTTTTCAGATTACAAATAAAAAAAAAGTTTAAAACTATATATCAATTTAACATTATTTAATTTAATTCAACTAAGTAAGTTTAATAAGTTCATTTAAATTAGTCAATTGGCACCAAAATATTTGAAAAAAGTATCCAAAATTTAATTAAATTTTACCTAAAATCTTTGCATAAATCATTTAATTTTTAACTAATTCAATTTTGAGGCAGAAATAAAACTGGAAATAATCATATTGTATAAATTTTTATACCTGAAAAAGAAAATTCCAGAAGACGAACGGCAGTGAAGACAAAAACTGTCTTTGGCAAATTTAAAAGCAGCGTCTCCCGCCTGCCATCTTAACGACGAGAAATGGCGGGAGGCAAAACAGAAACAACAGCTAGAGGGACGTGTTGCTCACAGGGAGATAAATCTTGGAGGAAATGAAGAAATAAGAGCCAATTTCGCGGACCGGACGTGTTGCCAAAGCGCCATGAATTTTGCTTTGCACGAAAAATTTAAGACTTACCGATGACGCTGAGGGAGACGGCCTGGGAGGCGGCCAGTCCCTGTTTGTTGGTGGCCGTGCACGTGTAGAGGCCGTGGTCGCCGGCGCGCTGCACGTTGTCGATGAGCAGGGTGCCGTTGGTGAAGACGTGCTGCCGTCGGTTGAGCGGCAACTTGCGTTCGCCTGCCGAATTCAGGGTTTTAGAAACGAGCGCTCCTTATCCGGAGTGAAGGGGTTCGGGATAAATTATCGCCAGCGACTCCATTTCCGCTTGCACTAGAGATTGATGGGGTGTGCCAGATCGATTTGCAGAAATCGAGGCGAGCTAGCAAGTCCAATTCCGTTTTATATCCCCAGTCTCGCCTTTTGCTCTTTCTTTTTGACCTCCAGAAAAGTGATTGAGATCTAATTTCATATTAAAGGAGGTGGAGCTTTTCTTAAGAGCAAAATTTGAGTTGAAATTTTTTTAAGGCGATTCCAAAAGTATCGAAAAAAACAAATGCCGGAGTTGATAACATTTTAAGTTCTCCTTAAAATAAGAAAAGGCTAATGAAAAAAAAAATTAATAATTTTATGCTATAAAGATGGCTTGTTGTTTAAAAAGTAAAAGAATTTTAAGAATTCAAACTTGTAATAAACATTCAATATTTTGTTTAAGCTTGGCTATTTTACATAAAAACAGTTTCCTTAAAATAATCAAATTAAATATATATCAAATTTAATTGATGTGTTATTTCCAACCCTTTACTTTTTCAAACAGACATTTTTGTGATTTCATCCAAGACCCCAAGTTTTTTTGTAAATCTAAAGCAAAAATACCTCATTTATTAACACTCAATACAAATCCCGTGTGCCACTTTTTATGCAAACGATGTAATTCCGAGAAAATAAATTGAAACCCACTTGGAAACGCGTGTGCAAGCATGGCAGTCGTTTTATATTGAAAATTATCGTCGCTCTCCTATGTCGCTAACGAGCTTTTTTCCATTATCCATGACCTACCTTTCTCCCACGTGATGGTATCAATGGGGTAGCCGGCCACGGGGCAGGTGATAAATAACGGCTCGCCGGCCACGGCCGACACGTCGGGCATCCTGCGAATCGACGGCCGCCCTGCAAACCGAAAAATTTATTTTTGTGACAAATGCGGAAAACTGGGACGCTATTTGCGATAAATTAGCTCCGGAGTGTGTTCAAAACTAGGGGCTTAAAGAATTAAGGAAAGCGGATTTGCGGATTTCGATTCTATTCATACGAGCGAAACCAAAGTTGTAAGCCCTTTTAATCGGATAATCAAACGGTACGAAGAGAGAGAGAATTAATTAAAATCCATTTCAATTCACAAAGTGCATTAGGAGTCGCAACAATTTTAAGTTAAATTAAAGGTACAACTTTTTTTCTTGAATTTGAAGAAACAAGATTTCTATAGGGAAATTAGGATTGTAAAAATTGTTTTGGCGATTCAAATGCGATTATGATTGCATTGCCTTTTATCGAATTGAAGAAGAACAATTATTATTACTGGAGAGGCACTTCAAGGGAATATTATAAGAATTGGTGCCCATTGAGTTGATCGTCGCAGGTAGAGAAACAAACAAACAAACGGTGCTCTCTGTCTGTAGGTAATGACGGGGCCCTTTGGTCGTCGGGCTGAGTGTGTGGGGTGTGTTTGTTCGCCTAAATAATGGCCGGTGCTCGACGGACGGAGGCGGAGCGGAGACAATAATACACTGGGAGAGCAGAGCAGAGCAGAGAGGCCGGTATTTAAGTGGTCTGGAGAGCAATTTGCAGCGAACGAGCCTCTGGACATTAGCGACCGATGTGTGCATTTATACAAACGCCGGGCCCTTTTGACGAGACCACGTACTAAATAAGGCCTAATGAAGTGAAAGAGACACACGCTGGCTTCCGTTTTGCACTTTCTCGCTCAAAAGACAGACACTCAAAGGTCAATTGAACACAGAAAGGTTCAGTTAATTAAAGAGTGAGAGGCTTAAAGGGATCAAGATCGGAAAGTGGAGCTCAATTGTTGCTTTAGGACTTAAGGAGTTTTTTTTTGTAAGTCCTTTAATCATAGACTGGCCAGACTGGCGATAATTATTTAATCTTTTTTTATTTCAAAAAAAGTGATAAAGAAAATTCTGAAAAATAAATGTAAAAAAATCAAAACAATTCACTCGAAATTTCATTCTGATTTAATGAATTTTTGTAAATTGTGTCATTCATTTAAGGTATGTTAATTTAAAAACAAATATAATTTTCAGATTTTTACGCCGAATAATTAGATATGGAATTTGCAAAACTTCAAGTTTTTTGTTTTTTTAAATGTTATTCAGAGTTTTTTATGGACTTCTTTAATCAAAATTTGTAATTTTACTGTTCTTGTGTTTGGCAATAGTAAAATTTTAATTAGAAAAAAATGTAATTTGCATTTGATTATCTTCTTTTTAATATAAACGTTGTCATTTAAATTTAAAAACTTGAATAAATTTGATTCTACTTTTAATAAACGAGTAAATTTCATAATATTTTCTTGTTTTGAAAAAAAAAACTTTCGAGATAAAATTTGCCTTTGACGAAAAAGTGAGCAGTGTTTTATATTTCTTAATCAACATAATGAATATTTGTTTCTGTTTTGTTGAAACGTTTTTGTCAGATTTAATAATAATAGACAGAATTCACATCAGTTCAGAATTTGGAACGAAACTTTTAATTTATGAGTACATAATTATTCCTCCTACCAATAGGGAACTGACTAACTCATTCACACAAAGAGCAGCTAACCGAATTTCCCCGTCGAATATGAAATGAGGTTTGCATCATAGCTAGCGAGGGTTGTTGGCGTTCGACCGCAATCAAATTAATCAAACAGCTGCCTGTGACTTGGCAATCAAGAGAGCAAAGGTCGGAATATTCTGCGGTGTGTCCCTTCGGGCGCGATTTCTAATTACAAACAAACTCCAATTAGCTGTAATTAACCAATAAAACAAACAGGCCTTTTTAAAGACACGCTCGGACGATTCAATTCAGCTTTTACATGCGGGACAAAAGAAACAGAGAAGATAACAACACATCTGCCTCCTTCATAAACAGACGTCTCGCTCCTTTTATTGTGCCGCCGCCGTAAAAAGGAAAAGAGAGATGCGCGTCGTAAATTTATGAATAAAAACAAACTTCGATTGTTATACGCGCTGCCGGCGGGTTGTAAAATATTACGACCCGAGGATCAGCACCGACATATGTACAATAAGGGCCAATTTCGGCAACAAACTTTCGGACGACGCACTTAAACTTGAGTCAGAAGACGCCATATTGCTCCGATTAATTAGTTTACTCTTCTAAAACTAGTCTCATCAGCTAAATTTGGCCCGAGTAGTTTTAATGATTATTCATTTCTGTATTTTTTGAAGCTTCCATTATTTTCAGAATCGCATTTTCATTTAAACATCGACGAATAAATCTGACGGAACTAATTTTTAAAAATTAGAATCCTGAAGAAAATTTTCAAAAATAATTGTTTTCTTGGAAACTTGTAGATAAAAATTAATAAAAATTTTATCAAATAAACTTGATGTTTAGTAAAAATAAAAAAATTTGAAATCTTGATTTTATGGAACGTTTAAAAACTTCCACCACGTAATAGGAAATTTTATTTTGAAATAAGAATACCTTTTTTATTACAATTTTCTCGTCAGTCGTCCAAAAATTATCTGAAAGTCTTGAAAGTTTTTAGAACATTTGGAAAGCAACTTGCTTTTGTGTGTCAAAAACGTGCGCACGAAGCAGGAAATTAATTTCGTTGTGGAGCCTGATGGCTCGTCTCCGGCGCGCAGATAGCGAGCGATTGGCAATAAAATTCGATCTCCGAACTAACGACCCGCACATAAAACGGCCCAGAGATAATTACAGAGTGTCGCCCACACGCCACTAATTACAGTATTTTACGAGACGAGCTAGTCGATCTGCACTCACCGTAAATCCTCAAGTCAGCAGAATGCGACACTTCGCCCACTTTGTTTCTGGCCGTGCACTGATAGTTGCCGCCGTCCTCAACTTGCACCGTGCTGATGTTCACGTGGCTTATCACGTCGCCGTGGATCGTCACGTATTGACCCATCACGAACCTGCAAAAACAATTTTAAAAAATGCTTGAATATTTCTTATTCTTGTTTAATTTGCAAAATTTAAAAATGAGGCTCACTGCGGGCTGCGACAGATGGGGTCTTTTAGATCTCGTAAGTTTGAGAAAAATTCTTTCCGTTTTGCCCAAATATTCCATTTTTTTTCTCAAATAAATTGTTTCCAATATTGAATGTAAACAATGTTAAAAATTTGGACAAATAAACAAAAATAAATAAAAAATAATAAAAATTTAAAAATAATTTTAGGAAGAAACATTGTATTTTTGAACAAAACGGCATCACCACTATCAAGAATTTTGCTAAACCTCCTGACACGAGATATTATCTCCGAGATAAAGAAAAAAAAAACCATTTGAAAAGAAATTACTTTCGAATTTGTATTCTGGTGTGATTTTAAAATGTAAAATGCATAGGAAAAGAAAAAAAAACACAAATCAAAAGAAAATACATCGCGAATACACACATTTGTATTTGTAGTAATTTATTTTTTAATCAGGCTAGTGGAAAAGGCAATTTTATCTTCAAAAAGTCTTAAATATCAATTGATAAAGTCCAAACAAATAAAACATTTTGAAACAATTATAAATATCTAGTGTTATATAATTATTTTGTGTTTACAAAAGCAATGTGAAGAAAATCAAATAAAATTAAAGGATGTTTTCTTTGATTTTGTTCTTCTAAAATAACTAAAATTTACCGCGGCACTGACTTAGAAAGATTATAATTGACACTGAAATAAAAAAAAAAATGAACTTTTAATGACATTTTTTGAAATTTGTACAGAAAAATTAAAAATTCTGCTAAAAAAATCTGACATTTATCAAAAATAGCTTTGCAATGACTCAAAAATTTAAAATAAATTATCATTATAAATTGTCCGACAATTCCAGAAAAGTATTTTATGTTAAAAATTTAAAAATGAACAATTTTGTATTTTGAATCACAATTTGCAAAAATCCATTATTGCCAGTAAAACTTAATTGATTATAAAAATTAAATGTATTAAATAGATTTTTAATCAAAATAATAATCATTTCGACAGTAATTTTTTTTACCTTTGAATGGCCGTTTAGTTAAAACGTAAATAATATTTAATTTTCCTCCGCACCATAATTAACTTTTGGATTGGGAGTTGAGGAAAGTTTGGGCCGAGCTGCGAAACGAGCGTTCAAGTGGTCTGGCGCGCGACAAAAGAGTAGGAAAGGCGGCGGTAATTGGCCTGTTTTGTGCCTTCTGAGGGCTGCGAAATGATTGGTGGCGTGGGCAGAGTTGCCGGGGGGGGGGGGGGGGAGGAGGTCATCTGCCAGTGGCACAAGACCATCGAGAAGCACCAGCAGTGACGGAGAACGCCAGACGCCCTTCAAGTCGGCGCCGTCCTTTCAAGAAGAAACTAATTATTTTTCTTATTGTCCTTTTAGAAAATAGTAAAAAATTATCATTTGTGAATTCCAAGATTGATTTTTCCATTTGGAGTAGAAATAAGTGTGTCATTTAAATTCGATCTCGGGAGAAATGAAGTCGTCGCCTGCCTTAATAAGAAATTCTGCTCCTCTTTCGCCCCATCTCATCAGAATCGCATCTCTCTGCTGCTGCTGCTGCTGTCGGCGAAATTTATGTTGGCATAATGGAGTGAGAGCGGCTCTTGCTTCCCCCATTATTGATCTTCGCAGCGGCGGCGGCGGAGACGCGCACACTTTAATAGGATTTGAAAAGACGTTTCCATCAATTAGGTCGGAGAGGGTCGCTTAATTACGCCCGCGATCATCGAAATTCAATCACCAAAGAACGCTCGCTCGATCAGACAACAAAAGTGAGGCCCCAAACGTTGGCCCTAAAGTGTACCCCATCAATTCTTATAATCGTTCTCCAAAATAAGAGAAAAGTCGCGAAGTAAGAAGACGTTATAGACAGAACAGACATTAAATGTCCGGACTAAATGGTTCTTAATTTTCTGTTAGAATAAAATTAAGCATATTTAATTTGAAGATGATTATTTTGAATGAAAATAGTGTTAATTTTTTATCCCTGTAATTTATCCTTAGATTTTGCAGGAAGAATCGATTGTTGAAAAAGTTCAAGATCATCGTTAACTTTGTTAGCAATTAAAAAGGAATGAATTAAGAGATCAGTTTGATCCACAAAATTCCATTAAATTTGCATTCGTTTCAACGCAGATTAAGTGTCAAATTAGAAAGGTTAGGTCTTAAGGAATCACTTAGTGGACAAAATCACTTGAATCACCGCGCAAATTTTAGAAAAAGGACCTAAATTATGAACTTTTTTTTTAATTTTGAAATTTTTCATTAACCTACCTTTCTGATTGAGGCAGAGGAAATCCATCCAAGGTCCACCTGAGTTGCGGCGTAGGATTTCCAGTGGCGATGCATTTCAGGGACACCGGCGGCCCTGGCTGCAGGGTCTGCCTGATGAACTTGTACACCAACTGCGGGTGCGCAGCTGAAATCGTATCACAATTGAATTTCCTTTGTCCTGAAAATTTTCGTGGTTTACCTCCGAGTCTGATTTCGGCGGTGCCCTGGGCGCTGTCGTCGTCCGTCCTGATGAGGCACTGGTACATCCCCGAGTCCTCTCGCTGCACGTTTTCCACCAGCAAAACCTTGCCCTGATCCTGGATGGCAACACGGCCGTTCATCTGCAGGGGTTGACCGTCCTTGGACCACGTGATCAACGCGGTGGACGGGGCGTCATTTAAATTTGTGCATGATAGCTGAGCCCTGAAAAATAATGAAAAAAAAAGACAAATAAACAGCTGAAAGGTGAGGGAATATTTGAAATGTCAATTCCAACGATGGAATCATCTTTGAAAGTTTCATTGAAATATATAAATTACAAAAGTTTTGTATTTTCTCAAAATTTTAAGGGCTTGTCGATGTTTAAAAATAAGTATTTTATTGCAAATATTTATTTTAGGACGTGAATAAAATTTGTGTTAAAAATAATGAAGTGAAAATAAATAAATTTTTAAGTACTCCAATATTTTGCCTTCTCAAATCAACTTTGAAAGAATTACTCAATTATGAAATAAAAATTTGTATTTTAAATTGAATGTAAATTTTATAATCTTTTAGAGTAAAAATCACTAAAAAAAGCTCATTCTGTATCATGAATACTGTGAAGCCTCTTTTGACACTTTGTTGTTTTTTTCTTCTTTTACTTTGACAGCTCAATATGCTTTGTTTAGAGAGTGGGAGTGACGAACCTGTTGCCCATGTCGACGGTGGCGTGCGGCGGCTGGACGGAGACGCTGAGGGGCCAAGTGACGGCGAGCGTGATTTCGATTTTGGTGCTGCCGGCGCTGTTGTTGGCCACGCACACGTACTTGCCGCCGTCCTCGGGCTGCACGTGCAGCAACGACAGGCACTGCCCGTCCGCCACCACCTTGACTCGCTCGTCCACGCCGATCGGCCGCAGCTGCGACTGCAAGTGTCCCGACCGGTCCAGCTGACGAAACCAACTGAGACACACAAAAAGATTCAATAAAATTAAAGAAAATTAATGTTATTTCATAGCTTGAGCAGCAGAAAAAAAAATACTTTATTAATCACAATTCATCAGTTTATTGAACTAATTTGAATAAATTTTGTGCTTTTTTCTGTCCAAATTTGTCTGTTAAATTCCAATTTTTTTCAGCAATTAAAAGATTTACAAAATCTAATTTAAATCTTTGAAAAGTGGATAATGATTTTTATAAATTAACAGCCATATTTTTAGTAACATTAAACAAAAATCTCCCCGAAAACCTTTTTTGTTCCATTCAAAAGAACGTTTTGAATACAATTTTAAAAACTACTGTCGCATTTAAGAAAAACTAGTAATCCTAAAATTTTGTTCCTCGCCGTGAATTTAGAATTCATCTCTGGTCTTTTTTTTCTCATCACCAAATTGGCCCCTGGGGATAAAGTGTCACTAAAATTCGGCTGGTGTTGCTAATGCGGGTTGGAAAAAGTGCCGGGTTGGCAAAAAATTCGGCGCTTGGTGCGTTTTTGCAGCGCTCATTTAATTAGAGTGTGACGTACCTGACCGTTGGCTGGGGGTTTCCCTCGGTGATGCACGGCAGGACGGCGGCCTGGTCCTTTTTCGCCGTCACCACAGCCATTTTGTCCACGGCCCGAGGCGCACTAGGCATTCTTGAATCTAAACATTTGATTCAAAATCTATTTTACTTGATTTTTTAAATATTAAAAAAAAAAATTATAAATTTTTTGCAATTAATCCAAAATTAATAAAGAAATCCGCCAAAAACAATACAGTAGAAAACCGGTTGATTTTTTTTTCTATTAGGCGAATATTGGAGGCATCGACGCGAGGCGGGCGGATGAATAATGACGCGGAAAATGTTCAATGTTCCGCCCAATAAATGATAAGCATCCGTTCGTCCGCCGCCGCTCGTGGATGGCGGGAGAGCGGAAAAAATTTGGCGTTGAGCCAGAATTCGCACCTGATATGGTGATTTTGGCGCCGCGACCAACGCTGAGCTGCGTGGCCCCCGAAAGGTGGTTCACCGCTCTGCACTGGTATGTCCGGTACCGGTCAGTGTCGTTGATTTTTAAAATCAGCAACTCGCCCGACGGCAGCATGTAGTATTTTCCATCTAAAATAAGAACAGAAAACAAAAACGTAAAAATCACGATAATCTAATTTTTAATATGAGAAGCAATTGAAAATGAAACTGATAATGTTGATGGATTTTGAATTGTTTTTGTAAAGGCAATTCCAACGATGGTTTTCAATAGAAATGAATTAAATCAGGAAGCCACAGCAGTTCTTTAAATATGAAATTTTATATAAAAAATGTTTGTCTTTAATTTTGATCACAAATTTTTTGGATAAAATGTTTCAAATTATTAAAATGTTAACAACCAATTCTTGGAAAGACGAAATAAGGGATAACTTGCAAGGTCATCACCATTTTATTCATAATTTTCTATTAAAAAATATTGCAATTTTTGGAAGCATCAAACTATATTTGGTGAATAATTTTGTATTTTGCACTCACCTCCCTCCTTGGACGGATAAATGTTGAAGGTGCCGTCTTGAAACCAGGACGTGACCGACACGTAGTCCTTGACGGCGTTGGGCACCTGACACCGCAGGAATGCTGTGCCGCCCCTCGGGATGCCGCGCATTCCACCCACGCTGATCGCCTGCACCTCGTAGTGTTGAATCACAACTGCAAAAAATAAATAAACCAATACTGCCATGTGCATCTCTCTCGATAAAATCGTGAAGTGAAATGAGACCATTTGAAAAAAATTATTTCAATAAAATTCCAATAATTCATGACAGTATTTTATTGGAAATTGGAAAGAGCGGGAAAGAGCATCCCATCAAATCAAGAGTAAATAATATTGAGTTTGGTCTCAAGAGTATAAAAGTTTTAATCCGCTCCTCGCAAGCACCACCAACATTCAAGTATTTCAAGGATTGCGATTTTATTTGAAGTGAATATTCAAATTTTCAATCAATAAAAATTGTTATAAATTATTGAAGTTTTTCGATATAAATGGGGAAATGCAACCTGCGTAGCATTCACGAAGAGCCGGTTGCTTAACGTTTATTCGATTACTTCTAATTTTTTAATTTAATAATTGTCGTTAGATTCTTTTTAATCGCAGAAACCTCAGCTGCAAAATGATAAATATTCTCAGGAGAGACCAGAGCGGGGAAATGATGACGAAATTAATTTAATCTAGGGGGTGCGGCTTCTTTCCAAGGGAATAACTTGGTGCGCGTCTGTCTGCGGACGAGTGAAATTGAATTACGGCTGGAAATATTAAGGCAGTAGAGAGAGAGAAGAAAGAAAAGCCCCCATTGTTACAATGGAGATGCAGAGTCAGCGTGGGAATTTTTTAATTAAATCCCGCGCGCGCCGCCGACTTACAAGATTTCTGCACGAGACACACAGCTTTTGTGCCTCGCCAACTCTTTAAACAATTTCCCTCTTTCAAAAGAAGAAAGAGAGTCATAAAAATTTCAGAAAAGTGTGCTAGAAGTTGAATTATTGTATTTCAAAACAAAAGTATGGTCTCAGCCGCGAATTTTAAGGAAACAAAATCAATTTTGCGAAAATCCTTTGGCCTTTGGTCACTGCGAAAATTTAAAACACCAAATTTCATGAAATACATTGAGATGGAAAAATTCGCACCCCAGAACGATGAATCATTTTTAAATTTTAATAATTTCAGCCTGGTTTCAAATCACTAAATATAATCAAAATCAAAGAAAAATTAATAACCTGAATATTGATCGATACAAATTATTTTGGCGGGAAAAGGTAAATGAACCCTTTTTAATGATTTTAAGGAGTGCCAATTTTTACAAAAAAGTCATGTAAACTCATCTAATTTTATAAAAAACAAACAAACAATACATTAATTAATTAATCAAGTTCAATTTGATTGGCCTAAAAAGTTCCCCCACCACTTTACTATTGGCTAAACTGCTTCTTATTTTTATCAGGTTGGCCAACTGCCAGTTTAAAACGGGCTAAACTTATATTTAAAAATTGCTACTGACCTGCCCTGACTTTGACCTCGCGGCTGACAATCTTGCCAACGTTGTTGGCGGCGGTGCACTTGTAGGTGTTGGTGTGCACGTCCGGCCGGAAGGTGCTGGGCTGGAAGGGCAGGAAGTAGAGGCTGCCGTTGCTGAAGATCTCGCGCGTGCCCGGGATGGACACGATCGGTTTGCCCTCGCCCGACAGCCAGTTGATGACGGGCGCAGGACTACCTTGCGCCGAGCAGTCGATCCGCACCCCCGTGCTGTTCGAAAAGTCCACCCTGGACGCCGGCTCACGCACAAAACTCGGACCCTGGTTTCCGAACGGCCACACTGAAACAAAAAAGTGACAAAATTAGATAAAATGCAAATCCAGTTTCATAAAAATAACTAGAATAAGGGTCTTAAAAATAAAATTAAAGGTAATTTTTTTAGGAAAAGATTTATTAGGATTAGGATTTATTTCTCTGAATTGTTTTTTAAATTTAAAATAAAAATGTATTTTGTATTTTATTCATTATTATTACAACTCATTAATAAAAAATAATGCTCTGTGATATGAAAAATTTCAGTCACAAAACAATTTTTTTTTGTTCTTTATGATGAACTAATTGGCTGTTACAGCCTGAAGTAGATTTACAACTTCATAATTTCGTCAATTTCGAGTTGTGGTTAATTATTTGCTGATCTGATTTGCTAATTAAAACTCAATCTAGAGTCGACGGAGGGAGCGAGCGAGCGAATTTGAGTTGGCGGTCGAATTAATTAATCACAAGCAGCTGAGAGCAGAGGAGATTCGCACACGCGGAGATTTATTGTCGGCGCGGGATAATGAGCGGCGGCAAATAGCGCAGGTTCATTAAAAAGGCCTCAGTGCACCGCACGCGCTGCTCATTTCGAATTTATTGGGCTCGGCTGCAATTCAGCGGAAAACGTACAAGCGACCTACTTCAGCGTTGCGAGCACGAAAAGCGATTACAAATTCAAAATTGATAAATATAGAAAATGTGATTATAATTTTGAAATCACGCCGCCTTGCATCTGGATTTAATTAAAAAAAAAAAATTAAACCCTAATAAGAATAAAACCAGCAAAATATTCACACGAACACTAAAAATTACTGAACAAATAAATTTTTAAACCAGATTTAATGAACATAAATAAATATTACACATAAATTTACTCCAAATTCGTAATCTGCATGGCTAAAATCTAAAAAAAAATATTCGTTCGGAGTTTGATAAATAATTTTCGCAAATCTGTGTAAATATTTTTCAATACCAAGCCAAATAAAGTCTGCAGGAATCGATGTGATTGCCTTCGTCGGAGCAGAAAGAAAAGCCTTTGTTATACTGAGCGCCAATATTGGTCTCAGCGTAGCCAATCTGCCGCTCTCTCTCCCTCTCTCTCTGCAAAACAAACAGCGAGAGCAGGAAGGGCTTGTTCGCAAACACCACATCTAAGGGAAACAACAACAGCCTCGGCGCTTTAATATAGAGCGGCCAGCTGGACCCATCTTTATAATTTTTGGCGCAAAATTAAATTGCGCCAGACTCGGAAAAACAGAAGGCACGTTTCACTGCGACGAAAAACGTGTTCGGTTTCTGAGAGAACGCGATAGTTTTATTCAGGAATAAAAGGTTAAGGGATTTTCTCGTTTAGAAGTTTGTTGTTTACTCCGTTTTAACTCACGATTACGCAGACTGAAAGGCTCTTTGAAACTTTTTCAACTACAGAAGAGTAAACGCAGATCTAATACTACCTCAAACTTTCAAAAGGATAGAGCGCATTTCGATCTCAGGAATCCTGTAAGAATTTCTGATGGAGTATCTAAATAAGTTAAAAAAAAATATTAATAATACAAAAAAAGAAATCAATTTTTTAGGAGTAACTTTGTGGACATTTACAAATTTTTAAAAATTTCAAACAATAGAAAAATTAATACGTCTATGTGAAGATTTAATACGTCTAGTTGAAGTTGTACAAATATGTCGTAATTAACGCTAATTTTTAAGCGCCAATTTGTCAATGTTTTTCAAATATATTTACTTCCAACCATTCTTAATCATTCAGATATAAACAAAACTTTTTTAATTTTTAATTTAAAGAGATTTCAATATCTAAATGCTTAAAATGAAGAGTTAAGTTTTATGAATTCTTTCACAGAAATATTCACGTCTTTCCTTTCCTCCCCATGAAGAAGTGAAATCGGGCGAAAAAAGTTTTTTATTGAATTTGGCCGTGAGCAGTGGCGTCACACAAACCGGTAATTTCCCCAGTTACCTCCCTTACTTTACACCAAAGAACAGTCAATTTGGTCGTAAAACTCGCGCGTTCCACCCCCTCGAGACGTCTTTCTTTCTTCTTCGCGGCGTCGAGTGCAAAAAAAGTAAAGTGCTGATGACGGAGGAAACTGTTTCTTCCCTTGGAGGAGCACAACAAACACGCTTGGTTGCGGCCGCACGAATTTCGCTCACTCGAGATAAAAACGTCGATTATCCCGCCATTTGACTATGCAGCAGAGTCTCCCAGGTGATTTTTCCCTTCCGCCCCCAAAGAAAAGTGAAACAGAAAAAATTAATAATTTATTTTCAGGAAGAAAAAGTTAAATTTTGTAATTGAAACAAATTTATTAATTTCATATCTTATCAGTCTAAAAATAAGAATAAAATTTGATTTAATTCATTTTTTATGTTTTCTTTTAACGAAATAATTTTTTAATTAAATTGGGATATGAAAAATCTAAATTCTATATCCAAATTTATATGACTGCCTATTTATCCGTTATGAATTTGCAATTTCAACTTTTCGTTTTTTTGTTTATGATTAGAAAAATTTGAATTATTCGCCGCAATTCACAACTTTTTAAATAAAAACAAACGCTGAAATTTATCTTTTAACATTCAATATAAATACTGCAATAAACGAGCCGTATGTTTTTGTAACTGATTGAATTTCCAAGAAGCAATTTGCAGAGCAAACTTCTGCTTTTTTCCAGTTCCTATTTCGCTGCGATTTTTTCACTTATGTGTATTTTTTCGTCGTCCCGTCTGGAGATAATAGCGGAGGAAAAGCGTCATGATTCGCCGGTGTGCGTCGACAACAATAAAATCCATCTTTTGCTGCAGCCGCAAGAAATTTGATCCGCTTTTCTCGGAGAAACTCACAATAAAGAAACGTGCAATACACGATCGATTCGTTTTATCGTCGCTGTCCCACTCAATTTCCTCTTCGAACTCGCAAAAGGCCTATTGTTGATTTGCAATGCAATAATACGGTCTGGAAATTTAAAAAAAAAATGTCGCTTTTCATGGAAAAATTGAAAGAAAATATTTGCTTCTACGCAGTATTCATGACATCATTAAGAACTGCGATTCCATTGTACATTAATATATTTTTAGAACTAGAAATTGGCATTCCTATTTTCTTTTCAAAAAATGCACAAGTTTCCTATTTCTTTTGAAAATAATTTAAATTGTATAATAAACATTAAATGTTGGGAAATTGAAAGCTCTGGGCATTTAAATTTATTTAGAATTCTACGTAATGTTTGATTTCTTTAAAAATTACATTGCAAATTCAGAAAGATATGTTTTGTTTTTTTCTTTTGTGATTTCAGGTGACAAATTATTTTCTTAAATTAGTATTGGTCAGTTTAACCAAGTTTAAACCTAACTTCAACCAATCTTAAAATAAGTTACAAAAACTTTGACGTTATATTTGGTATTAATAAAGTCATAAATTTAAATACAAAATGAGCTGCAAAATATTTGTATACAAATGTTGTATTTTGTAAACAAAAATTGCACAACATGTTGAGCCTAAGTGAGCGGATAAGAGTGGCTAATTAAAGAGTAGTGTGTGGCGAGGCTCTTCCTATTGATTTGGTCGTCGTCGAGGGAGGATTGTAGAGAGTTTGCGTTCGCCGAACACACACGGAGTCTGAGGGTTTGCATTAATGGGCCGTAATTCTTCCTTCTCTGCGATAAGTGGGCACGCAGAGAGAGAGAGAGGGAGGAATTATTATTATTACAGAGAGCTGATGCTCACCTTTCACAAACCTCCCGACCAGAGAGCGAGAGAGACTCGGAGGGAGCAGATTATTAAACTGGAGGGCTTGATTTTCGACAAGGGCGCGCGGAACTGGTAACACAAGCTTGTGCAAATGCACCTTGTTCCAATATCATAATAACTGACGTCAGACCGACACTTTACATTACCACACCAAAGTCTGACGAAGTTCAGAATCGAGAGGTAAAAAGTTTAATATTGTTAGTGCTGGGAATAGAAAAGGTTGATAAAATTTTTCAAGTCGATTCGTTTTGAACAATGTAAAAAAAAATTGGAAACTAGAGTTTCTTAGTTCAAAAGAAAAACAGATTTCATTAATGTAAATTTGAAAAAATTTTGGCACCATTTAACCTTTTCCTGTAAAAATTGTGATTTTTACTCAATTATTGTAGTATGAGGTATGCAACTTAAAGTGACTTTTTTAATTCATACAATAAAATACCAATTTAAAAAAATAATAAACAATAATACTAATAATAATAAATTATGATTATTATTAAATTCATATTCATACATTAAAATATTAATGTTTTTCCTATAAATAAAAAATTATAAAAATAAAAAATTATTATTATAGTTATTTTATTAATATTTAATGTTTTTATTCATAATTTAATTAAAACAAATTAAAAAAAAAACACACATTTCAAATAATTTCCTAAAAATTCTTGAGCACAAAAATTTAGTAAAATTACGCAAACTGATATGCAGAAATGGATTTTTTTTTATTTTACTTGCACAAAACTATTAAAATGATATTTAAAAATAAAGTGAGGGAATGAATGTGCGACTTTCTGTGGTTAAATGAAAGTTGATTAAGTTATCAGCCGGATTTAGAATCTATTAAGGATTTATAATTTCCCACGACAAGGAAATTGACTGGCGTTTCTCGATAATGATAATCTTGAGAAAACCCCAAAGGATGTGAGACTCGATATAAAAAGGGGCGATGTTCACTTCGGTTGCAAACTTCGTTGCTGGACCGCCGAACATGGAAACGCAAAGTTCTTCGTCAAGCGGGGTCCTGATTTCGACCCCACCGTCGAGGACCAAAGTTATCCCCGGGGCCAAAATACAGTGCGGGCTGAGGTCAACTTCCGGCCTGACCACCACCCTGGTAATATACGTCATCTTTGCCGTGATTGGCACCATCATCATGAACTACTACCTCTCCACACTCAAAGTAAGACAAGCAGGTTAATAACTGTTAAATAACTTTCAAATAAAATTCAAACAATCTATTATTAAAAAAAAAAAATGTAAATCAATAAGATAAAAATTAATATCAATTAAAATTTTATCTTTTAATTTGATAAATCATTCGTTATTTTCAATTTTTATGAATAATTTATAAATTTCAGATATGTGAAGGAGATGAATTATCGCAGTCAATGACATTCATGGTCCCAGAAAACCAGGTTAGAATTAATAAAATGAAGGTGTCTGATCACATAAACAATTTTTACTCATAAGTATGTTTAATGAAGAGTTAAGGTTTTTTTTAGAGAACTTACTTAATTAGAAAATTTGTAAATAATGAGTTTTATTTCAAGATCTTCCATTTTCAAAATAACTCAATATAATATAGCCCTAATATAATTTTTAGACCTTAAAAAAACAAGCTAATGGAAATACATCATCACCACAATTTTTGGCGTAATTTTTTTTTTTTTTGTAAATAGTTGGAAAAGAATCTCTAATTTTCAAAAATTTTGTCATACGGTAAACCAGATTTTCTCAAATGTCAATTAAATTTGGATTTAAAACTTTAAAATATATTATTATGTTTTTTGCTACATCATTAATATTTTTAATTAACTACTTGTTCTTCTTCGCGATTTTCCATGTGCTAATTTCAATAATTCAAAAAAAATTTTTGTCAATAACAAATAATAATACCAAGTACTTTCATTTTTTTGCAACAGTTCAACAGATTAAATCCGGTTCAATATAAAATTAACAATATGGAGATCGATGAAGTGGGCCGAGATTGAGAAAAATTGTAGTTTTTTTTAATTTTGAATATAAAATACTTATTCTATTTGAATATATTAAGTTAATTTTTATAATTATTTAAGTTTCTTTTTGTTGAAGCAGCCGTTGGCGGAGAACGAGATTCTGAAAGAAAATGCCACTGAGGATTCCAAACAGAAGCAGAATGAATTGGCTAAGAATACCAGTCCGAAGCCGGATGAGGTAGTTTTTACTAAATTTCACACTCACAATCAGGTTCAAACAAAAACTTTGTCTAAAAGTTGAGTGAATTAATTTACTGTTTTCCAGTGTCCGGAAATCAAGTACCATTATCAGGAGGGGGAAGTGGACTGTGTCCTTGCTCGTAAGTTTTTGCAAATAAAAAACTCCAAACTCTGAATTTTAGACTTTTCAGTGTCAGCGGCAAATTTGAAAACGCTGTCCAACGGCAAGACGTACTCCTTTCATGAAACCACTGTAAGTCTAAATATATTTAATTTATCTTGCGTCTTGTTATAATTTTGCTTTTTTTGCGGTAGGTTGGGTGGGACACAGCAAACGATTTTTGCACGAAACAGGGGCTGCACTTGGCCACTATTGAAAATCAGAATGACTTGGAAGCCGTGGGAGCGCAAGCCTCAGATTTCACCGAAAGTAAGACAATTAACGCTTTGAAACTGAAAAAAGAATCTCTCACAACCCCGCATTTCTCCAGAGAATTAAATTTGATTTGATTTCAGTTATTGGTTGGTGGCTTTCGGCGAAAAACGTGAGAAACAAAAGTGAAAATTGTGGACAAGACTTCCGATGGCACGACGGAACCAAACTGGATTTGAAAAGCCCGTTATGGTGGAAAAGTGGGAAACAGTATAATAACTTTGTTTACACAATATATTCAAAATTGAGATCCAAGAAGAGCAACTTCAAGCAGTATTTTATTTGCCAACTTCCAAGCAAATGCTCTTTATAAATTTCAATTTACTTTTTCCTCCCAGGTGTGGAAAATTTCTCTATTTTTTTGTACTTTTATTCACGAATTTTAATTTTAATTAGAATTGCTCTTTCTTTATTTAGCTTTTTTCCCTCCGTTTTGTGGACTTTGCATCTATAAAAAAAAAATAAAAAAACGATTCCGAGTTTCATTTTTTCCAAAATAAATCTACAAATTTAATGATTTTTGATATTCTTAAATTCATTACTGTATAACAATTTCCATAAATGAACTATTACAAAGGATAGAAATGATTTTGAAGTAACAAAAATATACTTTTGCTGTAAAATAACTATGATTTTTAATCGTAATTTTAAAAAAAGTATATTTAAATATTATAATTTTTTTTATTAAACGGATGAATTCGCGAAAATTTTGCTGGCGTGCAAACTTTTTAATAAATTTAAGAAAAGATAATGAATGCAAAGCTTGAAAGCTGTGTCGAGGGGTAAAAGGCTGTTTTTTTTCCTTGAATACTAATTTAATTTATGTCAATAGCCAATTATCCTAACTGATTTGGTGAAAATTATGAGGTCAAATCTGAAAATCGACTTGATCTTTCTTCGCCACCAAAATAAACCTTTTATTATTTAATCTGTTTCTTAAATATGAAAACTAATATTATAGTTCATATATTTAGTTGCAAATTGTGCTTATGATGACAAAAAAAAGACGATTCCCACAATCCTGCAATTTTTCCTCAAGCCACAAGTTGATTAAAATTAATCTGCATGCAATTCGCAGTCAGTGGTTTGCGGCAAAAAACGCTGATATGAAAATGACTTCCGGTGGTGGGAGCTGAAGTAAAATCCGAATGCGTAATTTCATTTTTAAAAAATAAATAACAGACTAAATCAAAATAAGTGAAGTTTTTAACAATAAAATAAATAAATAAATTATTGCTTCGCTTTTGGTGTGCAAAATTTTAATAAGATTGAATATAATAATATTGTAATTTTTTGCTTTTCTATAATGGAGAAAATCGGAGGTGAGCTGATATGAATCCCTAAAATACCTTCAAAATAACAAGTTTTGCTCGATCACTGTAGTAAAAAACGTTGTTAAATCTTAAGAATAATGTCTTAATGAGATTTTAAATAAATTTTAAATTTATTTTTATCGGAATTTTTAATCTATATTCATCTCCAAAGAAATCCATTTGAATAACATAATTTTTTTACTTTTTTATATGTAATATTTTATTCATTCGCCTTGCGTTTATTATTATTTTGATTCTTTTGAAATTTGAATTTCAAGTTACCAGTTTTTTCTTTTCACAAAGAAATTAACTAAGTTTGTATTTGCTCTCGGCGCAAAAATTGGATTTGAATTCCGTTTCTACCTATTGTAAAAAAAATCATTTTAAAAAGCCTGACCTACTTATTGTGGGACAGAAACACTAAAAAACAACGAGTAATTTTTTTCCAAACAAAGCAACTTGAAACTCTTGAATAATTTCTGTGTGGATATTTTCGCTGTGCAGCGCAGAGAGGTGGGTTTTGTGCGAGGCCCCTAGGCGAACATTAGAGTCGGTCGTCGTCGCTTTTGACTGCTTGTTACACTGCACGACTATTACTATTATCTGCCGGTGGTGCTGCGCGACGATTATTATTATTATTATCGCGGTAATGGGCCGCGCATTATGCTGGAAAAGTCGAATTGCAGGCAGGGGTACACCAACATGTAAATTCCGCTCACTTCAGAGAGTTGAGAGTCGCGACGATTGGGAATATTTCACTCGATCGATTTGCACAACAATTATTTTGTGACTTCGAATGAAATTATTGAAAATCGAGCATGAAATTTAAAACCCATTTCTATATTAAAACTGATTATTGACGTTTAAATTGGTTTTAATTAATTTATTATAAATTTCACATTTTGAAAAAAAATTATGAGTATTTTTATTATGCATCGAAATCTTGTAGATTAAATGGTGCCTAGAAAATGAAAACCGTCCTTATAGTAAAAAAATTTGGAAGATTTTGTTAAGGTTTAAACCTGATTAAATGAAATAATAGGTGGCAAAATAAAAATAAAAATTATGTAAAAAATTGCAGCACACAATTCCAACTCTCCAAATTGGAACTCTATACTTTTAATGTTAATGAGAAATTTAAAACCTTTTGAAGGTTGAAATTTTTGAACAAATGTTGGCTGACACGAAAACGGACAGTTAATTTTCCGCACAGATGACCTTCAAATTACACAAAAGTTCAGCAAACACCAAAATGCCTCATTTTCCTGCTCAAATAAAATTTTAAAGGTATTTTCGATTTAATTCGGAATTTCAAAATTGCTGAAATTTGCACGAAAGGTTGAGATTAAGTCGTGAAAGGGATGATTCGCCTTTGACGGGGGTGGTCCGCAGTGCACCCCAGCATCCGTCTGCATGCTCTGGGCAGATGTAAAAGGCCCTTGAACGAGCTCGCTCGCTCGCTGGCTCTCTAGTCGGCTGCAGCTTTTTGAACTCGAGTTGAATGTAAATAGAGAGAAAGAGCGACTAAGACTTTTGCTATTAAAACGAAGAGCGCCCTTTTATTTAGCAAAAGAGAGAAAAGACGTGAGACCCTTCCTAAGCACCCAGGGCTTAAAAGGGATTCGAGGAGTCGCGCTTTTGTGACTGAGAGGTGCAAATTCCCTCGAAAACGATAATAAAAATAAAAATTTTTAGTAAAGAGTACAAAAAAAAAGGTGCATAGAATTGTTCAGAAACGTTTTCCGGATAGAAAAAATTGTTGGTTGGCCATTTTAAAAATTTGAAGAAAGAAAATCGTCACAATGCATCAGTTTTTCATGAATATTTTGATGATTTAATTTATAAATACCTACTGAGATGAAAAACGGGACTGAGAAAGTATTTGATCGTATAAAATAATCAAATTGATGAAATTAGTTTTGTCTTTCATACAAAATAAATTATTCTGTGTATATATGGATTTTTTTTAATACACATCCCGGCCCGAAAGTTTCCTCACAGAAAAATAAGTCAACATCTCATTTCGCCGCCATATTTGGTGCAAATCGAGTTATACCTGCGCGAAGAGCAGAATTTCGCGAGAATAGTTTTCAGAGAAGCACTAATGCCTTTCCTTATAGTCTTTCTCTTCCAATTTTCTTGGGCAAAAAGCGAAAAGTGCGCTCTTTGCTTCTCCGAGATTTTATTACCTTGATGTCGGCACACGGCCTTTGAGGCTCGCTTTCTGCACCTAGTTTTGCGAGGAAGAAGAAGAAGCTTCTTCTCCGTGCATGCACGTGTAATTTGATTTTCTACTCCACATGCTAGATTTTTCGGAGCTTTCCTTTGATCATCGCAAATTGCGTCCGATATAAAATATATCCCATCGAAACTTTTCTTGTTCCAAAAAATAATTTTCATTCCACAGATTGAAAAAGTTGGCGTCGGTGAATAATTTACAAGGTTCTGCAGCGCACTATCTGCATAATCCGTTTGTGAATAATTCACGCCGAAATAATAAGGCGTCGTTTCTGTTATATGCTCTGTCGTGTTTTTCGCTTCACAACAAAACACGCGCGGACAATTAAACAATGGGGGGGACACTCGAAAACGCACTCACGCCCCGAGTGCTTGTTTTGCTTTGAATGGCCGCGAGAGAGAGAGAGAAATAGAGGGCGGAAGGCATGAAGGAAAAGGGGTTGTTGCGCTTCACAGATGGCCATCGCCGCACTTGGCGACCCTAACAAGGCACAGCCAATTAAATCTCACACTAAAATTCATAATAAACCGCACAGTGAACGATAATCTTTTTATCACTGTGTGGTGAAAAGTTTAATCCAAATGATGCCATTTAAGAAAAGGATGTTTTTAAAGTGATTCAGCGCTGATCAAAATTTGAAATTAAATAAAGAATAATAAAAATGAAATAATGATGAAAATAAAAGTAAATTAGTACCAAAAAACTTTACTACCGTAAAATTTACCCGGAAATTTGTAATTCTTCAAAGAATTATCAGTGTGCGAGAGTTTTTCTGTTCGAATTAGTCTTTGTCTGTGTTGTGAAGCGCAAAGCAGTTTCAGGCATTAATTTTAAAATTTTGAATTGTAATTAAGAAATTAATTTTTAAAATGGCTCAAAATTTAATTGATTAAATCTGTGTCTGTTAATAATAAAAATTACATTATTATTGTTGATATAAATTCGTCTTCAGTTATTTTCTTTCCTCAGTTGTAACAAAAGTAAATGATTAAAAAAGTAAACAATCTGGTTCAGAATATACAAAGTTTTTAAATTTAATTTGAATTTTGGTTAGTTTTCCATACTATAAAGCCAAGTTTTTCTCGCACAGTCTCAGTAAAACCACGTAAAAACCTCGTTAAAAAGAAATTTTTATCTTGAGTTCAAGATTTGGCCATAAAGATAAAATTCTCTAAATTTTATGTTTTATTTCAAATTGTTTAGTGATAAAACTTTTTGATCACCAATCGATTGATTCCCTGTGACCTGTCACACTTGAGATCATTTTTAAATTGGTTGGGCCAACCTTTCTGACCAATTAATTCCCATAATTTTTGTTTCTGTACTTCAGGTCAAAAATCGATTTATCTTCAGCTCAGCTTTCAAATAGTTTTTCTTTTTACCCTTTTTACCCAATTCTGAAAAGAATCTATTAAAAAGTTGGTTTTATCTTCTCTATATAATGCTCTTATCAGCTGCTTATGAATTTTGCACCCACTCCGGAGTTTCACTCTGCGGGGCTGTTTATTATTGTTAGTGTGTGCCTCTGCTAATAACGTCGTCCTAACGCAGCGAGAGAGAGCAAAAATGATCCTGCAGGAGAGTGCGAGAGAGAAGAGTCGCAGCAAAATCCACCCATTTACCTTCTTGCCTCTTATTTCGCTGCCGGTGCTTTTCTTACAAAGCCCCGACGCTATAGTGATTTCCCCAGAGGCTTTGCAGCACCGGCGGCCTATGTAAAAGTGAGAGACAGACCTGCTGCTCCACCGAGATCCGTCGTTTTTGCATAGACACTCGTTTGACAGCGGCTCAAATAAAAAGCGGGCGAGGTGTGTGTGAGCCTCGCTCTCTCGGTTTTCGGCTGCGCGAAATTCGGACGGCAATATCTT